ATTCGCGGTGAAAATAATCGACGCTTTGTTCATAGCTTCGTATAATGAACCATCCTATAGTATTCAGTAATTTAGAGAAATTAGCCTTTATTCATTTTGTATTAAAATTGTATTGTATAATAGTACTGGGTACAATATCAAGAGTATTCTAATTATTGAGTTAAGTCACCATCAGTGACGTCACGAATCAGATCTAAGTTGTAAGGTGGAGTGACCGGCGGTCATAGGTCATCAGGGTTGACATGTCTACTATTTCTCAAAGTTCAATTAACCATTTTGGGGATCGGGAACAGCTCTGCCGTTAGATGCTTGTGTAATTTAATTTCAGTAAAATAATTCAACCAGTCTGGATCAATTCAGTACAAACAGAGGTTAATTGTTATAACTTAACTTAGTTAATAAATTGCATTTTTATTATTTCCATGTGTTTGTGTGTATACTTGTCCTGGTCACGTAGTCCACACGAGGCAGAGTTGGATTGGGCGCCGATTCCAACACCAAATAGGAAGTCATCTTTACCGTGTAATTTATTCCACACTCAAGGTCATCGGTTACTAGTGGGGATCAAGCCCCAAGGTTGATTAATTAGCATGATCGATCCAGACCTAGATCATTGCTCTGTGTTACTGGTCTGGTGGTGGCGGCGGAGGCGACTCTAGGGTTTTGCTCAAAGCCTAGGTCACGTCATGTTGGTTGTAGAATCCTAAGTCGGTCAATCGTCTTAGGATCACGTGGCGTGGAGTTGGCTTTAGTAAAAGTTTTGGAGTCCCTTGTAGAGAATAAAAAGTAAGAATACGGGTAGAGGGGGAGTAGAAGGAAGATCAAGTAGAGAAACCCTCCCCGTGTTACAGGGGTTCGAGTACTTTCTTACTTCCCTTTGGTATATTTGCGTTTCCGGCTTCCACCAGTGTCCTCTTGTCCTGCTTTCTCTCACTTTAAAGAGACTCCTTGTCCACCTTATCTATTCCAATCGGTATCTTTTAAGTTGTGATCATATCTCCTATGTTCCTTCTATCCTTTACGGTTGAGAGATTTAGTTCTATGCAGATGAAAAGTCATAATAACGTGGCTGAAGAAACCTTGACCAAACCCCATACTAGAAGATGAAGAGACGACGACGACGACGTTTCAAGTCGATTGTCGACTTGATAATGGTCCAGGACGGACCGACACGTGCCTCCGTGTGCGCCTCCGGTGAGTGTGTTGGAATTATATCCACTCTCAGATCCTTCTCTCTTGTTGATTCTTGTAGCTGCCTTCCCCGTACTGTGGGGCATAATCCAAGAGGAACAGTGTTCTACTCTCTGGTGCCTGATTGGCTTAATCTTATGCCCTGTTTGTGCCCTTTATAATCTCTTTGCTTTAATTCATTTGTTTTTCTTCTCTGATTTTCTTTGCTGACTGTATTGATAATGGAAGGCAGCTGAGGGTATTGGTAACAGAAGGCAGCTGAGGGGTGTTGGTATCGGAAGGCAGCGGTAGGATATTGATATCGGAAGGCAGCTGGGGATGTTAGCATTGAAAGGCAGGTGAGGAGGTGTTGGTATCGGAAGGCGGCTGGGAGGTGATGCCAGCTAGTCTGAATATTTTCTCTGAGGCAGAAAAAAAGAGGAAGTTTGCACCAAGTAAACTTTTGTGAGTGGAGTCAACGACAGGTGTTCTAGTGTCTCCCAGACAAGTTGTGTCGGGGAAGGAGTTAGTGTGTATGTGTGAGAACTGAAGTGATGACTCTGGAGTGAGTTCCACACTCAGCCTTTCCCAAACAAATGGCAAACACACACAAGACTACGGCTGCAAGGCTACCTCCTCCCGACCGCCCCAGATGTTTGTGCAAGCAGAGGTTCAAAGCGACGCCTATATCCTCACCACTCGACTTCCCCGCTCACAACCAGACATTAAGGGCTAAGACGAGTCGACGTCTCGACACCTGAGTGGAAAATATTTCCACTGTTTTATACTATTAAGAAACTTGATTAAACATTATAAGCCTGAGAAACTTCGCACGTAAGCAGAGTTACGACGTCTCTTCTCGAATATTTCATGGAGGAAAGACCTCATATACACATGACGAAGTACCAAAATAGTACTCTTGAACCTCGCCATTAAACGTTATCAACTTAACATGTAATGTATAATAATTTAGCACCAGAAAGATTGTCAAGTTAATTCAAAACTAATAATCTAATGAATTGAGGGTAATACGATTGTATTAAATGGTTATACATTGTTAGCCTTTCACATTCCCCCCCCCCCCACACACACATGTATATGTTAACGGCATGTTTACAGGCGTAGAGTCCTACATGTCGATGTTTGCGGATGACGCAAAGTTGATGAAAAAGAGTTGTGACAGATGAGGATTGCAGGATCCTCCAAGAGGACCTGAACAGGTTGCAGAGATGGTCAGAGAAATGGCTACTGGAATTCAACACGAGCAAATGTAAAGTTATGGAAATGGGACTAGGAGATAGGAGACCAAAGGGACAGTACACAATGAAGGGGAACTGCCTACCTGTGACGACGCGAGAAAGAGACCTGGGTGTGGACGTAACACCTAATCTATCTCCTGAGGCACATATAAATAGGATAACGACAGCAGCGTACTCTACACTGGCAAAAGTAAGAACATCATTCAGAAACCTAAGTAAGGAGGCATTTAGGGCGCTTTACACTGCCTACGTAAGGCCAGTCTTAGAGTATGCCGCTTCATCATGGAGTCCCCATCTGAAGAACCATATAATGAAACTGGAAAAGGTTCAGAGGTTTGCAACGAGACTCGTCCCAGAGCTATTAGGGATGGGGTATGAGGAGCGCCTGAGGGAACTGTGCCTTACGACACTAGAAACAAGAAGGGAGAGGGGGGGGACATGATAGGAACGTATAAAATACTCAGAGGGATTGACAGAGTGGACATAGACGAAATGTTCATACGGAATAGTAACAGAACGAGGGGACATGGATGGAAGCTTGAAACTCAGATGAGTCACAGAGATGTTAGGAAGTTTTCTTTTAGCGTGAGAGTAGTGGGAAAATGGAATGCACTTCAGGAACAGGTTGTGGAAGCAAATACTATTCATAATTTTAAACCCAGATATGATAGGGAAATGGGACAGGAGTCATTGCTGTAAACAACCGATGCTCGAAAGGCGGGATCCAAGAGTCAATGCTCGATCCTGCAGACACAACTAGGTGAGTACACACACACACACACACACACACACACGCACAGTCAACACCTCCATCAGAGGAGCTCCAGGATATTTCGAATGCCTAAGTATTGTAGAACAGGTTGATGAACGTGAGTGGTGTCCCAAGAAACATAAAGGTGCAGTGTATTTGAAAAATAGGTGAAATTAAACGAATGTGCCAGGAGAAGTGAAATAGTTGGATGACAAAAAGCTACCATACTGTAAACAAACGCAGACGATGAAATTCAAGATGGCCGCCGTCAAGAGGAAATACAAAACATTTAAATTTCGATGAATTCAATTAAAGTATTAGTAAAAGCTATCTACACAACAAGTTGGTAAAATTAGATATTATTGTAACTACTATGTAGAAATAATCGGGAATTTGAGAAAGTAATGACCATTTGATTACCAAAGTAATCACAGTCCATATACCCAGTTCGATTCCATGGCTGAGAAAGAAACAAATGTTCAGTTTCTTTCAGCTGATGTCTGCGTTCACCAAGCAGTAAATAGGTACATGAGTTAGTCAGCTGTTGCAGGCTGCATCCTGGGATGTGTGTGTGTACTCACCTAATTATGCTTGCGGGGGTTGAGCTCTGGCTCTTTGGTCCTGCCTCTCAACTGTCAATTAACTGATGCACAGATTCCTGAGCCTACTGGGCTCTATCATATTGTGTGTGTGAGAGAGAGAGAGAGAGAGAGAGAGAGAGAGAGAGAGAGAGAGAGAGAGAGAGAGAGAGAGAGAGAGAGAGAGAGAGAGAGAGAGAGAGAGAGACAGAGAGGGAGAGACAGAGACAGAGAGAGGGAGAGAGAGAGAGAGAGGGAGGGGGAGGGAGGGAGGGAGGGAGGGGAGAGAGAGAGAGAGAGAGAGAGAGAGAGAGAGAGAGAGAGAGAGAGAGAGAGAGAGAGAGAGAGAGAGAGAGAGAGAGAGAGAGAGAGAGAGAGAGAGAGAGAGAGAGAGAGAGAGAGAGAGAGAGAGAGAGAGAGAGAGAGAGAGAGAGAGAGAGAGAGAGAGAGAGAGAGAGAGAGAGAGAGAGAGAGAGACAGAGAGGGAGAGACAGAGACAGAGAGAGGGAGAGAGAGAGAGAGAGAGAGAGAGAGAGAGAGAGAGAGAGAGAGAGAGAGAGAGAGAGAGAGAGAGAGGGGGGGGGGGAGAGAGGGGAGAGAGAGAGAGAGAGAGAGAGAGAGAGAGAGAGAGAGAGAGAGAGAGAGAGAGAGAGAGAGAGAGAGAGAGAGAGAGAGAGAGAGAGAGAGAGAGAGGAAAATAGATCTAGAGTCAACACATTAGACAACCGACGGTGGTAGGCGGTGTACGTGATCCAAGGGCTAAGAAATATCCTCCAGACACAAATAGTAAACACACACACAAGCGAGACAGTGCCAGCCTAAAGCATCGCTGCCTCTGGCCGCCGGTTGCATAGAGGCCATATGTCTTTCTGCTTCCCTCGTCCTCGTCCAAATGTTTTCAACGGTTGCTGTTATTATTCAAACAGATGTTATTATTCACTATTCACAACTATACAACAAATCACGACGTAGAGTCTTCAGGCCTCGAGAAATAAAAGGTTTATGTACGTCTTACACGAATTACACCAAGTATTTCAAAAGAGGAACTGATTTCCTATATACACTAGTACATACATACATTATATAAATATATATTATATATAATATATATGTAATATATATATATATAAACATCCTCATGTGCACTTTGTGGAGATAACATCTCAAGACATCAACTTGTAGGCTCCGGCGGGTCAAGTGGGGGTAGAGGGAGTTGTCCAAAGGCAGGAGAGGCTTACTTACAGGTGTGTGAAGATGACGACTGGTGTGGCGGCGTGTGTGTGTGTGGCGGCGTGGTGGTGCTGGCGGTGGTGTGGTGGAGGAACCAGCGCAGGCCCAGTATTGATTCCCAAGATCGTCTCCCTGCCTCACAACACCGCCCCCACCCGACCCCCACAACGCCCCGGCGACCCCAGGCCGGTGGGGCGTCTCCCTCCCCCAGCAGCGGGAGTACAGAATGGTTACGCCAGAGAAGTTGAATGAATGTAGATTATGAGTCACAATAACGTGGCTGAAATATGTTGACCAGACCACACACTAGAAAATGAAGGGACGACGATGTTTCGGTCCGTCATGGACCATTCTCAGGTCGATGGTCTTGAGAATAGTCCAGGACGGACTGAAACGTCGTCGTTCCTTCATTTTCTAGTGTGTGGTCTGGTCAACAAGTTAAATGAATGTTGGTGTGTGTAAGTAGGCGAACTTGGGTATTGTTAACAATACCCAAGGTAAACAGATATATGCTACAGCTAGAACAAATCTTCAAATATACCACAGAACATGAATTACTGACTATGCTAATTTATATTACGTTAATAGGTTAGGTTGGGTCATATCTCTTCGCTAGTTTTAACTCAAATTAAACAAAGGAACTCATATATAATGTAATGGAAACAGTTACAATTTCATAAGAACAAATAAAAAATATATATAACGTTAGGAAAACTTGGCTTATTAGGGAAATCGGGCCTCGCATATTAGGCCAAGTACGTGCGTTCTGGCTATTAGGTACAATACTTGACCGACTTTTCCGAACGACGGCAAACAGTCGTTATGAGTGAGTGTGTGAGTGTGTGAGTGTGTGAGTGTGTGTGTGTGTGTGTGTGTGTACTCACCTAATTGTGCTTGCGGGGATTGAGCTCTGGTTCTTTGGTCCCGCTTCTCAACCGTCAATCAACAGGTGTACAGATTCCTGAGCCTATTGGGCTCTATCATATCTACACTTGAAACTGTGTATGGAGTCAGCCTCCACCACATTGCTTCCTAATGCATTCCATTTGTCAACTACTCTGACACTAAAAAAAGTTCTTTCTAATATCTCTGTGGCTCATTTGGGCGCTCAGTTTCCACCTGTGTCCCCTGGTGCGTGTGCCCCTTGTGTTAAATAGCCTGTCTTTATCTACTCTATCAATTCCCTTGAGAATCTTGAATGTGGTGATCATGTCCCCCCTAACTCTTCTGTCTTCCAGGGAAGTGAGGTTTAATTCCCGTAGTCTCTCCTCGTAGCTCATACCTCTCAGCTCGGGTACTAGTCTGGTGGCAAACCTTTGAAACCTTTTCCAGTTTAGTCTTATCCTTGACTAGATATGGACTCCATGCTGGGGCTGCATACTCCAGGATTGGCCCGACATATGTGGTATACAAAGTTCTGAATGATTCCTTATACAAGTTTCTGAATGCCGTTCTTATGTTGGCCAGCCTAGCATATGCCCCTGATGTTATCCTCTTGATATGGGCTGCAGGGGATAGGTCTGGCATGATGTCAATCCCCAAGTCTTTTTCTCTCTCTGACTCTTGAAGAATTTCATCTCCCAGATGATACCTAGTATCTGGCCTCCTGCTCCCTACACCTATCTTCATTGCATTGCATTTGCTTGGGTTAAACTCTTAACAACCATTTGTTCGACCATTCCTTCAGCTTGTCTAGGTCTTCTTGAAGCCTCAAGCAGTCCTCCTCTGTCTTAATCCTTCTCATAATTTTGGCATCGTCAGTAAACATTGAGAGAAATGAATCTATACCCTCCGGGAGATCATTTACATATATCAGAAACAAGATAGGAACGAGTACAGAGCCCTGTGGGACCCCACTGGTGACTTCACGCCAATCTGAGGTCTCACCCCACACCCCTCTGTGTGTGTGTGTGTGTGTGTGTGTGTGTGTGTGTGTGTGTGTGTGTGTGTGTGTGTGTGTGTGTGTGTGTGTGTGTGTGTGTGTGCGCGCGCGCGCGCATGTGTATTCACCTAGTTGTGCTTGCGGGGGTTGAGCTCTGCTCTTTCGGCCCGCCTCTCAACTGCCAATCAACTGTTACTAACTACTAACAATATTTTTTCCACACACACACACCCAGGAAGCAGCCAATAGCAGCTGTCTAACTCCCAGGTCCCTATTTACTGCTGGATAATAGGGGCACCAGGGTGAAAGAAACCTTGCCCATTTGTTTCTGCCTGGTCCGAGAATCATACCCAGGCTACAAAATTACGAGTCCTGTGCGCTGTCCACTCAGCTAGCAGGACTTTTACAGGACTATGATGAAAATCGGTCTTAAAATGACCTTTTTGAATAATTTCGGCCTTACACTCTTAAATAAACTTCTAGGACAATATTCTCTGATAATGGTCTTTTTATAAATTTCGGTCTTAAACTCTTTAATAAACTTCTATGATTATATGAACTCTTACATATTTTCATAAAACTGAACTATGAAAAATTTTGAATTTCCTCCATAAGAACTCTTTAAGAACGTATGAGTGATTTTTTGTCCGAATTTTCCCCATAAGAACTCAATTCCAAATGAGTGATTTTCCAAAACAAAACAAAATTACCATAGAGTTTATTCTCAGTAAGATGGGAGCGGACTTTGCCCCTGAATTTTTCTATAACAAACTTCTATGAACTCTGAAATTATTTTGGCCTTAAACGAGTGTAACAGAGCGGTAAGTATATCTCCGAAAAATAAAATTTATCAGGAAACCCAACAGTCTATGGACGACTGGGAAATTTATCAGGAAACCCGACAGTCTATGGACGACTGGGAAATTTATCAGGAAACCCGACAGCATATTGACGATTGGCCCCCAAAATTCTGAATCGTCCATACGCTGTCATACCTACTACTACTACTACTATTTTATATATATATATATATATATATATATATATATATATATATATATATATATATATATATATACATACACATACATACATACATATACCCCAGGGGGGCTCCTAGGAGTGTGCTGTCTTCAGGTTTAGTTGTATGGATATTTGGCAAAACACCCTCTATTTTCTCTCTGATGCCCTGGTTGGAACATATTATTTCACACTTTGAAGGGTTCAGGGCGAGGCTTAAAATTGCACCTTACTCCTGGATTTTCCTGATGTCCTCCAAGCGGGAGTCTTGGGAACCAGCTAGGGTACCATCATCCAAGAACCTGGACAGGACTTCCGTGACTTGTTTGATGACCAAGCAGAAAAGGAGAGGAGCAAGGGGGGTCACCCTGTTGGACGCCTTCTTGCCAGTCAATTTCAGATTGCCAAAAGCTTTAATATTATAAAGTAGTATATTAGTAGTATATGTAGTAGTATAGTATTCTACTATAGTATATTATTACTAATACTATTATTATTACTATTACTAATTTTACTATTACTATTACTACTAGTATAGTAGTAGTATATATAGTAGCATATTAGTAGTATATATTATATATATAATACATATAAGTTGTGCTTTATTAGATATTTAAAGGTCACAAAATGTGCATTAGTTAATACAATGAATGTTTAAAGTTATGGATCTCTTGGAGCTCCTCTGCTTCTGGACAGGAACCGAGGACGCATTTTATTATTATTACTATTATATATATATATATATATATATATATATATATATATATATATATATATATATATATATATATATATATATATATATATATATATATATATATAAAAAAAAGTTCAGAGGTATGCCACTAGGGTAGTCCCAGAACTAAGAGGCATGAGTTATGAGGACAGACTACGTGAACTGCACCTCACATCGCTAGAGGACAGAAGAGCTAGGGGAGACATGATCACCACATACAAAATTCTCAGGAGAATTGACAGGATAGACAAGGATGGATTATTTAACACGGGTGGTACACGCACAAGGAGACACAGGTGGAAGCCGAGTACCCAAATGAGCCACAGAGACATTAGAAAGAACTTTTTCAGTGTCAGAGTAGTTAATACAGTAAATGGAATGCATTAGGAAGTGATGTGGTAGAGGCTGACTCCATACACAGTTTCAAATGTAGATATGACAGAGCCCAGTAGGCTCAGGAATCTGTACACCAGTTGATTGACAGTTGAGAGGCGGGACCAAAGAGCCAAAGCTCAAACCCCGCAACCACAACTAGGTGAGTACACACACACACCGGCACCAATGGCTGTGTGGATAGCATGCTGGACACGTGATCCTGTGGCCCGGGTTCGATTCCCGGTGCCAGCGAGAAACGATATATATATCAGAGTTTATCTCAATGGGCAGAGTTTCTTTCACCCTAATGAAAGTTTCATGAAACTAATAATGAGTTTCACCTTTCACCCTTTACTGTTACCTAGCAGTAAAATAGGTACCTGGGAGTTAGTCAGCTGTCACGGGCTGCTTCCTGGGTATGTGTGGGGAAAAAATATAGTAGTTAGTAACAGTTGAGAGGTGCGCTGAAAGAGCAGAGCTCAACCCCCACAAGCACAATTAGGTTAATACACACTGTATATATACAGTATACACACTTCATTAAACACAACAGCATTGTGACTATTAACTTTCTTTTAAATATTTTCCATTGTACACAAATATCTTCTACCATCTGGAGGGTGAAGAAACACTAGATCACTTAATCTTTCAATGTTTATTGCTCGACGTTTCGTCAGCAATGTGACATCTTCAGGAGTACACACTGTTGAACTGACACAGGTATACCGAGTTTACAAGATTGATTGATGAAGATTAAGCCACCCAAGAGGTGGCACGGACATGAATAGCCCGTAAAGTTTACAAGGAGAAATCTGGGCATTTATAAGTGTGGGGTACACCTCACACGATGATTCACCTGACCCCCCCCCCCTTATCGTAGGAAACGCCAAAGGATAGGGCGGTGTGACTGTTGCCTGCCTCCCACTTCTAGCTGTATGCCAGATCTTCATCTTCTCTCTGGATCAATGGAGGACCATTGAACAGCTGTATGCTCGAATTCAAATTCATCTGGATGTTGATTACTGGTGTCAGCTCCCGATTGAGCACAGCCTCAAGCGTTTGAAGCCTCCTATGATCGTCGGTGCGTGTAATTACTGGCGTATTATTCACTATGTCTTGGCGATTCAGGATGGTGTTGAGAATGTTGCTGCTTAATACCTCCCGCTTGGAATTGAAGTGAGATACATCTTCTCAGTGTATTTGTTGTATGTCCAATGTAGCATATATTTTGAAGCGCAGTCTCCAGAGCTGCAGTTACATTGATACAATACATTAGCACCTCTCAGTTTGCCAGAGGAAGCAGAGGTGTTATTTCTCATAATGAGGAAAGAAGTACAAGGGTTGTTATAATAAATGACAGTAAGAACCCTTGTGTTTTCACTGCAAGGTTTACAATTCCTGTCAATTATATTTGGTTTCACTTTCTCATCCTTCTTGTATACCTGAGTAAATGTATTTTTATAATACACTATAATGTCTTCCCTTGGGGCTGATTTTCCACCCCTAGGGCCCCGATTATCTTCAGTCAGTTGGCGGCCTAGCTTCTTACTAGCGATTTAGTCGCATTCTGCATTGCTGTAATCGTTGTTCACAACAATTTGGCAGATTCGTTCAAGTTCATGGTGCAAGAGCTGCCAAGTAGAGCATGTATATATTGCATGACCTACATATGCATATATGATGCTTCTGTTATACCTGTCAATGCATTCACTCTTACCGTTCATATATTTTCCTGCATCAGTTGTTTACGATACACTTCTATGAAGAATCTACCCGAGTTACCATCAACAAGAACATTGAAGAATGGAATCCTGACTTCTTCGCTTTTCTCAACGGTGAACTTCAAGCCTGAGAATTCTTGTAACTTGCCACGAAGCCTCTCCAATGTGTCATCATTGTCAACATGTATGAATATGTTATCGACATATTTACAGTAGATACTAGAGTTCAGCTCTTCTCTCTGCATGATGGATGAATAAACATGAGACATGAATGCCTGGGTGAACAAGACCCCCAATGGAGACCCCATTGCCACATTATCAACCCTGCAAGTAAAGTTTACCTTCTGGGCACATGAAAGGAACTTCAATGATGCAGGCCTTCAGCATATCCCATAAGATAGTTCGAGGCACCTTGAGTGGAGGGAGGAGCTCTTGTTGATATAAATGTTTACTGGAGACCTGAGAAAGCAAATGTGAGCCCTGTGTACCTGTGTGAATTTCAAATGTTGCATGGTAGATAAAAACTTCTCAGGATGCGATGTGCATCACCTGTCAAACACTTGTAAAACAGAACCAGGGCTATTCTGCAAATTCTTTTAAAAGTAAATTGCAGGTAAAGGATAAAATTCAGAGATTGAAAATGGGGAACAGATTCAGAGAATGAAAAGGAAATGAGTGAAACACTAAGTGAACAGTTCCAAGAGAATCAAAAGGAAATGTGTGAAACACTAAATGAACAGTTCCAAAGTGCACTTGTGCAAAATGAAGTTTTCAGAGCACCACACAATATGAATTTAACACTTTCGCGCCCTGGGCATGCGCGCCGCCAACTTAGAGGTCAAGCCCCCGGCGTACAGGCGATTGTGCGGGCGAGCCTGCAGCGACACCCGAAATGTGTATACTCGTTTCAGTTTTCTCACCTTAATTCTCATGCTATGTCGTTCGTTTTGGTATCATTGTGTTCGTAATAGAATTCCCAACAGATGTATATGCATATAATGTCCAAAAGCCCGGCGTGACTCCCCACAGCAAAGCCTAAAGTTGCCCGTGAACGAGCACCAATTTGCACACCGCAGCCTAATGTGTAAACTCGTTCAGTTTGATAACATCAATTTTCGTGTTACGTCTTTCATTTTGGTATCAAATTGTTCGCAATATAAAGGCACGTATTTTAAAATTATTCCCATAATAATAGAGCAATAACTGGAATTTTAACAAATATTTTAATTTTGTACGCTCATCATCACAAAATTATTTATATCTTTCCAGTGTTCTGACATAAATTTTAATGTTACATCTTTCATTTTGGTATCAAATTGTTCGCAATCTAAAGGCGTGCATTTTAAAACTAGTCCCATAATAATAGCACAATAAATAGAATTTTAACAAATATTTTAAAGCACTTAGAGCTTAGAGGTGTTAAATATGCTAAAATTAGAAAAAGAAGAAAAAGTGATATGTTCAATACATACAAAATAGTAACAAGGATCAACAAAATTGACAAAAGGAATTTTTAAAAGTGAAGCTTCAAGAACAAGAGGATATGCATTCAAACTAAGGAAACAAAGTTGACAAAAATGTTAGAATGTTCACTTTTGAGTAGTGATAAAACAAGTTAGTGAGAAGGTGGTGGAGGCAAATTGTGAGTAGTTTCAAAGTGTCATATGACAAAAAGTACTGGGAAGATGGGACACTAACCTGCCAGACACACGACGAAACTACGACCTTGCTACAACGTTTGATCAAAGTTTAACACCTAACAATTGTAACAACCAATATAGCAAGTTGTAATAATGTTCAAATACATCATGAAAACGTAATAACAAGATGTAACAACTTTATTACATGTTGTAACAAGGGAATCATAGGGACCGTTACATTGTGTTTGCAGGGAAGTGTAGTTACGCCTATCATTTTGTAACAACACTTAGATAATTGAAAAATAAACTTGAGTAATTAACTGAAAATGTGATAAACAGTGCAAGGGTTAATAAGAGATTATTTTATTACAGACCCTTCTGTATATTGTGATAAACTTCACAGTTACTAAAATTAATATATTTGTAATGAAAAATAAAGACACATATCGCTCCAATTGTAACAAAATGTTACTGGAAATTCTTTTATTTGCTGTTACACTCAGTGCTTAAAACTAAAAGCAAAACTTAAGGGAAAATTAAGATTATTTTATCTTAATTAGAACATTTCATCACCGTTAACTCAATTTCGTTACCATCCATCAAATGGAGATAAATCATAAAAAATACGTACCTGTAAAGTAATAAACTTTTCATGTTTTATACTAAACAGGATTTATGGTCATTATAATTAAAACCATTAAAAGGCGAGGAATACATTATCTCTAATTTACGATGAACAATTCCTGTGATTGGGTGCCAAATATGAGACAAAACAAGTATCCTCTAAATAAGATTACCGGGTAATTCAAATTTTGGTGCATGAAAGGTATAGGTATTACATGTGTATAATAATTCATTTTGTTTTTTTTTCAGCCATGCTCTACAGCTTTGTACTCTTGCAAGAAATGCTAAAACAAGCTTGAATAAAATATATTTATGGCACTTTTGGTATTAACAATATTAAGTCACAATGTAAAGGACTGGATACTATCAAATACTGGAAAATGCTCATCGCAAAAGCCTTTCAAAAAATGCTATTTTCACAAAGACCGATCTCACAATGAAAGAAACGAGGCAATTAAGCTCTATAAAATAACCAGATTTGACTTGCATTCAGAAAACATGAACTTTTTATTAAATTAAAAAGCCCTAAAAGTAACAACGGAGAATTTAAATGCTTCTTCGAATAATGAGCATATAAAATTTTCCTATGAAGGTATTCCCAGCCATCATTATTATTATTATATATATATATATTAAATATGATAATCTCTAAATCACAGCTGGTTTTGCCAAACGTGGATGAATTATAATTAAAGAGACTGATGAGTTACATTATTGAACTTTTAGTATTGAATATGAAAGAACACAGCTTCTATATTAGCATAGTTACACATGCTTTCTTGCACCCTTATTACATTCCTAATATATCCCCAGATAAAGGAATTAGGGATGGGGACCTTTTTGAGCCCTCCCAAATAGTGGGAGATCATATCAAGGACTCATTATCCTTTTAACCAAAAGTTATTTACTTATGAAACTTTAGTCAAATTTTAGGGATCAATTGCATCTAAATCATGGGATGGTGATGCATCATGTTCAGAAACACTTTCTTTAATATCTCCTAGTTCAGTAGGATCACATTCAATTTCCATCTCCGTTGATTCTAACTCGCTGAGCAGAGCTGTAGCCTCCTCCAATGTTAACTGAAAAGAAATTACTATATAGAGTGTCATATCCAAATATTCTGTAATACTGGACATTTTATACTGCAAGTAAATATGTGCAAAAGTATAGGTGTGAATACAAGCAAAACAATAGGTGAGAATATGAACAAGGTGATGGTGTATTGATGGATACAATACATACATGACGTATAATGTCATGTGACTGGTCAAAAAAATTCTGAAAACACTGCCTAAGAAAGAAATCCATGTTATCTCACCATTAATAAAATATTGAATGCAATGAAATCTGATTTGGTAGATGCTTCAGACTTCTGATACCCTACCTTGCCTACAGTCAACCAGAACTAGAATCTGGCTTGCTGTATGAGGCAAGGAAACCTTGGGGAGCAGCAATCTTCAGGAACATTTCCCAACCAATCCTCAAATATGTGGAGCCACATATTTTGTATATGTGGAGCCACAAAGTTTTGTACCCTGTATTCTGTTTAACCCCTGGGCGGAGCTTGGGATTAAAGCCTGCAACACCGCTAGGCGCAAGAAAAAAAATTCAATTTTTTTTCTTCTTCTTCTAAGATTGTTAAAATGTGTTCCGTAATCACAGGAAAAAAAAATCGTAGGTGACATATTTTGGCCGCAATAGGACGAGAAAGTTTTTCAAAATTGAGGCGTTGACAGAGTACGTGTTTGGCAGAGGTCTGCTCCACCCATGCTGTCAGGTGGGAGTTGCCACAGAGATAGTATTACTTAATTATTTCAATGTTTATGACTAATTTTTTCTATATTTTTTCTTTTTACAGTAATATTATTCAATAGTGTGTAATGTGATATATTTATATATTCATGCTGTGTAGGATGGCTACTATGCTTTTTGGACACCATACCAGCTTAGATGTACAGTTATGGTGAACAAAACGTGTAGATACTTATATATAACGTGTGTATAAAGTGTAATAAGTATCTACATGTTTTGTTCACCATAACTGTACAACTAAGCTGGTATGGTATCCAAGCAGCATAGTGGCCACCCTACACAGCAAGGCAAGTTACACACCAATTAGCAAATGATGCCACCTCCCTCACCAAAATGGCTCCTCCCAACATACTCATTTTACTGTTATTACACTATATACACATGTTATATATAAGTATCTGCATTTGTGTTTACTACAAATGTTCACCACACCGTGGAGCCGGCGGCTAAGCAGACAGAACACTGGACGTGTGATCCTGTGGTCCCAGGTTCACCGTGTTCACCACACCGTTGAGCCGGCGGCTGAGCGGACAGAACACTGGACGTGTGATCCTGTGGTCCCAGGTTCACCGTGTTCACCACACCGCTGAGCCGGCGGCTGAGCAGACAGAACACTGGACGTGTGATCCTGTGGTCCCAGGTTCACCGTGTTCACCACACCGCTGAGCCGGCGGCTGAGCGGACAGAACACTGGGCGTGTGATCCTGTGATCCCGGGTTCGATCCCGGGCACTGGTGAGAAACAATGGGCAGAGTTTCTTTCACCTTGATGCCCCTGTTACCTAGCAGTAAATAGGTACCTGGGAGTTAGTCAGCTGTCATGGGCTGCTTCCTGGGGGTGGAGGCCTGGTCGAGGACCGGGCTGCGGGGATATTAAGCCCCGAAATCATCTCAAGACATCTCAAGATAACCATAGCAAACTACTAAGCTGGTATAGTGAGTCCAGACAATAACAGGTCACCACACAATGTCAGCAGACAATGCTACCTCCCTCCCTCACTAAGATTACTCCTCCCACTATACTACACACATCGCTTATTATCACCACAATCCTGCTATCATCAGAATCCTGGTCATTTTTATCACAGTCAGACTCTTCTGTAATACTATCATTGCCAAATAATAGTAGTTACATATATATTTTGACATTTTTAGGCGATGCTGTGGTCACAAGCTGAACAGTAGTGCTGTGAGCTCATGCTGCGTGCACCAGTCAAAAACTTTATTAATATCTGCTTTTAGTTTTTCAATGTCTTTAGCAGAGGTAAATTTCATGCTGATTTTTGTGTCATCAGGAAAGGATGATACAAAGCTATGACTTGTATTTTTGTCTATATCTGATATGAAAATAGGGAAAAGCAGTGGTGCAAGGACTGTACCTTGAGGGGTCAGAGCTTTTAACTGTGCTTGGACTCAATTTTATTTGGTTGACTGTTAATCTTTGGATTATGTTCGACAAAAAATTGAATATCCACCGTCCTGTTTTACCTATTATTCTCATTGACCACATTTTGTGTGTTATCACTCCATGGTCACATTTACTGAATGCATTTGCAAAGTCCATGTATTCCAAAACTGCATTTTTTCTTCTAACCCTTTCCGTAAGAGTTAATAGTGGATATGGAAAGATTACCACTATTTCATAATTTCAAAATACAGTAAATAAAAAAATTTGACCCCTAAAACATGCAACCAAAGGGCTAAAATCTATACCGTAGAAATGGGAGTTTATTGTACAGAATAGCCAATACCAAAACCTTCATCTTCCATCATTGAAACTCAGAATTACTGTTACCAAATTGGGTTAATCCATTATTTGTTTAATTGTTGTAATTATTTACCTGTGCACTAGTTGTACGTTGGAAATTTTTAGTGTTGGAATCTTCATTGCTCATCCCAGTAACTGCTGAAAGAGTTGCTGAATGGTCATCCATTTTTCCTCGTAGCCACTCGACAGCCCACTGCCAGCGAGTCTGGGTACGAGTAAGATGATCCCGGGCTAGTGGGCAACGGGCAGAGAGCGTTACCACCAACTTGATGCACTGGTAAGCTCGTCTACTGTCATAATCTTTGTTGGTTCCAATCATGTCTGTCAAGAACAACAAGATTTGTACATGTGCTTATTCCTAATGGGTTTATGAATCTTAAAAATTTGATTTGAATGTAAAGAAACACCTCTTTTTGGAAGTGCATCGGTGGCTATATCTTACTGAGATTGCTACATACTAAAAGGCCACATCAGTTGTGGAAGTTTTGTTTGGCCTTCCGGGGACCAGAGACAGAACCTGGTTTTTCTCACAGAGGTGCAGAGAACGAGTGACAATGCTTTACCCTACTGGTAAAACCCAGCATTGAATGTAATGAAATGCCAATTTCTGGGTGAGCCCCAGAGATTCCCTGAAGCTATCACACTGATTTAGTGCCACACTACTTAACAGTCATGGAGTTCTTTATGTCTACTGGGGACCACGAGCCAGAACCTTGTCCCCTCAGACAGGCGCAGGGAGCAATGGCCTATGATCACTTTACATTTAAAGTATATCATCTTTGCCATCACCTAGGGAATGCACCCAGAAAGATAGGCGAATCAGAACAGACCACTGCCTGGTTTAAAACGAGACCAACAACCACAACACACCCCACAGCTACACAAGGCCACAGAGGAATAAGGACATTTACAAGATACTTGGCAGCCAAGACCCTGTTAAATCTCCAAAACCCCCATGCCCGAATATCGGCCCAAGACAAAGTATTACCAAAATTGGCCGACAGAATAGTGTACTTCTGATCATAATGAACATGAGGGTAGGCAACAGGCTGGCCAGCTTTCATGACACTGCGGACAAACAAAGACACATGAACCCTGGAACAAGAAAGCAGGGGAAACTGGACCAACCCACAATGAGTTCAACGAAACAGAACTGGTGGGCCCGAAGGTAGCGGTGTAAAGCCGCCACTGGACACAGCGCATGATGCACTCCCGGCCAAACCAACCAAGTGTTAACCGCTACAGGACCCTTTCCAGAAGCCTGTCGACTCATTCTTCGCCAGAGAAAAAGGAGCCGGTTGTAACCTAACAAAATGATCACCGAGACCAAAAGAACAAAACCACAGGCACCAGGGAGAGGATGAAGCTCACTTCCCTGACAACTGGAAGCCAAGGAAAGCAAAAACAAAGCTTCCAAAAGTAATCGCGGACCGAAGGGGGCCACCATGAAACGAGCAGAAGAGGGAAAAGAATGAACACCCCAAACACACAGCACATCAGAAATAGGATGGCAATTCACTGAGGCAGCTAACAAGAACTGAGAAACAATCTCCCCAGGAAACAGCAGAGGAAAAAAAAAAGAGAGGGAGGGAGGGAATTATCAGGGAAAAGCTCCAAGCCATTATGACAATACAGCACCTGGAAGGGGTCAGGTTAAGGATTTGGGATAGGACGGGGGGAAGGAATGGTGCCCAACCACTTGGATGGTCAGGATTGAATGCTGACCTGCATGAAGCGAGACTATCGCTCTACCATCCATCCCAAGTGATTGGGCAGGACAAAAAGGAGAAGCTGAGATGAGAGCCAGGGCCCACACCGTGTCCAAAGAATGAGCCAGCACAGCCTGCTGAGACACGAGATGGGAGGAGAAAAAAAGGAAACCTCCTTCTGGAGGATTGGAGCATACAGTTTAAGCATGGCTGCCAATGCTGAAGCAGCTCTGATGAAAACTCCGACAAGAAGACCCCTCATTGAACGCTCCCACGTCCTCCGAAAACCAATCAGAAAAAAGCTCCAGGAGGCTCAAGAACCACAAAACAGAAGCCAAGTGCGCACGGGTATGTAATCTGTCAGCCACCAAGGCAGCCGACAGTTTGGGAACCTGAGGATTTAGTTGCACAAGACCTACGTCATGGGGCAAGGGCAGGAGCAAAGAGGCATGCAATGAGTGCCTCAGAAAAGAACTCCCCAGAAAAACCTCCTGCAACACAGGAAACACCTCCCGCCAATCAAGTGTGTGTAGATACAGCAAAAACTGTGCCAGGCCCCCTAGCAAAAACAATAAACAGTCCACTACAACTCCTCCAAATCTCACAAGTTGTGGAACAAGAGCTAGAAAAAGTATCAGATGTGCCCCACACAGCATGTATTGTGTATGGGCCAGTACAAACCATAAGTGGTGCCATCTTTCCGTGACACAGAATAGAATGGTGCCTATGATTAGAAGAGGTAACAGTAGAGACAAGCACAATGACCTGGGAATCTGGGTCCAATGAGAACCTTCCCCGACCAGCAACAGGTGAGCCCCCAACCCTAGTGGGGACTCGCCCACTAGGTGGATTTCCCTGGGCCTCCAAAAGGACCAGGGTAATCCAAGAACTAGGCCAGTACAACCTGCTGACACATGAAGTGTCCAACCATTTGGGCTGGAAGGTAGAACGACGGCCTGACTTTATGTAGGTCGGCATTCAATACCTGACCGTTCAAGTTGTTGAGCACCATTCCTTACCCCCCATGCCATCCCAAATCCTTATCCTTTCCAAGTGCTATATAGTCATAATGGCTTGGCACTCTCTCCTGATAATTCCCCTTCTGTTCCTGAAAGATAGGGTTGAGCCAAAGCTGGCACTACAGGCTTCAAGGCATCCACACCCGGGCCTGAACCAAGTGAATCCATGTCCTCATGGAGCTTCATTTGTCCACATTTTTGGGGAGTCCCAGAGCAAACAGGCAGTCATAAAACACAGAATAAGGAGTGCTGCCCAAGTACTCCTGAAAGGTGAAATTCAATTTGCTCCATTCAAACGTTCAGTCAAACAGAACTCATACCAAGCCCCAAAGAAAAAAAAGAGAGGATTCTTTTCACACCACACAGGGCAAAATGTGGGACAATGGAAACCTCCAGAAATAGGACCAATCAGAGGCACCAAACAGCACATGGTATCAAACCATAGGGTAAGCTGCCAAGCAAACAAACTCATACAGCAAAGGGGACAATGAAAACCTGTCCCCTTGAAGCAAAATACCCTCCTGAAAAGGAACCAACATCCAAGAATGGCTGAAGGGCATCCATGGACCCTCCTATGGCTACCCCTTAGCCCCTGAAGAAAGCCACAATGGCCCCCAGGCAAAGCCATATCCTTCGTCCAATGCCAGGGGCAGAAAGGTGTCTTCTAAAGGAGGAGGACTGAGTGGTTGTGAAGGCAAAGGCTATGCATCACTGGAGGAAAAGACAGCTCAACTGGTTTCACTGTCGAAGTGGATGCGACCACCCCCAGAGAAGGCCAAGCTATACCCTGAGCTTAACCATGCCCCGACTCAGAAGCCCTCAGACAGAACATGAAATGTAGAGGGATTTGGTCATTTCCTGTTCAATACTCACCCAGCAAGCATTGGAAATATTGCCAGAACAAAGATGGACTTCAAGAACCAATTAGATAAGTTCTTGCAAGAAGTACTGGACCAACCGGGCTGTAGTGGATATGTGGGCCTATGGGCAGCTACAAGCAACAGCCTGTTGTATCATGTTATCACAAATCGAGCCTGGCCTCAGGCCAGGGTCAGGTAGTAGAACTTCTGAGACCCTCTTTAAGTAAGGTACGATCCAGGTAAGAGTTAGGGGAGATATGATTACCACATACAATATTCTTGTGGGAATTGATAGGGTAGATGAAGAGATTATTTAGCCTGGGTGGTACTCACACAAGGAGATACAAGTGGAAACTGAGTGTCCAAATAAGCTACAGAGACATTATAATTTTTTTTTCAGTGTCACAATACTTAACAAATGGAATGCGTTTAGGATGTGGTGAATGCAGACTCCACATATATATGATAGAGCCCAATAGGCTGAAGAACCTGATTGACAGTTGAGAGGCAGGACCAAAGAGTCAAAGCTGAACCCCCTTAAGCACAATTAGGTAAGTCTGTCAGTACGAGGGAAGAGAACCATGTGCACAGGCAGCTCCAAGTGCAAAACAAGCCAAGTCCACACAACCAAGCTGGGAAGAAAACACTCATATGAAGCAAAAACTAAAATAAAGAATAAATACACAAGTAAATGGCCTCAATAGGACAAAGACCAAAGGATAGCTGGCACTTAGCTGAGCAGCAGTATGAATCGCAGCAACAGATGATGATCCAGACGGCACTGCTACACAGTGTTTATACAACCGCATCAACAATAGGACTGACCAATGGACCAGTAGCTATGAGGTGGGGCTCTGGGCCACCTGTTGGTGGCTATCGATACTAACGGGTTCATGCAATTAAGAGTGAATCGCTTGTTGCGCCCAAATAGTCTGCGTAGTCATTGACCATTTAAGTGCTCTGTTTTCTATGAATCTTGCCGCTGTCTGTAAATGTTCGCCGACTTTCACTATGCTTTCCCGGTGAGGGTGGTGACAATAGTCTCCTGCTCTCTGCATCTGTGAAGGTGGCCAGGTTCTGGCTCTGGTTCCTAGTAGCTGTAACAGGCCTCCTGCGACTGATGTGACCCAGTAGTTAAGAGAGATAGTTTCAGGGAGCCACCAAGGAGTTCCTTCCAGAAAATTAATCTTCGCCCCTTTAGGTAGGAAAGCTACTGGGGGGGGGGGGGGAGGAGATTATTAAGAAAATAAAGGAATGAGTATATAGATGGTGTGATAAAGAAAAAAGTATGGTAAAAAAGTTTATGAAGTGCAGTAAGTATGAGGCTGGGATGAGATATTAGTAAGCAAATTTAATTTAAATACTGTATAAGGAAGACTACTAGTCCACAAATAAAACCTAAAGGTGAGAGAGCTTGCCCAGCTACCAAGATTCATTACATGTAAAGTTACGTTTTAAATAAAGTGTTGCCAGAATCAACTTGAGTAGACAAAAAATTACTTGATGAATACCTAAAAGGCCCATAATGTTTTCTTCATCTGAGCTCTGAAATCCTTCCAGGACAGCAATGGTGCGACTAGACTGTAGGGAGTCACTCACATTCTGATGTAGAAAGGAATATATCAATACATTAATAAAATAGACTTTGTAAATGCCCATAAAATTATAATTAATGCAAACCATACCAGTATATATTCAAATAAAACAATTTGCTGACCTTAAACACAAACCTAGAATATGAATGTGAACACACACACACACACACCTATACAAGAGGTCCCCTGTTATACAAACACCCGTTATAACAATACTTGTCCAACTAAACAGCCTCCCAAATCCACAACTGTGAGTGTCTCAATTCGCTAGACATATATAAATCAAACAAAATGTCCGAATGACCCACTAGTGTCATTCTATAACCCACACTGGCCCAGTCAGCAGTACTGCAATTACTCTCATAAAGAGCTAATCCTCTTTACTCTCAAAGTTCAAATAGTGTAAGGTAATTTCACATGTAATTGTTGGAGCAAAGTGTCAGTAGTAGACCAGTTGTGTTGTTTTTCCTTGACGTTTGCCATCCACAGCTGTTGGCTACACGATTCTTATGCTTATTCCTTCACTTATTTTACCCTGCCATTGCTGTTGTATAGCAGGCATAGGGAGGATTGCAGGCATTCTCAGTCAGATAGACTATCTCCTGTTTAAATGACTGAGAATTGCCTAACAATTATCCATGCATTAGCATGGAGTAAATGTCAGCCTAATTCGCATATGGCGAGAGCTAGTTCAGTGGGAATATCCAATGAACCACTGGAACCTGGAAAAAAAGAACCATTTCTTGCCGAGCCCGGAAAACCCCTGGGTTTTCCAAGGCCCTGCAAGCAATGGCCCTGCAGGAAAGTCCAGGCACATTAATCACTACACCAGAACCCAGGTTTACTATTGGAACAGGTCCCTTTAATATCAAGAGGGGAAGTCTCTATGTAACAAAAGATGAAGGTAATAGAATCGTTTGGACACTGGAATGGGTATAAGTAGGCCAACCCAGTTCACTGGAGGCTAAGAAGGATATCCAAGGTTGGCCAAGGATTGCTAACCTCAGCAAGCCGTAATTAGGAAGTGGTCCCCAGTGTCCTGCTGGGCAAAAGTCCCTCCCAACCCCCAGGAAAGATCACAAGTAAAAAAACCAGCGTTGAAAAAATAACGTAATGAAACGCTAGTTTCTGGGCGAGCCCTGGATGCTCCCTTAAGCAATCATCACTGTTTAAGTGCCATCAGTTGCCGAGACCTTTTTGCCTACCGGGCACCACGAGCCAAAACCTGGGGACGGCAGGACCCGCCACAAAACCTTACCAATCCCTGAACCCCAGACAGATAGGGGTTCCTTGAGGTCCAGCGCAATCATCCAAGCGTCCAAATTGAAAATGAGCTGGACCTGGGACAAAGTTTGTCATCCAAAATGAAAGGCAAGAGATCAATCACTTCAGATGACACAAATCCAGAATGTACCAGAGATCTGCACGGTCCCATTTCGTAAATGGAAACAGGCAGGAAATCCACCTGAGAGACGAGGTCATTTTGACCACGCTTAAGTGAACCCACTCCGAGATGACCCGAAGGATGAATGAGGAAGAGGCTTGCACTCCCCCCTTCCCCAGACATGGCCCCTCAAAGAGTGGAAGTCAGCCCAATGCCTTCGAAGGCTACAAGAAACAACCCGAAAAGCCCACGAATCATAAGACCAGGCGTGGGCCAAAAGAGCCAGCCTCCCCCCATGTTCCATGAATGGGGCGACCTGCAAAAGAGCCCGACAAGAACCCTAAGAGCTCGACTTACGTGCAAAGTAAACACCGCACCGATCAGATGAAGGCACCGGGGTAACCACAGACTCAGAAACTGGCATCATTGGCCTACTCCGACCAAACAAAGAAAGCCTGAGCTCTGGCACGACCCTTCTGGGAGGGCCGGGACCACCCCCCCTTCCCTGAGAACCAACAAATCCAAAATAGGCCAGCAACTAACTGAAGTCACTGAGAGAATCTGAGACACAGTCCTATTGAAACAAAAGAGGACAAGACAGTGAAACGGATTGAAGAGCCAGGGCCCAAGCTGTATCTAACAAGAGAGCCAGGACAACTTGACATGCGAGACGGGAGGTAAAAACATGGAAACCACCTCGAGGAGGATCGGTGCAAACAGCTTCCAAAATCCTCAGACGTTTGGGAGCCAGAAGCAGGAGGGAAGGGAATGAGCAGGGCGAATCATGCCCACCTTGGAAGAAAGAGGCGGCACAGACTGAACCAAGGCCGAAGCGACCAAGGCCCTGTGACCCTGCATTTTCAGAAAGCCAATCCGTAGACAGCTCTAGAAGACCGAAGAATTGCAAGACAGAGGCCAAGTGACTGCAAGTCTGCCAGTTATTGTCAACCAAAGCAGCCGAAAGAATGGGGACCTGAGCATGAAGCTGCACCAGACCAACATCAGTAGGAAGCACAGGGGCACTCATTGAGAAACTCTTAGAGAGCCACCCAAGAACACCTGCAACACAGTGGTAACTTCCTGCCACTCAAGCGTGCGGGTACGACAAGTCATGCCATGCCCCAAGAGAAAAGAAGGGACAGTCTGCCAGCAAGGATGGCTCTGGAACCATATAACGCACCCAATACGGGAGAGAAGGCGACCTCAAAGGAAGCTGGATCCCTCATCGAGGCGTAAACCGGATCTTGCAGGAGGTAAGCACCAATAGCCTCCCGAACCACTACAGGGGAAATTCAAGAGGACAAAAACCTCCAGAAAGACAAATCCGAGGAACCCAAAGGTATCTGGAAACGAATCCAGGGGGGAGGAGGTTGTTAGCCCAACCCAACTCAAACTCATAAAGGAAAGGAGGGGTGTGAAAATTCCCTACCCTGATGAAGGAGACCCTGTGCAGAGGGCACAAGGGCCCAAGCGGGGTCAAATGGAACCCAAGAGCCCCACTCAAGACTCCCCAGAGCCCCGGAAGCCAACGTCACAGGCCCCAAGGCAGAGCCCTCATCTCCACCCACTGGTGGAAGGAAAGGCGGAGTCCAGGGGAAAGGTTTCAAAGAAGGGAGTCGGCTGGGTCGACTTAGAAGCCTTGGTGGGAAGGAAAGGCTCAACAACCTCCAAGCCTGTATCGGAAGGGGCAGCCCTCGAAGTCACCCAAGCCTCACCCCAAGCTAAACCTTGCCCCGACTCCAAAATCCTCAGACGTTTGGGAGTCAGAAGCATGGGGAGAAGGAGCAGGGTGAACCATGCCCACCTGAAAAGAAAGAGGAAGCGAAAACTGAATCAAGGCCAAAGCGATCAACTCCCCAAATCCAAGCCCCTAAAACCCAAGCAGGATAGCTCCAAGGCTTCCAATGGGGCAGCCAACCTGGCCTGTTGCAATATAAAGAACTGTTTATGCAACACAGCAGCTGCCTGATCCCTCAGAATATCAGGTAAGGGATGAGTGAATCGGAGCATAAGCGTGGAGCAAGTCCCATAAGACTCTGGGTTGTAGTGTCCCCGACCCAACAGGCAGCATGGCAGAGGCAGAATGGATGATCATCACCAGAGGCAAGGGCAACGAACAACCCTCGAATTCGCTCAAGGCAAGAGTGGGCTCAGAAGAAGTATCCATGATATGACCGAGCCCACAGGGGTTTTCCAGGGCCCTTTAAAGTGAATGAGCCCTACAGGAAGCCCAGGTACTGGGGCCAGTTAAGCAAGTAAACCCTATTGATGCAGGCAAACCGCCCACAGGCAGTGGCTATAAAGCCTCGGGGGCAACAGAGGAGTACCACCACCAAACCTAGGAGCCTAATGAGGTGCTAAACAGAACTCCTCTGTAATAGGTGAAAAATGCCAAGAAACCAAAACAAAAACAAGCAGTCGGAGAGAAACGTCGCTGCCATGCGATAGCTTAGGCAGGCTACACCAGCCGCGGTCCACCCCGCCAGTCGATGGTGGGGCGCACCATCACCCAGGGCAAGGCAGAAAGCCCAAGACCCCGTCTCACCCCAAGGGGGGAGAAAACCACATGCAAGGAAGTCTTGTAATGGGGAGTGAATCCTAAACACCACGGGAAAAATGAGCCTTGACCATGCAAGTGCTGTACTCACGTAGCACCTAGGGAAGACAGCCTTACGTGCATGCAGCTCTGTTACACAGGAACTACTGGCCAAACACCACAAGTGCAGGAACAGCCTCACAAGGCAAAAACTCCCAGAACAGGAAACCACGGTCATAGGCGATATCCGACCGCCAAGCACACATGTCAAGAATTAGATGGTGGGCAGCACGGATCACCCGGGCTGGGCTACCCCCCCAACCCACCTCCCCATGAGGGGGGGAGCACTAACAAGCAGGTGGATAGTTGGACGAAGTGTTGCTTCGTCACTTTGTTGCAATAGTAAAGTATCCCTATTAGACATACCAAAAATATTAGCCAAAAGGACAATAATATAATGCACAGAATGTTATATGATATCCAAATAAAATTAACTACAAATAATAATCTTACCAATATTTCTATGAGGAGCTGAGATAAATTTTTCAACATATTTGAAGGAGGCTTTGCATATTCAGTCTGAAATAAAAGAGGAACAAATATTAATAATATTTAAGCTTAACAGCACTTACAACGACTGTCACCTTATAAAACACCAGCGTTGAAAGTAATGAAACGCCAATTTCTGGGTGAGCCCCAGAGGCTCCTTGAAGCTATCATATACTGATCAGTGCCATAATACTTGGTGCAATCAGTCACAGTCACCTCTCTGATGGGGCAAGAGAACCTGGCCCCATCAGAGAGGTGTAGGGAGTGATGGTCTATGAATACTTTACACTTAAGTTAATCATAATTGCCACCACCAGGAAAGGTACCCAGAAAGATAGGTAAACCAAAACAGACCACTGCATAGTAAAAACCGAGACTACAACTGCAAAACTGGCAAAAGAACTTCCCCCAACAATGAAAACACACTACCAAAATTTTGTGTAACTTGTGCGCACTAGTTTGCTGCACTAATCTCCTCATTTAGGGGAAGGCATACCAAGTCAGCTTCCAAACAAGAGATGCCACACCTATGATGATATTTTTTAAGACATTAGTGCTCTCTAGAGTGGAATACTGTTGCACACTAACAGCCCCATTCAAAGCTGGAGAAATTGCTGACTTGAAGTGCATGCAAAGACCTTTTACTGCTGAATCCTCTCAATAAAACATCAAACTATTGGGACAGCCTAACAATTTTAAATCTGTATTTCCTAGGGTACAGGCAGGAGAGAGACATAATAATTTGCAATTGGAAAATATTAGAAGGACTGGTTCCAATTTGCACACAGAAATAATGCCACATGAGATCAGAAGGTTTGGCAGGATGTGCAAAAAGAGCCCCACTGAAAAGCAGATGTGCAATAAGTATGCTGAGAGAGAACTCTATCAACATCAAAGGCCCAAGAGTTTTCAACACTCTTCCCCTACACATACGAGGCATAACTGGCCAACCTCTTGCAGTGTTCAAAAGAGAACTCGACAAGCACCTTCAGAGGATACATGATCAATCTGGCTCAAGAGTAGCACTATTGAGTGCACAGAGAAGACAACACTGAGCACATGCAGCTCCAAGTGCTCTTAACTTCTGGCCCAAAGTGTTAAGTTAACACTACACCAAAGTGTATTGAAACAGCTTCCAAAGCAAAAACCATCACTTAGCTGAAAGCAAAGCAGCAGAGCCAGAGCAACAAAGCGGCAACCCTACACACTCTTACAATCAGAGTAGAACTTTGGGTGGAGTTGCCGGCTGACCACGGGGCGCCTCCCTCCTCCTCTTCTTTCATGAAAAAAGTGGGGAAGGTGGGGTGAATGAACTGATGTTAGTTTCGGGATACCTTTTTTATCATTTGTTTACATAGTTTGGAGAGTTCTTTGGGTGGTTCTCAAGGTTCTGGTCTCACTGAAGCCAGAAGTGACTTGTTTGGTTTGCCAACTTTCTGGGTGCCTCTCCCAGTGGATGCCATAAATAACTTAATACATAAATACCACGGCTCTCTGCACATCTGTGAGGTTGAGGACCAGGGTCTAGCTCTGGTCCCTGGTAGGCCAATACAACTATACGACTGATGGGATCTAGTTGTATGATGTGCACAGAGTGAACCTTGTGGCTCAGGGACCCAGAAGGAGCTCCCCCCAAGAAAATAAACAGTTTCCTGCAAGAAGTGCCAGACCAACTGGGATGTAGTGAATATGTAGGTCTGCTGGCCACACCAAGCAACAGTCTGTTGGATCAAGCAATCACAAGTCAAGCCTGGCTACCCGCAGGTCAGGTTTGGTGTGTAGAATAACCACCAGAACCTATTGCAGGTAAGATCCACATAAGATGACTGCTTTAAAAAACCAATTCAGATTTTCAAAAACACACCAGCTTACTTACCATCACTGCTGTCAAAAGAGCACTGGTGAATGAAGAATTCATTGTTGCAGCTTCTTTTAATGTCAATGTCAGCTGAGGTATGTTGCCTGTTATTTCTTTGTAAGCCATGACAGCCTCCTTCAACCAGCGAGACTGATCTCCACCGTACAAGACCTGAACCACTTCTCCAGGCATCACTAACTTCTTGGGTTCAATTTTGCTTTTCTGTTCACTTGTTGAATCTGATCATAAAAGATAAAACACAACAAAATTTACATTAGAAAATGTATATAATTAATTAAAATCAGCAGTGGGTACATTTCTAGTAAGCAGGCAATAATATGAACAACTAGAATTCAACTATTATAGTTGTGTTTAAGGGGGTTGAGCTTTGGCTTTTTGGTCCTGCCTCTCAACCGTCAATCAACTGTTGTACAGATTCCTGAGCCTACTGGCTCTTTCAAATCTACATTTGAAACTGTGTATGGAGTTTGCCTCCAACATATTACTGCCTAATGTTCCATTTGTTTACTACTTTGACACTAAAAACTAGAATTTTAGACACTAGAACTTCCTTCTAATGTCTCTATGACCAATGCAACCAATGGGAATGTATTCCAATGCACCAAGTACCAATGCAGCCAATGTCAGGCTCCAGTTGGGCGTGACAGCTGAGTGGACAGCACTTCAGATTCGTAGTCCTGAGGTTCTGGGTTCGATCCCCGATGGAGGCGGAAAAAAATGGGCAGTTTCATTCACCCTGATGCTCCTGTTCACTTAGCAGGAAATAGATTCCTTGCAGTTAGACAGCTGCTACAGGGTGCTTCATGAGGGTGTGTAACAAAAATGAGGTCTGGTCGAGGATCGGGCAGCGGGGACGCTAAGCCCCGAAATCATCTCAAGATAACCTCAAGAGAAGAAGATGGCTCATTTGACTATGCAGTTTCCACCTGTGTCCCCATATACATGTACCACCTGTGTTAAATAAACTGTCTTTATCTATCCTATCACTTCCTCTGAGAATCTTGTATGTGGAGATCATGTCTCTTCTAACTCTTCTTCCTTTCAGCAATGTGAATTTCAGTTCCCATAGTCTCTCCTCACAGCTCATATCCCTCAGCTTGGGTACCAGTCTGGTGGCATATCTTTGAACCTTCTCAAATTTAGACTTGTGCTTAACTAGATGTGGGCTCCACGCTGGAGCTGCGTATTCCAGGATCGGTCTGACATATGTGGTATATACAATACAATACAATACAATACAATTTTATTTAGGTAAGGTACATACATACAATAAATATTTACAAGAATTGTTTGACTTATAGGTAGAGCTAGTACATACAATGCCTAAAGCCACTATTACGCAAAGCGTTTCGGGCATGATAAACTTAAATGACAAGCTTAATACTAATTGAGCATAATGAGTAGAATGAAAACAAGAAATGAAAACATAGATGAAAAAGCAGCACAAATACAATTATGTCGACAAACAGCGCTCTTTAAAGAAAAAAAACAGACATTGGTTGACAATAGAAGGGTAAGGTAGGTTACAGGGAATTTATTAGGTATAGCTTCGCTTTTAACTTAAACTGGTTGAGAGGTACAGTCTTTAACATGGTTGAGAAGGTCATTCCACATTCTGGGCCCCTTGATTTGTAGAGCATTTCTAGTTTGATTAAGTCGTACTCTAGGAATATCAAAACTGTATTTATTTCTGGTGTGATGCTCATGGGTTCTGATACAACCTTCTATGAAGCTTTTGAGATCAGGATTGGCATTATAGTTTAGCGTTTTATATATGTATAATACACATGAGAGAATGTGCAGTGACTTAATGTCTAACATATTCAGAGATTTAAGTAGGGGTACCGAGTGATGTCTGGGGCCAGAATTGGATATTGTCCTAATAGCAGCTTTGTGTTGAGTAATTAGAGGACGTAAGTGATTTTGGGTAGTAGAGCCCCAAGCACAAATACCATAGTTGAGATATGGATAGATAAGGGAGTAATAGAGAGTCACCAGGGCAGGGCGTGGTACATAATATCTGATCTTAGAAAGAATGCCCACAGTTTTTGAAACTTTTTTTGATATATTTAGAATGTGTCCCTGGAAATTCAGCTTGTGGTCAATGAGGATGCCAAGGAATTTGCCATCTAATTTGTTACAAATTTGGGTATTGTTTATTTTGAGATTTATTTGATTAGAGGATTTATTGCCAAACAGAATATAGAAGGTTTTGTCAATGTTAAGGGTGAGTTTGTTGGCAGTTAGCCACAGATGGACTTTATTTAGCTCAGTATTTACTGTGGCATTTAGAGCAAGGGGATCAGGACTGGAGTAAATGAAGGTTGTGTCGTCAGCAAATAGAATTGGTTTGAGGTGTTGAGAGGCATTTGGAAGGTCATTAATGTAGATGAGAAAGAGGAGAGGGCCAAGTATGCTGCCCTGGGGAACACCAATGTTGATGGGTAGGGTGGGAGAAATTGTATTATTCACAGAAACATATTGGAGCCTGTCAGTAAGGTAGGATTTGAGGTATTATGCTGACCAACCTAGCATATACTGCTGATAATATCCTCTTGATGTGGGCTTCAGGAGCTAGGTCTGACATTAGGTCATCTTCGTCAGATCAATTCCTAGGTCTTTCTCTCTCCCAGAGAGAGATTTTTTCATCTCCCAAATGGTGGATGATTTCATCTAATGAAAATAATCTACCTTCTATCAAAAAAAAATTCTAAAAAGATTGAATCCAAATGAAAAAGGATTTCAGTCTTCTGTTCCCAACCCCTATCTTCATTACTCTACTTTGTATCAGCTGAAGCTAAACTCTAGTAGCCATTTGTCAGACCATTCCTTCAGTTTGCCCAGGTCATCTTGTAGCCTCATGCTGTCTTCTCGTCTTAATCCTCCTCATAATTTTAGCATCATCATCAAACATTGACAGGAATGAGTCTATACCCTCTGAAAGGTTATTTACTTATATCAACATGAGGATAAGTCCAAGTACAGAGCCTTGTGGGACTCTGCTAGCGACATCACACCATCCTGAGACCTCATCCCTCACAGTAACACTCTGCTACCTATTACTTATGTACTCCTTTATTCACTGGAGCGCCCTACCAGTTACTCCTGCCTGTTTCTCCAACTTGTGCACCAGCCTCTTATGGGGGTACTGTGTCAAAGGATTTCCAATAGTCCAATAAAATACAATCTGCCCACCCTTCTCTTTCTTGCTTAATTTCTGTTACCTGGTTGTAGAATTCTATTAGACCTGTGAGGCAAGATCTGCCATTCCTGAACCCATGATGGGAGTAAGTCACAAAATCCCTTCTCTCCAGATGTGTTACAGGTATTAAGTTTTCTTCATGATCTTCTCCATCACCTTGCATGGTATACAAGTTAGCGACACTGGTCTGAAGTTCAGTGCCTCTTGTCTATTGTCCTTTTGTATATTGGAACTACAGTATATAGCTGTTTTCCATATTTCTGGTAGGTCTCCTGTTTCCAGTGACTTTTACACCATGGAGAGTGGCAAGCAAAGTGCTTCTGCACACACTTTTAGTATCCATGGAAAGATTCTGTCATATCCAACAGCCTTTTTCACATCCAGATCTAACAGATGCCTCCCAACTTCATCTCTGGTAATTTAGAACCCTTCCAAAGCTTCCTGGTTTGTTGCCACCTATATTTGTTCAAGTACCTCTCCTTGTTCTACTGTGAAGACGACCTAGAATCTCTTATTGAGTTCTTCACACACCTCTCTATCATTATCTGTGTACCTGTCTTCCCCCATTCTCAGTTTCATCACCTGTTCTTTCACTGTTGTTTTCCTCATGAAGGAACAATTTTGGGTTGGTCTTGCCATGTCATTTTCATACTGTGTGTCTGATTCTCCTCTCACACTGAGGTATTCATTCCTGGCCCTCTGGCATTCTATTATTTCTGTAGTTCCTTCATGCCCTTGTATTTGAGTGCCTTGCTTTCTCAGATGTCCGATTAAACCATCTCTTGCTTCTCATTCTTTTCTTTTTGGGCCGGGATAAACTTATTAACTGCCTCCAAACACTTTTGTGAGATGTAATCTATCATGTCTTGTATAGACTTAACTCTTGAGTTCTGTTTCACATGGTATTACTGTTAGGAATTTTCTCATCTCCGTATAGTTTCCTTACAGTATGTCAGTCATTTGCCTTCTGTTTTTTTTTTGAGTAGGAGATTAACCCTAACTCCACCAAATACTCAAATAATAGTATATTGTGTTCACTCATTCCAACAGTGGGCTTCCAACTTCCCTTATGTCCGACTCATTCAGGACCAAATCACATAGAATCTAGCTGATTCTTCCTCTCCTCTCATCCTCGAGGGCCCCTTGACATGTTGGCCTAGGAAATTTCTTGTTGCCATGTTCAATAGTGTAGCTCTGCAGGAATCTGGTCTTCCATTTGGGTCCCCTGTTCTCCCAGTCTTTCTTCCCATGGTTAAAGTCTCTCATGTTTTACAGTCTAGATCTGTTCCTGTAAGAAACAGAAACTGCTTTCTTTATTATATTAACAGTAGCCATGTTGTTTCTATCATATTCCTGTCTTGTGCAATAGGTATGCTGAGGGAGAACTCTATCAACATCAAGGGCCCAAGGCTTTTCAACTCTCTCCCCCTACACATATGGGGCATAACTGGCCCAAATCTCGCAGTGTTCAAGAGAGAACTCGACATACACCTCCAAGGAATACCTGATCAACCAGGCTGTGATTCATACATCAGGCTACGAGCAGCTGCATACAGCAGCCTGGTTGACCAGATGAACAACTGGGAGGCCTGGTCATGGGGCCGTTGATCCCCAGAACCTCCATAAGGTAGCAAGATTGTCTGGGCCTTATGTCATTTTTGGGGCAATATATTACTATTATTATTTCTTTGCCCTCCGATTGCCATGGTGCCTATTATGTAGTCACTGACTCCTTCACAGTTCAGGATGTCCAAAACTCCTGTCTTTTCTTATCAGCAGAGCCACTTCTTCTCCAACTCTTCCTTCCCTCTCTTTTCTTATCACATAGTATTCCTGTGGTTCCAATACAAATGCAATAACATTGCATTTGTTATGTAGTGTCAAAGTTTGTAGGTAAAAGAATATACAGTAAATTATATTAAATTGCCACAAATCTTATGATATATTTAAACTTATGTTACTGCTGTAATAATTTTATATTTGAAAATCATTTTATTTTTTCAGAATATGCAATAGTTTCAAAGTGATTTTCACTTTTTTTCCCCATTGGTAAACTTAGCAAATCTTAAGATCTGTTAGATATAAATTTAAATAATTTGAATGACAGTTTAAGAATTATGATAATCTATCAATCAAGTTACACAACACAGACCAACATCCATTGATAAGTCCATCAAAACCATTAAGTGTTTTACCTGTAGTTTGATGAGGACACATATCACAAGCTATAATCAACGTTGCTATTACAGAATGTAGAGGACCGAAGTCTTGAGCCTGCACTGGAGACCACCGTCGCTTCTCCAAGTCAGACGGTCCCAAGAGAAAACTGAGGAGACTTGAGAAACCACCCAAGTTAAGAATCTGCCTGCACTGAGCACTTCCCTGTAAAAAAAAGAAAAAAAAAGAAAAATGAAAGAAAAATTCTCCATGACCAATATTTTCTTGATAAACAGACCCTTACGGGCCGAATGAGGCCCTGTTACGTTTCAATTGGAAGGAATTCTTCCAGGTTACATTTGCCTCACTTGTATATTTTTAAAACTGCCTTTATGAGACAGAACATGAGAATTATATTTCACCAAAATATACTGGCTGATAATGAACCCTTTGAGTGCAACTATTATAAAAGAATCCACTCTGCCTATGAAAAAGAAAAGTCGAATGTAATGAAATGCCTCTTTTTGGAGGTAGATTGATGATACCTGCTTGATGGGGTTCTGGGAGTTTTTCTACTCCCGAAGCCAGGCCCGAGGCCAGGCTTGACTAGTGAGAGCTTGGTCCAACAGACTGTTGCTTGGAGCAGCTCGCAGGCCCGCATATCCACGACAGCCCAGTTGGTCCGGCTGGTCCAGACCAACCAGCCCAGTTGATTCGGTGGTTTTGTGAAGCTACCCGCTCTAGTTAGCTTCTTACCAATAGTCACACTAGGCCCTTGAGGCACAAAAAGTTTACCTGAGACCAGACGTTAAAACCTGCCCCCTCTTTCCCTCAAATAGTTGGAGAGAGCAGGAAATCAGGGTAGCAGCCCCACCAGATAAGCAGGGTAAGACAAAATAGAAACCTGCAAGGCAAGTCAACAACTCTGGAAACGATCGGCCCAATTGTTAAGCAGGTCACCTAATTCAAACTGCCCACCACTGGGTGATAGCACCAAGAGTTTATGGATCAGTCAATGAGCCACTTCAGTCAAGAGCCACTGAAAAGAAAAAACGGACTCACCTAGAAGGAAAAAAAGAATAGGTCCAGGGAGTCACCTTAAACCCAAAAGAAAGAGGTGTTTCATTACATTCAAAGCAAATTGTAATGATGGAACTCACAACACAGAAATACAAAGAAACAATGGATCCGTTCGTATCTCTCAAAAAAGGAAGTGGATGAAAGAAAAACTGCAAACTCATGGTTCAACAGTGTAAGAAGGAAAAAGAGAAGACAACAAACCAGTGTTGAATGTGTCGTGTGAATCCCCTGCACAGCAGTGGAACTGCGTTTTCCCTTCACCTTCAATGCCTCTAGACCACTGGAAGTCCATCTCTACACCAGCCCAGGTGAGTCATCAGTCCTGCCACCTCTCCGTACCCCCCCCCCCCCGCCAGGGTCTGGCACAGCCTGGTACGACTCAGAGGCAAGCCTGGTGCCTCTGCTAACCGGTAGTTTGCCCCCCACAAACAAGCAGTTAGCGGCCTTCAACTGGCAGTGGTGCAGTTCAACACAAAGGCACCACCAGCCACAAACTAGAAGTTTGTTAGCTGACCAGATGTCCACCTTGCGTTGACACCGGATGAGTCATCACCGCCAGACTATATAAAGGGCGCCACCTCCCTGAAGAGGCTTACGGGCTCACCATAGCCCGTGCTGCTTGGAACTCTTTGTTCCCAGTAGCTGAATCTATAACAACCTGAAGAGGCAGTCTCTCTCTTAGTGCTCTTGGGTCACCTTGGTCCTCTCACCCGTCATCTGCCTTCAGCTTACGCCATGTGTCTGATGCATTGGTGGTATGGTAGCTGTCTTCACTACACCAGTATATCTTCATGCATTATATTCATCTAATTTCTTAGTTATTTTTGTATTAATTTCCATATTATCTTGTTCACCTTTTCATTATATGATAGCCAAGTGTTCTCAGGTGCCATTTTGTTCATTAATATTCCAGTAAATTGTTTTAATTATTTATTTGATGATTTTCATTTGTTTCCACCTGCGACTTACACACTACAAGGCCAATAGCAGCAATTTTTTTTTATCTGTGTAATGGAGAGCCATACCATCTTGGTTCAGTATAGCTGCAATACCACAACCTGTCACAAATGTAATGAAATACCCTGTACCTCTTTCTTTATGAGCCCTGGTGGCTCCCTAGGGCTATCTAGCCAAGATGGCTCCCAACTACTAGGTCACATCATTCGAGGAGTTCTTTTTGGCCTACCGGGGACCAGAGCCAGAACTTGGCCCGCTCACAGAAGTGCAGTGCAGAGAATGGGTGACACTGTCACCCTACTGGAAAAGCATCCATAAAGTTAGCAAATCAATGCATACCACTGTTAAGTTTAAAGAGACTGATGCCTCAAAACTAATAAACTCACTCCCCAATGTAAAGAAAAAATGACTGAATTTCATGAAACTAGTTAGAGATCGTTAGCACCAACTCCTGACCAGCAGGGAGAGGGGGGGGGGGGGGGGTAGAGATCTAGGTCTCTCCCCCACATTCCATGCCAGTTCTGGAGCAAATGTGAAGAAATCACACATACCAACTGACAAACCCAAAAGGGAGAGGGAATCAGGGAACCACCAGGGCTCATCCAGGAAAATGCATTTCATTATATTTAATGCTAGTTTTCTAGGGATGATCCTTGTGGCTCCCTGAGGCTAACTACCCACGGAGAGGAAACTCTAGGGAATCGCCAGGGAGGAGGAGAGACTGCAGGTATTCAAAATGAAGACAAGGCAAATGGATGAAGCAGATGACCCTAGGACACACAGGCATGATTAGAGCCCAGGAACATTAATCAAATACAGTGCCTCCAAGACCCTGCTAGACTGCCAAAACCCTCCAGGCACCCCCACCAGCCCAGAACATGATAGTGAAGACTGCTGCACCTAGGAGGGGTGCCCACAATTTTTTTTTCTAGATGGCATCCGTTTACTGGAGACCTAAGGAAGTGTATGTGCGCCCCACGTAACCCCAGGAATTTTAAATCTTAGGCTAGACCTGAAAGTAATGCTTGTCACTGTGTGCTCCACCTATGAAACGACCCTGGTCACTATATGCAGTTGAAAGGTTAATAAAAAATTCTTTTTTAATAAATTAAAAAAAAATGTATCTGATGAAATTAATTGTTTTACATAATAATGTACATATGATTTTTTTTTTAAATTGAGTCAAAACAAAATAACCTGAACATACCTATATTCAGGTTATTTTTCAGTGTTACCAAATACATAAATTGATGTTGCTAACATGTTATGATTATTAGGGGTACACTAACAACAAAATTGAAACTAAGCAAAATTGCTCTGACTGTTAGGTCAAATTTACCTTGCATACCAGGCCAATTAGTGCTAGTCTGGCTATTAAGTATGAATTACTTATACATAACTTGTATATATCATGTTAAAATATACAAAATATCATAGTTTACCTTAAATATGTAACAAAATTATTACGGAAATTACTGTTAGTTGTGAGTGTGATTATCTGAATGAAACGTGATTTAAAAATTTTGGCACTAGAGCCTGGAGTGACATTTGATAATGCTGCCAACTGATGGCAGCATTTACTTGGTCTAGGGGTTTGTTTAATATTACAATACAGTAGTTTTAAAAGTGCATGAAGGAGATTGATAATGGCATTTTTATGCCTTTTTTCTCAAGTCAACCACTATTGCCTAGTGCAATTAAAGAATTAATCAAATTATGTCTCAACAACTTACCTGCTGGCAATAGCAGTACAATAATGAAAAATATTGGTAGGAAGTTTTGACAGCTGCAGGCACATCAGAAACCATCAGAGAGATGAGGTATTTCATTATACTCTGCACACTATCAACACAATTACAATGATCATACTCTGCCTTGAAGATAGAACCTAATAGGTTGCTGTGGAAAACAAAAAAAATATTAAGTAGAAGGCTTGATGGTGTAAGGGTGGGTAATAACATCTATGCCATTCATAAAATAACCAGGCAATTACCTATTTAACTAATTCTAGCATACATCACAGATTAAACAATAAAGGTATCTACTGGGCTTAACAGTGGTTCACATAAACAGATTTACTGGAGAGGCACTGATTAAGGACCCACTCTAGACATTTTGTCTCCCTCACAGCCAGGAGGGATGCAGCCAATTTCTTTTTCAAGATGGCGTCTGTTTACCGACATCCTGAGGAACAGGATGCGAGGTCTGTGTACCCACGGGAATTTTGAATCTTATGATATGCTCTCGGAAATTCCGATACCCTTTACTAATCTTTAGCATAAGATGCAAGTGAAAAGTTGCTGTTTTTATGTAAATAAATACTGTATTAAATAAACACATAATAAAATACTTTAGTTAACCCATACTAAGAATTGTGTACGTGGCAAATTTGTACTAGAAAATGAGAATTACATTGCCACGTCACCAAAATTAACTCTGCCCACAAATAATATTTATAAATTAATTTTTAAAGCAACAGTCTGTGGACTGTAATCATCATAAAAGCATTTTCCAGGACCGAACTTAATTACCTTTACTAAAATGAAATTTAACAGAACCCTCTTTCCACTTCTCGATATAAAGTGCACGATAAGGTGACACCCGAGGAGGGAGCAGAGAGAAGCCGTATTAAAAAAGGAACTGATTTAAAAGTGTCCACTGTCATCCCAAGTATTAATTTCATTAATTTCACTCTGTCACCCCTACAAGTTATTCTCATGGAGTTGAGCAGCTCAGATTGACACCATCGGTTCCTGAGACGTCAATATTTCTGTTCAGTATTGAAGTGTTAGAGCTCTTTCATTTATTTATGTACTGTAGCAGTTATAATGTATGCCCAATAATGCACAAGAGTTAGCAAATTTAATATCATCCAACAGGTTATATTATTTGAATTATTCATATAAATTGAATACATTATTGTAGTAGAATTTATGGTGTAACTTGTTGGCAGGTAAATTGAGATGGGTGGAAGTTACTAATGTGGAGCATCGTCTAGTGAAACAAGACCCCGTGACTGATTCTTGTCTAGTCCTGCACCTCAACGACGCCATGATCCACATGACTGAATAGAGTCCAGCTTGGCTACGCAGAACTTCTACTACAATGACAGCTAAGCTGTGATATGTTTCAAATAATAACCATAACAATTAGTAGATAAAAATCATATGACTTTTACAATAATTAATCTAACCAATAATAATAGTTCATGGATTAATTTTTGTGTAGTTGAAATTATAAACCCCCAAAATTGTGTGAAGTGGAAGTTTATCAGTGAAGATAAATGATAAAATATACAGTCCGTTTAGAAACAACAATTAAATAATAATTAATAAATTTACAGTCTAAATAAATACAAATATATTATTCACTGGTAAACTTCACAAATATTAACAAATGTCATATGTAGGGCAGCGCACCCACCTTCCCCATGATGTCATGGTCGGTGCAGTACAATAGTTAAGGATAATGTAATTTATGCCTACTAAGAATCAATGTATCAATGAAAGTATGTATCAGAACAGAAGAATTAAAGAAACTGCAGAAGGCCTATTGGCCCATAAGTGGCAGCTCCTATTTATATCCATCCAAACAAACCACATGTCTAGTCTACGCTTGAAACATTCAAGTAATCCCACATCTATTATGCTACCCAGTCTGTTCCACAAATCAATATCCCTATTTCCAAACCAATATTTACCCATGATTCTCCTAAAACTGTACTTTTTCATTTATTCACTTTATATATATATATATATATATATATATGTCGTACCTAGTAGCCAGAACGCACTTCTCAGCCTACTATGCAAGGCCCAATTTGCCTAATAAGCCAAGTTTTCATGAATTAATTGTTTTTCGACTACCTAACCTACCTAACCTAACCTAACTTTTTCGGCTACCTAACCTAACCTAACCTAACGTATAGAGATAGGTTAGGTTAGGTTAGGTAGGGTTGGTAAGGTTCGGTCATATATCTACGTTAATTTTAACTCCAATAAAAAAATATTGACCTCATACATAATGAAATGGGTAGCTTTATCATTTCATAAGAAAAAAATTAGAGAAAATATATTAATTCAGGAAAACTTAGCTTATTAGGCAAATTGGGCCTTGCATAGTAGGCCGAGTACGACGTTCTGGCTACTAGGTACAACATATTATTTATATATATATATATATATATATATATATATATATATATATATATATATATATATATATATATATATATATATATATATATATATATATATATATATATATATATATATATATATATATATATATATATATATATATATATATATATATATATATATATATATATATATATATATATATATATATATATATATATATATATATATATATATATATATATATATATATATATATATATATATATATATATATATATATATATATATATATATATATATGTCGTACCTAATAGCCAGAACGCACTTCTCAGCCTACTATTCAAGGCCCGATTTGCCTAATAAGCCAAGTTTTCATGAATTAATGTTTTTTCGTCTACCAAACCTACCTAACCTAACCTAACCTAGCTTTTTTTGGCTACCTAACCTAACCTTACCTATAAATATAGGTTAGGTTAGGTTAGGTAGGGTTGGTTAGGTTCGGTCATATATCTACGTTAATTTTAACTCCAATAAAAAAAAATTGACCTCATACATAGAGAAAAGGGTTGCTTTATCATTTCATAAGAAAAAAATTATAGTAAATATATTAATTCAGGAAAACTTGGCTTATTAGGCAAATCGGGCCTTGAATAGTAGGCTGAGAAGTGAGTTCTGGCTACTAGGTACGACATATATATATATATATATATATATATATATATATATATATATATATATATATATATATATATATATATATATATATATATATATATATATATATATATATATATATACACACACTGTATATACAAATGAATGAAGGAAATCTAAGTATGTATGAGTGGGTGAATGAGTGTTAAACACCCCACTCACAAATCTGAAAACATGAGAAAGTGACAACTTAATAATGGTTCAGGACACCCAACTCATTGGTAATTTGTTTGCTGGATGTCTAATTTACCAGTCATGTTATTATAAACTTATTTTCTACAATGAATGCCTTAGATAGTCCAATAAGCCTTTTGAAGTTCCTTTAATAATGTGTTCAAATGATGATTTATTGGCATAATACAAAGTACTTCATTACAGCCATATAATTGTGAAAAAAATATGGACACAAGTACTTGGAAATATTTAAATATGGATGCCTACACTATGTGCTAGAAATAGTTAATCAGACTAAATTATACTCAAATATAACAAAGTTTTAATGTCATTAAAAGAAGTACTGTATCTATGTGAGATCCCAATAATTCATATACGCTGTATATTAACCTGAACTGTCCTCGGATCATTTTGTTAGGGCACTCGAGCAAAAGTGGCGCAATGTGCATTCCTCAAAAAACCAGCGTTGAATGTAATGAAACGCCATTTTCTGGGTGAGCCCCGGAGGCTCCCTGGAGCTTATCGGGCTAATGTGTGTTATGTTAGACCGGGACATTAGCTAAGGAGTTCAGACCTACCAGGGACCAGCGCCAGAACCTGGCCCCTTCAGAGAGGTTTCAGGGAGCAATGGCCCTGGAAAACCCCATATGGTTGGGGGTTTTCCTTATCTGCCATCGACCGGGGTTAGGCACCCAGAAAGGTAGGCGTAACAAAACAAACCCCACATGGTAAGAAACTACAACAAAAACCGAACAGAGAGGTAGAAAACTCCCTACAATCCCAAGGAAACAAGCAAACAAGCAAACATCACACTTTACTGCCGCGCCGATCGTCCGCGCAGCCCTCCCCACCCCGGGAGGGGGAGGGGGGAGCCCCGGACCTACCGCGCCGGCTGCCAAGCTCCAGTTCGGAAGCTAAGCCTCAACCAACGCGAAAAAACCGCCGACCGGTGGGAGGGAGGGTTTCCAGGGAGCCTCCGGGGCTCACCCAGAAAATGGCGTTTCATTACATTCAACGCTGGTTTTCTGTGGGGAGCCCCTACGGCTCCCTGGAGCTTCATACCCAAAGAGAAGGAAAAGAAAGGGCTAACCCGGGAGGCGGCCGCCACAAACTCTGCAACGCAAAGCCAAGACAACCGGTCGCAAACCTGCGACCCAAGGCAACAAGAACGCCCAAGAACAGACGCACACATGGATGGGCGGCCAAAAACCTGTGCGACCCACAATTCCCTGCGCCCGAAATGAGCCCGAGACGTCACCAACACAGCAGCAATTGCTGTAAACGTCTGAACAGCACGGGCGCAAAGACAGACCGCAGTAAGAAGGAAAACACTGCGGACGACCCGGGAGACCCGAGCCCTGAAAACAGGGAACGAAGGAACCGGATCAACCACAGCGCATCCCCAGGCACGGTACGCCGGCAACAGCAAAAAGCACAACTGGACAACACAGGACGCACCCCCCGGCCAAACCAAACAAGTACCAATACCCCAAGAACCCCTCCGGAAAGCAGCCGTCTCGACCGTCGCCAGGACAGAGAAAGGCTGCACACCAACAAAGCTACCACCCGTACCAAAGAGGAGGAAACTGAAACCGAAGGGGCTACCACAAACTGAGGGGAAGAGAAGAAGGCACCCTGAACAAGGACCAGGATGGCTCAGGCGACTCATGAGCAGGCCGGAGGGGAAACAAAACGCGAGAAGACGTAATAAACGTCATACAGTCTCCAAGACGAAGCTCGCAGGTGGGACACCGTCAACAAAGCCACCTGAACACCATAGAGATGGCGATACCTGCGTCAAAATACCAGACGCGAAGAGCCAAAGAGAAGGCCGAACCAGTCACGGACAGGACCGATTCGGCCTGCTGAAAGAGGCGAAGCCTCAGGAAAAACGCCCCGGGTACGGACACCTATCAAGCAGCGTCTGAAAAGAAGGCCGGGCCGGCCACAGTGGAACCATAAGGACTGTTCTCGTGGGAATGGGCTGCAACTGAGCCAGAACCCGAAGCAACAGCTGGACCGGGAGAAGAGGTACAGGTACCCCCCACCTCGACCAGGCCTGCCGAAAGCCTCCACCGTGAAGTCCTCGCAGGTGGGAAGGGCGCCACAAAACGGGCGACGCCTAGACCACGCCGACCCGAAGACGTCCATGGCCAGGAGTCCATAAGCCCAACAGAGCCAACAAAACGAATCGGCGACGACTGGCCAACCCACGAAGAGGAATGAACCGAGACAGCTGTCCACCAGGACGCAGGACACACCCCGGACACGAACCACACGGTTAACCAAACCCCCTGTGGTTCCGGCAAGAACCACCAGAGAACAGTCCAAACAGAGCTGAACGGTAGAGTACCTAGTGACCCAAACCCTCCGAAGCGCAAACCAGACAGCCATGAACACCTGAACCGGGCTGTGAGCCCGACGGACAGACAGACTCCATCAACCTCGGCCGACCTGGTGAGCACTGGTCACAAAGCCCCAGCCGAGAGACGACCCGTCCGTGAACACATCGAGCGAAGGCTCGGGGAGCCGCCAAGGCACGGAACCCCGAAAACCCCAAAGAGGAAGCTGGTGACGCAGCACCAACACCAGATCCCCAGAGGAACCCAAGGAATGCAAGAGGCGGAAGTGGAGTCTCCGTAGGAACCAACCGACGCCGGAGCCAAACCCGACTCCGCGGGCAGACAAGCACGCCGAAGTGCAAACTCCCGCACAACCGCCCAAGCAACCGCTGAGCAACCCGGGACCCCCTCCTGAACAGCCAAAGGCGGGACCACAGCCACAGTAACACTTCTGGAGGGAAGACAATGAGGGGCCCAAGAGCCTGAAACAAGGCCCAGGTCCGAACCCGGGACGGAAACAGAAGGTAAAACCTCCAGATCACCAGGAAACCAAACCCAGCGATCTGGAAAGAACCATCCCCTGGCGAGCAGACAAGCGGACTGACTGGGAGCCCACTCCAGCCAGTCGTCGAGGTAGGCCAGACACCGAATCTCAGACGCAGACAGGGCACTAAGATCCGGTAAAGATGCAAAGAGTATACAAAGTGCCCTTCACAAAATAGGGAATGCAATAAAAACAGCAAACCTGAAGCCCCAACACCAAAGCATTGTATGACAATCATATGAAGACATTATGACATATGACAATCATTATATGACAATATGACAATTATAATCAAAGCATTATATGACAAAGAGTGCTGGGAAGACGGGACACCACGAGAGTAGCACTCATCCTGTAACTACACTTAGGTAAGTACACATAGGTAATTACCAACCGTGCTAGCCCCAGAAAAACTGGAGAGGAACGTGCCAAGAAGTGACCTGGAGGTCCAGGTCCACCATCCATGCACCCGGCCCTAACAGAATCCGAACAGGAGACAACAGTCCTCCGAGCAGGGCAGAGGATCCAGGGCGCAGACGGTAGTAGTCCAGAAGAACTGCAGACTGGAAAAGCTCATGACTGCAAAGAGCAGACGGGAAGCCCAGAAGGATGGGGCGGATCGACCACGCCCCACGCACCCACGAAGAGGAAATGACGAAGCGCAGGGAAGAAGCCCACCCCGCCAGCTCTGAACCCCCCCCAAGGGGGAGAAGCCGTCCTCCGACGCCAGCAGAGGCCGGAAGACAACCCAAAGCGCCCACCAACAGCGGGACCAAGCGAGAGGCAACAGAGCAAGCTGCTCCCCCAGCGCCCAGTCAACAGAGAAGGGAACAGAACCCTTCAGAAAGAAAAAGTACACTACCGAAGTCATGAGGAGAGACTACGGGAATGAAACCACACTTCGCTGGAAGAGGAAGTGAGGGGAGACCTGATCACCACATACAAGATACCCAAGGGAATCGACAGGGTTGAGAAGGACAGGATATGTAACACAAGGGGCACACGCACTAGGGGACACAGGTGGAAACTGAGTACCCAAAAGAGCCACAGATAGAATTAGTTTTTTTTTTTTTTTTTTGAGTGTCAGAACGGGAACGGGAAAGCACTAAGAAGTAATGTGGCGACTCCTCACACAAGTAACGAGGCTGACCCCCATACAATGTCACATGTAGACATGACAGAGCCCAAGAGGCACAGGAACCGATACACCTGTTGACGGACGGTTGAGAGGCAGGACCAAGGAGCCAGAGCCCAACCCCCACAAGCACAACTAGGTGAGGACACATTGTAAAAGCACAAGCCGCCGACTAGTGGCAAAGAGCACTACGCCGGCCAGGCAAAGAAGGCACAAAACTGCATCAAAAGGCCCACCTCGACAGCAAAACCACAAAGCCCCAGCACAACCACAACATGTGCCAAGACCCAAAAAGCTCAGTCTGCAAGCCAGGAAGACCCCGGAACCCCAAAAGGCAGAACCGGGTCACACGAGGAAACAAAGTCCCCTGAACCCACAAAAGGGGGCCCAAGAGGAAGAAACCTCCAGAACGAAACCAAGGAACCCAAAGGAACCCAGAATCGAACCAGGGGGAGCCCAAACCACCACATTTGCCGGCGGAGAACACCACTAAAAGGCAAAGCACAGACCCCAGCAGAACGCCCTGGGAAAACGGTCCCAACAGACCGAAAACCGAGGGGCAAGGTGTGGGAGCAAGCATACCAGCCAGGGGCACTGAGCCTAAACCCAGAGGCTCAGACCCAAAATCAACACCCAAACGTTCCCAGAGGAACAGGCAACAGCAAGAAAACACCAGAAAAACAAAGAAACGACAACAGGAGAACAAAAACCCTGCAAATTTTTTGAAAACTCACCAGAGACGCTCGCTCGCACACCCAGACGCATGTAAACAAACCGCAACGCCGCCCTGGTGGCCACGCCGGGAAACCGGCAGACGAAAATGGCCGCCAGCAGGGGCTGTGACTGACGCTTAATACACAAAAACACGCCAGCAAATGTGGGAAGCTAGCAGACTGGAAGGGCGAAAAACGACGCCCAAAAGCAGAAAAACCCCTGAAGGGGCAAAACCGCCCCAGAACTGCTAGTAGGCATCCCCCACAGCCCCGGGAACCAACAACAGAGGCCCCGGGGCAGAGCCGTCCTCCAAGCCCTCCGCCCTGAAAGAAAAGCAAGAGCCCATGGGAAAGGCAACAAGAAAGGGCCGCTGGTAAGACCCAGAAGCCTTGGCAGGAGGCACAGGCTCAAACCTCCGTCCCCAACCCGAACGGGGCATCCCCCGAAAACCGCCCGAGTCTCTGCCGCAACTGAACCCCGCCCCGACCCAGAAACACGCAGACGGTCCGGAGCCGGGAACATGGAGAGAAAGGGGCGAGCAGCACCTAACCAAACGGGGCGGCCACGGGGCATTCGAGTGGGAAACCAACCTAGCATGTTGCAGCAACCTAACCTAGCTTGCAACACGGATGCCGCCTGTACTCTGAACAGAAATAACATCAGGAGAGTACTGGAGAACAAGCAGAGAATCACTCGCAAGACTCCGGGTCAAGGTGTCAGTGACCCAACAGGCAGCATGACGGAGGTAAAAATGGCGACTGTCACCCGGAGACAAGGGAACAGCAACCAACGATCCCGTACAAGACGGGTTGGAACCCGGAAGACACATTCAATGGTCCCCCGAGCCCAGACAGGGGTTTCCAGGGCCCGTAGGGTAACAACTACGGGAAGCCCGGGCAAGGTGTTGCTAACCGGTTAAGAAACCCAAACATAACAAGAGGGTAGATTATAGCACTGAAAACCCCCGAGACGTGTACAAGCACGGGGGCCTAGCAGAGGGCCGCCAAACACTACCAGTGGAACTATAACCACCTTAGGCAGACCCCCACCAGGCAAGAAAATGAAAAACAAAAGAAAAACCCCGCAAAAGTACACCGTCTCCAGAGGCAACAGAAACCGGCCGCCGCTTAGGTGGCAGGCTGCGCAACACCTTGACGCCCTAACCAGCACAATACCAATCCCTACCCAGGGCCAAACAAGGGCCCCAAGCCCCAGCTGGCCCCAAGGGCGAGGCAAATGCCGAGCAGCAAGAACCTCTACGGGAATGGTTCCCGAACGCCCCAGGGAAGATAACCCTGTAACGCAAGGGCAGTACTCACAGGGCGCTTAGGGAAGTCAGCCACTAAGCACATGCAGCCCCGGCACTGATGAAGTACTCCTGGCCACCGCACACCACAACACACGGCAGTGAACGCCACACAAGGCAAACACCGCCTAGGAAACTGAGGCCAGAGAAGCGTCAATCCCGGTTGACATTAGCGAACGAACTGGAGCTTGGCAGCCGGCGCGGTAGGTCCGGGGCTCCCCCCTCCCCCTCCCGGGGTGGGGAGGGCTGCGCGGACGATCGGCGCGGCAGTAAAGTGTGATGTTTGCTTGTTTGCTTGTTTCCTTGGGATTGTAGGGAGTTTTCTACCTCTCTGTTCGGTTTTTGTTGTAGTTTCTTACCATGTGGGGTTTGTTTTGTTACGCCTACCTTTCTGGGTGCCTAACCCCGGTCGATGGCAGATAAGGAAAACCCCCAACCATATGGGGTTTTCCAGGGCCATTGCTCCCTGAAACCTCTCTGAAGGGGCCAGGTTCTGGCGCTGGTCCCTGGTAGGTCTGAACTCCTTAGCTAATGTCCCGGTCTAACATAACACACATTAGCCCAATAAGCTCCAGGGAGCCGTAGGGGCTCCCCACAAAGAACATACATTAAGAAGAAAATATCAAAGGGTTCATCCACAAGGTCTTCTCTGAGTACTCTTTACTTTCTTCTCCGAGGCTATGGGTCCCTACACTTGAACCAAAGGGGGTACCCCTTCTAGGTACTGTACAGTATATTTAAATTAGAAAAACTGTACTTTGACAAGTCATTATACAGTACTAATGTATATTTATACAAATATTTTTAACCTTTATTCTTCAGAATGAGATAACCACTAATATAAGTAATCATTTAATTTTAGCAGTTAATAATTCTAATAACTGGTAATAAATCAATTCTGCAGTAAAAAAATTACCAAGCAACATTACACACAGGTAAAAAAAAGATAAGATATATTTATAAGGTAAGTGCTGATCTTTATATTTATTTATTTATATATATGTCATACCTAGCAGCCAGAATGCACTTCTCAGCCTACTATGCAAGGCCTGATTAGCCTGATATATATATATATATATATATATATATATATATATATATATATATGTCGTACCTAGTAGCCAGAACGCACTTCTCAGCCTACTATGCAAGGCCCAATTTGCCTAATAAGCCAAGTTTTACTGAATTAATATACTTTCTCTAATTTTTTTCTTATGAAATGATAAAGCTACCCATTTCATTATGTAGGAGGTCAATATTTTTTTATTGGAGTTAAAATTAATGTAGTTGTATGACCGAACCTAACCAACCCTACCTAACCTAACCTAACCTATCTTTATAGGTTAGGTTAGGTTAGGTAGCCGAAAAAGCTAGGTTAGGTTAGGTTAGGTAGGTTAGGTAGTCGAAAAACAATTCATGAAAACTTGGCTTATTAGGCAAATCGGGCCTTGCATAGTAGGCGGAGAAGTGTGTTCTGGCTACTAGGTACGACATATATATATATATATATATATATATATATATATATATATATATATATATATATGTTGTACTTAGTAGCCAGAATGCAGTACTTAGCCTACTATGCAAGGCCCATTTTGCCTAATAAGCCAAGATTTCCTGAATTTATATATTTTTCTAATTTTTTTCTTATGAAATGATAAAGCTATCCATTTCATTATGTACGAGTTCAATTTTTTTAAATTTGAGTTAAAACTAACATAGATTTATGACCGAACCTAACCAACCCTACCTAACCTAACCTATCTTAAAATAATCTAAACTAACAAAACTAAGTCAATAATTTATGTTCTTAATATAATATAATAATAATAATTTAAATAAACTAAATGGAAACATTTTATTAAAAATAAAGAAAATCACTCGGCCTATTAGGCAAATCGGGCCTTGCATAGTAGGCCGAGAAGTGCGTTCTGGCTACTAGGTGCGACATTATATTATATTATATATATATAATATATATATATATATATATATATATATATATATATATATATATATATATATATATATATATATATATATATATATATATAAATAAAACTAACTGCATTGAATGTAATGAAATGCCAATTTCTGGGTGAGCCCCAGAAGGTTTCTGAAGCTATCACACTGATTAAGTGCTATACTACTAGTAATCATCAGTTGCGGAATTCTATCTATCATCAGTCATCAGAGAGGCACAGGGAGTGATGATCTATGAACACTTTACATTTAAGGTTTATCATCTTTGCCACCATCCAAGGAAAGGCATCCGGAAATATAAGCGAATCAAAACAAACTACTGCATGGTTAAAACAAAGCTGCAGCCTCAAAATTTCCAAAAGAATCTCCCCCACAATGAAAACAAACCACCAAAACTTGATCAAACCTGTTCCCTGCTAGTTTGCCCCCACTTTTCCCCCTCACCTGTGGAAGGAGGGAGCCAGCCCAGGTCAGCCAAGTCACACACAGACCAGTTCTATAATGATGAATCCTGCTGATGACCTAGGGAAAGGGAGGGTCTCAGGGAGCCTCTGGGGCTCACCCAGAAACTGGTGTTCTATTACAGTCAACACTGGTTATCTATGGGGAGCCTCATTGGCTTCCTGAAGCTAACTAACCATAGAGAAGGCAAAAAAAAAAAAAACAGTGTTGAATGTAATCAACTCGTGTGGCTCTGCCAAAGCCACACGAGAAGTGACAGTACTCAGCAAAGGATGCCGAATGAGGAACAGCCAGGAAAGAAAGGACAAAACGACCCACTCAGAGATAGAAGAACAATGACGAAGGGAAAGAAAACCTGACATAGGGTTAGACCACACTTAAAGACCTCCAAGAAACCTCATACTGTCACCGAGGAGAAGACCACAGGTGGGACACCATGAAACCAGCCACCTGGTCATCACAGAAATGGCAATAAACCTGCATCAATAAATCCAGACGTAGAAAATGGAGAGAAGATCGAACCAGCGAGGTACGTCAATCCCGTGACTTTCTTAAAAAGAGGCGAAACTGCAGAAAAATGCCCTGGTTCAGACATTGAGCAAGCAGCACCTGAAACAAAGGCTGGGGCTGGCCATCAAGCAGTCAGAAGAATTACTCACCCCTTGTAAGACTTCGACCTTGCCAGCACTCGGACTGCCAGAAAGCAGTAAATGCACCCCGACTGTGACCAGTCCAGCCAAAAAACATCTACTGCGAGGCCTGGCAGTTAGGGAACATCACCACATAAAGATGATGATGCCAAAATCCCACTGACATCAAGAGGTTGATGTCTGGGCACATATATGTCCAGCCAAGACAGATGAAGGAATTGGCATCGACTGTCCAGTTCATGGAAGAGGAAGGAAGCAGGACAAACCATTGGCCAGGACGCCGGGCATGCCCTGAACGCGAACTGCACGGCACAGAGACGCAACCCTGAGAACTCAGCAGAAGCCACCCAGACCGACCATCCTCAAAGATCCATGGACTGAACCTCCCCCTACCCTGGTTGAGACAATGAACCATGGGGAACAGTCCGAATGGAACCGAATCACCAAGCCTGGAGGAGTCCAAACTCCCACAGCTCCTACTACACAACTGCAAACTCCCACAGCTCCTACTACACAGCTGCAATCTCCCACACTGTGCCATGTACCTGACGAAGGGGAGGCCCCTTCAGGAGGCCCACAAAGCCATAACCAATGGCTGAGGCATCTGTAAGGATAACGAGAGAAGGAGGGGAAAGGCCATGGCACCAAAACCCAAAGTGTAAGCTGACGATACAGCAACCAGCGAAGGGACACTGGAAGAAGCACCCAGCAATTGCTGGAGTGGCAAAAAGAGCTGCCCCCAAAGGAACCAGAACAGCTACTAAAATCAAACCAATCCCAACAGGTAAACTAGAACAACAAAGTTCAGATTCCCGTATAGCAGGTCAAGCAACTGCCAAAGCACCCAGGTCCAGCAAGGGGGTTGAAACACGCACACCTGAGACTAGCCTAATAAGACAAAAGGCAGAACCCCTGAGTAAAAACAGACAAAATGCCAATAAAAACAAGAAAACAAAGCCCTCAAGCCCAACTGCAGTGAATGAGCAGCCTGGGAGAAACATCGGCGCGCCTTGTAGTAGCTAAATAACTGGTTCTGCAGACCGCAGTGTGTTCCATGAACCAGTCAAAAACACTCCCAACCCAAGGAAAGACAGAAAATCACAGACCACCGGCTTATCTTGAGGTCGAGGACCACCACAAGTGAGGAAGCTCCCTTCAGGGAATGTTGCCTGATAACCCTGACTGAGCAAGGGTAGTACCTACAGTGCACAGGGAATAAAACCCTGAGCACAGCTCCAATACACTAAACTCCTGGCTCTCACACACACCTCCATCTAATAATACAGCCTCAAGGGTGGAAACACCAAAGAAAATGGGAAATCGAAGCCAGAGCGAAATGATCAGCAGGCACAGACATCAGTATAGAACTGACCTGTGCGCTGCCCAGTTGACACGGGCCTGCTCCTTCCTACCCCCCCAGGAAAGGAGCAGGAAGTCAGGGCAAAGTAGCTTGGCTGGGCTGGGCTGGTTTAAAAAAGTTTTGATGATTTGTATTCATTGTTGCGAGGAGTTCTTTTGGTAATTTTGAGGCTACAGTTTCACCTTAACCATGCCATAGTCTGTTTTTATTTGCATATTTTTCTGGGTGCCTTTCCTTGGATGGTGGCAAAGATGATTTGAAGCTGAACTTTAGATATAAAATGTTCATAGGCCATTGCTCTTTGCACCTCTCTGAGGGGACCAGATTCTGGTTCATGGTCCCCTGGTAGGCCAATAGAACTCCACGACTGATGACGCCTAGTAGTATGGCACTTAATCAGTGTGAAAGCTTCGGGGAGCTGGTGGGGCTCCCCACAGAAAAGTACTTTTCTCACCAAATTAGCAGAGCAGAGTTGATACACAAATGAGTAATAATCCAGAGAGAAAACATCACGGTTCTTAAAAAAAGTGAGGTTTTCATGTGTGATGGCTGACAGAATACGTGGAGGCATGTGCTCACGGAACATTCCTTGTCTCTCCCCCTGTTGAAGAAGTTGGCTTAACTCGCACAGACTAGTGCGAGCTCTTCTCTCACTACTCCCGCCTCCAAGTGGCAAACTCTTTCTTGCACTGGCAATCAAAAAAGAAAAGGAAACTGATTTACTTCTACTGTGTATCTATATTTTCAAAATTATTCAGGCTCAACATATGGAATATATTTTCATTAATACAGAAATCTTACTGCAATTTATAATTATGCATGCTAAATTTGTACTTCTAATGTAAATGCATAAACAGTAAAGAGATCTATTAAAATAACACATGGAATATGAATGTTGTCCTAAGTTTGTCAAAAGTGTACTGGGAATGCAGCAGATGAGAGAGATGTTATAACAGGGCAACATCAAGGTTTATGGGTCAATGTTATTCCTTCGAAGGAAGTTCCAAAAAGGAATGGTACTCAGATATTGCAAATACTGCACTGTATATCAATCCCTCTATGAATTTAATGTAACAACTCTTTCTGGTGCATCCTTATCAGTGACTATGAGCCAGCGAGATCTAGTTCTTTATCCACTTAACTACTTTCTACTGAGATCTTATCCACTTTCTAGCAATTTATACCTGACATACTAATTACCTCTCTCTCAACAAATGTCCTTGAGCTACCCACCTGGAATACTCCAAACTTAGATACCACACCAAGCTCTAACAAATCACGACTACCCACCGGAAACTAAGACCCTTCTACAGAAGCATAGGGAAGTACTGATCTCTCATTGACTATGAGGTAATGAGATATAGATGTCTATGCCCAGCATCCTAGTCATTTATACTTGGCATGCTAATTATCCCTCTCAACATAAGAATTCATCATATTTTTTCTTGAAGTGTGGATGGGATTGGCTTCTACAACCTCATCCTTCAATGCATTCCGCTTGCCAACTACCCATACAGGATTCAAGAATTTCCTTACATCTAAACAATTCAATTGTATATCCAGCTTCCTCATATGTCTCTTGTCTTGCCCCCCCCTTTTACTTCAAATATGATTCCTTTGTTGATAGTGTCTGTTTTCTGTAGGCTTTTAAAGGTGGTGATCATGCACCCCAACTGCCTGTTACTTTTCTCCTCTAAGGTTGTGAGGGTGAACCCTTTCAATTCTGGTACTAATCTAAATGCAAACCACTAAACGTCCTTGTTTCTTTCTGTACTTTATGAGGTACAGGTTTCATAGTGGTGCAACACATTCAAGTAATGGTCTCACATAAGCTGTACATGTGGATTTGAAAGCCTCGTTGTTTATACATATAAATGATGTTCTTATTGTCTGCCACATTCCCACAGTCTGCTGATGTTATCCTGATCACATTAGCAGCTGTGTTAGTGTTGGGAATATATTTATTCCCAAGTATTTTTTTTAACTTATTGTTTCTTGTAAATGCCTTTCCCTGATGGTACAATTACCTACAGGTCTCCTATCTCCCTTACCCATTTTCATTACTTTATTTTTACTGTACTCAGTTTGAATTCTAGCAGCCATTATCTGCCCAGTTCAAAGTCTGGTAAGGTTGATACCTGGTTGATACCTGGTTGATGGGGTTTTGGGAGTTCTACTCCCCAAGCCTGGCCCGAGACCAGGCTTGACTTGTGAGTTTGGTCCACCAGGCTGTTGCTTGGAGCGGCCCGCAAGCCCACCACAGCCCGGTTGGTTCGGAACGTCTTTTAGAAAACAGTCTGGTTTTCTCTTGAAGATGTCCACGGTTGTTCCGGCAATATTTCTTATAGTCGCTGGGAGGATGTTGAACAGCCGCGAACCTCTGATGTTTATACAGTGTTCTCTGATTGTGCCTATGGCATCTCTGCTCTTTACTGGTTCTATTCTGCATTTCTTGCAGGTCTGTAAAGGACCGACAAGTCCTTTACAGGCTGCTTTCCTACTATGAGCAGAGTTGATTGTGTTTTGTACCCTATATTCTGTTTAAGGTTCTCATTTTTACTGTACATGAGTACAGTACTTAGAATTTATTAGTTAAATAATCAGTCTCCGTGGTGTAGTGGTAAGACACTCGCCTGGCATTCCGCGAGCGCTTTGTCATGGGTTCATATTCTGGCTGGGGAGGATTTACTGGGCGCAAATCCTTAACTGTAGCCTCTGTTTAACTCAACAGTAAAATGGGTACTTGGTTGTAACAACGATTCTTCGTGGGGGTCGTATTCCAGGGACCTGCCCGAAACGCTATGCGTACTAGTGGCTATACAAAAATGTAACAACTCTTGTATGTATATGTGCATATGTGCATATGTGCATATGTGTATATGTGTATATGTATGTATGTATGTATGTGTGTGTGTGTGTGTGTGTGTGTGTGTGTGTGTGTGTGTGTGTGTGTGTGTGTATATATATATGTCGTACCTAGTAGCCAGAATGCACTTCTCAGCCTACTATGCAAGGCCCGATTTGCCTAATAAGCCAAGTTTTCCTGAATTAATATATTTTCTCTAATTTTTTTCTTATTAAATGATAAAGCTACCCATTTCATTATGTATGAGGTCAATTTTTTTTTATTGGAGTTAAAATTATCGTAGATATATGACCGAACCTAACCAACCCTACCTAACCTAACCTAACCTATCTTTAAAGGTTAGGTTAGGTTACATAGCCGAAAAAGTTAGGTTAGGTTAGGTTAGGTAGGTTAGGTAGTCGAAAAACAATTTATTCATGAAAACTTGGCTTATTAGGCAAATTGGGCCTTGCATAGTAGGCTGAGAAGTGCGTTCTGGCTACTAGGTACGACATATATATATATATATATATGTCGTACCTAGTAGCCAGAACTCACTTCTGAGCCTACTATGCAAGGCCCGAATTGCCTAATAAGCCAAGTTTTCATGAATTAATTGCTTTTCGACTACCTAACCTAACCTAACCTAACTTTTTCGGCTACCTAACCTAACCTAACCTATAAAGATAGGTTAGGTTAGGTTAGGTAGGGTTGGTTAGGTTCGGCCATATATATACGTAAATTTTAACTCCAATAAAAAAAAATTTACCTCATACATAATGAAATGGGTAGCTTTATCATTTCATAAGAAAAAAATTAGAGAAAATATATTAATTCATGAAAACTTGGCTTATTAGGCAAATCGGGCCTTGCATAGTAGGCCGAGAAGTGCGTTCTGGCTACTAGGTACGACATATATATATATATATATATATATATATATATATATATAAAATAAACAATGTTAAACGTCTGCTGCCCAGTCAAAAACTTTATTAATATCTGCTTGAAGTTTTTATGTCTTCAGAAATAATTGTCAGGCTGATTTTTGTCATCTGCAAAAGAATATACGAAGCTGTGACTGTGAAGTGCAATGTCATTTAAAAACTGCTGTCCTAGTGATTCAGATATATAGTACTAATTTCTGTTCCCTTTAAGTGCCTCCCTAATTTACCTTTATACTTAAGTCCCCATACTTTTCCATGTCTTTTTTTGTTTTCTTTTCCTCCATGTATTGCCTGTTGAACCATGAGTTTGCTGTTTTTCTTTTATCCAATTTATTTCTCAGAGGTACAAACTGCTCCACTGCTCCTATGCATTTCTGCATTAGGAATTCCATCATCTCATTCACTGACTTTTCTAACCATTTCAGTCTCCCACTTAATATTCTACAGATAAGCCATAATCTTTCTGTAATCCCCTGCTCAATATTTCCTTGTGTGCTTTATCCTGTTTCCTGGGCCAATTGTCTCTCTTTCAGTTCTAAATAATAACTGAACACAAGAATGCAGTGGTCACTGGCTCATAGTGGCACCCAGTATTTTAATTTCTTTATATTTTCACTTAGAGTAAACATCAGATCTAGGAGCAGCTGGTTGATACCTGGTTGATGGGGTTCTGGGAGTTCTTCTACTCCCCAAGCCTGGCCCCAGGCCAGGCTTGACTTGTGAAAGTTTGGTCCACTAGGCTGTTGCTTGGAGCGGCCCGCAGGCCCACATACCTACCACAGCCCGGTTGGTCCGGCACTCCTTGGAGGAATAAATCTAGTTTCCTCTTGAAAATGTCCACGGTTGTTCCGGCAATATTTCTTATGCTTGCTGGGAGGGTGTTGAACAACCGGGGACCTCTGATGTTTATACAGTGTTCTCTGATTGTGCCTATGGCACCTCTGCTCTTCACTGGTTCTATTCTGCATTTTCTTCCATATCGTTCACTCCAGTATGTTGTTATTTTACTGTGTAGATTTGGTACTTGGCCCTCCAGCATCTTCCAGGTGTATATTATTTGATATCTCTCTCGTCTTCATTCTAGTGAGTACATTTGGAGGGCTTTGAGACGATCCCAATAATTTAGGTGCTTTATCGCGTCTATGCGTGCCGTATATGTTCTCTGTATTCCCTCTATTTCAGCAATCTCTCCTGCTCTGAAGGTGGTAGTCACCACCTCTTTTTTTTTTGTTGGCTACTTGCATTTATCATATTCCTCCCTTGACATTCCTGTAGTTAATGGAGGGTGAGAGATAACACCTACCAATATCTTCATGGTCCCACTTATTATCATACCTAGTATAAAATCCTACTGGTTGGTTACCTCTGGAGTCTATCTTGTCTCAGAGCTCCAGTGTTGTTGTATCAGTAGGATTACTTCTTCCCTGTTTATTCTTTATTTTTTAGTACCTAGTCACCTCTTTGGAATGTTACATTCACTATTACGTTCCATCAATTTTACCTCCCTAACTGTGATATGAGGATGTACATGTAGTTCTGCCACTCATTCTTTCAGCTCTAACCCTTTATAAAAATCACTAGTTCATTGCTACTATAATTATGTAGACCATCAAATAAATTTTGATGCCTAACTCCTGGCCATCTCAATTCTTCCACTTGGTTGGTTTCAAGTGGTGAGATCTAAAATCTGCAATGAAGGGGATCTGCACATTGCACCTGGTGCCAGACTTCCTCTGGATTGAAATAAGTACACATATGTTTGAGGTAATGATCATTTAACATGCCAATTACACAATTCATAGCGTGGCTACAGATCTGCAATATCCGACATCTATATGAATTTACATAATATTGCTCGCAGAAAACCCCCAGAGTGAAATGAAGTGAAATGTCCATCTCTGGGTAAGCCTTGGTGGGTCCCTGAATTTTAATAGCTGAAATAGATTCCCATTACTAGTCACAATAGTCGTAAGCATCCTATTGGCCTACTGTGGACCAGAGCCAAAGCTCTTGTCCCCCCCCCCCTCAAAGAGCCACAGAGAGCAGGAAATTGCAATGATCATCTTCACCAGTGAAGCAACCAGAAAGTTGAATAAATAATACAGTCAACTGCATTGTTTATAAAAACAAATCAACAAAATAGTTAACAGACCCTGCAAAAGATTCACTCAAAACTGGATACAGACCCCCCCCCCCTCCCCCTAGGGCAAACAGCCACAAACACGTGACATCCCAACTTCAAGCCAGAGATTACTCAGTTGGGAGCTGATGAACCACAACTAAATGTGCAAGAGGAGGTAGTCATGGAGCCACCGGGGCTCACCCAGAAATGGGTGTTTCATTACATTCAACTCTTTGTTTTCCAGGGGGAAGGCCCCTTGGTGGATTCTGAAGTAAACTAACCAAAAAGAAGAAGGAAAATCCTGGACTTACTTGGGAGGAGGAGGTGGCTGCAGCTATGAAGTCTTAGATGAGACACCAGGCCTAGAAATCTGGGCCAGGGTATCACAAGCCCGGCTGGGACCAGGAATATTGACTCAATACCAAGGTGCTAAAACCCTATTAGATCTCCAAAACATTCGAGCCAGAAAAATTGACCCATAAAATAATAGAAAAGACGAAGTCCAAAGCCATGTACGTACAAACAACATTTTCCCCATTAACTAACCCATTAATGACACCATGGTCAACATGGGACAAACGTGCTGTGGAACAGGGGACCGACAAAATAGGATTGACAAACAATGAGTTCACCAAAGCAGAACAGGTGGCACACTGATTGTGAAGAAGTGCTGCAACCAGACACAACAAAAGGCATACTCTCAGCTGAACAAATTTAGGAACCTCTATGGAAGCCAACAATGTCCATTTCCACCAGAAAAGAAGAGATGGCTGTAGATGAAAAGACCACCCAACAGAGCAGAAAGGAACAGAACCCATGCCTCCAGAAATGAGCATGATGTTCCCCAACCTGACAACTGGAGGTGAGAGCCAACAAAAGCAACGCCTTAAGAAAAATATCCCAGACTGACAGGACAACCAGAAACTGAATGGAAGAAAGCAGCAGCAACACTCAATCGAGAGACAAAGATTGCTCATGGAAAGCATAAGCCAGCCAGAGGTGAAAGACAACTTAAGATAACTTCTGAGACAGAGCTGAGGAAGTACCGATGCTGAATGCCAAAAAGAGACAAAGACAAAAGGAGCACCTGGACACTTCAAACTGTTGCCGTAATGAAGACGTAGGTGGAGAACCAGCAAAACAGCTACCAGCTCAGCATACAAAGGGTATGACTTATGATAGAAACTACAGATATGGAGATTGGTAAAAAAGGACGAACCAGCAATGAATGTTACCTGGCCAATCTGCTGAAAAGAGGTGGAACCGTGAAAAATGTCCAGGTTTGGACACCGAGCACAAAAAACAAGAAACCAAAATAGAACCAGCCATCAAAGAGCCAGAGAAAACACTTTGCCTAAGAACATCTTTAACCTGGATAATGTCAGGACCAACAACTGAAGAGGGAAATTAATTCCCCTTCAATCAGTTCAGCTGTTAAGCATCCATTGTGAGAGCCTCATGATTGGGGAACAGAGCCTTGTAGGAAGGAGATTACCTTGAGAACTCGTGAGAAGCCACGAGTTCCCCACCAATGCAAAGAGGACCACCTGAAGGCAACCAAATGCCTCCCAGAGCCAAAGTAAGGATACATCCTCTACAGTTCAATCTATGCAAGAGGGATGGAGGTGAGATAATTTAACCACAAGAATGTGAGAAACATTCTATATGGGAACTACACTGAATTAAACCCCAAAAAGCTGACCAACAAGAAGAGCCCAGCCCCAAAGGGGTAAAGACTGAAGTGAACTTCCATGATACAGTAAAAGAACCATCGGGAAGTTATCAGAATGGAGCTGGAGAATGGAACCCAGAGGAAGAGGGAACCCCCCAAAGGGCCCACCACATTGAAGCACACTGCATTCCCAGCAGAGAATCCAGAGGTGTAAACCCGGCCAATAATCCTGGGAGGCGAGGAAAAGCGGGGCACAAAATCTCAACCTAGAGCAGAGGCATTGATGAACAATCTCAGGGACAGGGGAAGATGACACAATAGAATCGAGCCCCGAAAAGCCTTTAAAGGAAGTCAGTGAAGCAAGAGCAGATGAAGGGCAGACAGCCCCTAAACCCAACAGCCATGGCATGGTAAAACTGGAGTAACCAAAGAACCAAAAAAGTGCCAAGAATCAAACCCGGTTCACTGGACCCACCCTGTAGGAAAGGAGGAACCCTTTTGGCAATTTTGAGCCTGCAGTTGTGTTTTAAGCTATGCAGTAGTTTATGTTGGTTCACCTTACTTTCTGGGGACTTCCCTGAGGGTGCAACCCTTCCTCCGAATAGACAGTACGTTTTAGTACTAAATGTAATAAGTACATTCCCGACTGTCTGCATAGTACATAAATACACTTAATTGTGCTGTTACATTTACCTCCCCATATATTTTCCTAATTTTGTGTTAATACACTCAAAATTTTTAGGTTGAAGTTTTCGTGTTGAATTCTATATACTGTACACAAGTTTAAAATATAAAGAATTTCTTTTTCAGTTTCATTAAACAATAGAAATTTTATACAAAATTTGAAAATATCGTGAGTTACTTTATAATTTATTGAAAGACTTTTGTTTTGTTTTATTAGTTTTATAAAATTGTAATATCAATATAGTTATAGGTTAAGTACTAATTGTAATTAAGAAGCAATAAATGCTATTTACAAGCTTGACCTCCTACACTTCCAAGGTTAGGTTAGGCCGTGGTTTTCTATACAGCTTTTCAGGTAAACTCTAATATTCACAATATTTTGGTGCGATGCTGGCAATTAAGTGTATTTATGTACTATGCCAATGGTCAGGATTGTACTTATTACATTCAGTATTAAAATGTACTGTCTATTCGGAGGATGGGCTGGGTGGTGGCAAGTAAACTTTACATTTAAAGTTTTCATAGGCCATCACTTCCTGCACCTCTTCTGAGGGGGGCTAGGTTCTGGCTCGTGGTCCCCAGTAGGCCAATAGAACTCCACGACTGATGGCACCTGATAGTATGGCAATGATCAGTGTATGAGAGCTTCAGGGAGCCAATGGGCTCCTCCCAGAAAACCAGCATTGAATGTAATAAAACATCTATTTCTGGGTGAGCCATGGTGGCTTCCTGAAGCTATCTTGATGAAATGGCTCCCAACTACTACAGTATAACAAATCAGTTATGGAGTTAAGATTGGCCTACAGGGGCACAGAGCCAGAACCTGGGCCTCCAGTCCCTTCACAGAGACACAAGGAGCAAGTGACAATCCACCACACCACTCGAAAAAAATCTATAGTCAGTGAACCAATAGAGACAACAGCTGGGTTCACAGAGACTGAAACCTCAAAACTGCCAAGTGAACTTCGCCAAGAATGTAAACAAACAAGCTCATTAGCACTACTCTCCATCAGTGGGGAGGATGAGCTCACAGCAGCCTCTGGGCTACTACTCCAATTCAGGAACAGATGTACACACAAACCCCCAAACAACAACCTGGAAGGGAGGAAGGGAATCATGGAGCCACCAGGGCTCAACCAGAAAGAGGCATTTCATTACATTTAATGCTGGTTTCCTGGAGGTAACTGCTTGTGGCTCTCTGAAGCTAACTACCCACAGAGAAAAAAAAGGAGGGAATACCAGAGAGTAATAGAAACAGCGGGCAGCCAGAATGAAGACAACACACTAGGCCGAGAAAATAACCCAAAGCAACACAGGCATGATGAGACCTGGGAACATTAACTAAATACAGTACTGGGCTCCCAAAACCCTGCTAAACCTCTACAACCCCCACACCTGAATATCAGCCCCAGGACATATTAGCAAAAACCACCGTGAGAGCAGCATATTTCTGGAATATAATGTACATGAAGGTAGACCACAGGCTAGATGGACTAGATGACACTGCTGACAACATGAGAAACATGAGCCTTGGAACAGGAACCAGAGAAACAGGATCAATCTGCACAGCATCCACTGAGGCAAAATCAGTGGCACGAAGATAGTGGCAAAGGGCAGCCACTGGGCACAGTGTACGGCGCACCTCTGACTGAACAAGCCAAGAACCAATCATTAAGGGACCCCACCGGAAGCCCTCCAGTGGGGTCCCTTTTTACTAATTTTACAGCAGAAAAGAATTAGATGGCTGCAAACATAACACCCACCATGGCCAAACAAAAAACCATGCCTCCAGAGAAGAGCATGAAATTCCCCAACCTGACAACAGGAGGCAAGAACCAATAGAAAAATAGCCTTGGAAAGGAATCCAGGAACGAAGGAGATTCCATAAACCTAGAAGTTAAGAGAGGCGAGGTCACGTTCCAAAAACCAAGAAGGCTCAGGTGGCACATGAGCAGGCCGGAGGGAAAACAATGCACAAGACAGCTTCTGAAACGGCGCCGAGGAAGTATCGACACAGAATGCAAGCAGTAGCAGCTCCACCACCAATGCACGATAAATGGTGATAGTATTCCTAATAGGATGTCTATGACTGATGTGACTAAGCAACGGGAAGCTATCTCAGCAATATAGCTTCAGGAAGTTACCAGGGGGGTGTCCCCCAGAAAAGACGATCAGACACTTCAGAAACAGGATGGACCTCAATGAGAGAAGTAAGATGTCCCCTAATTCATTCTTTTTGTGTGTCCTTAAGACTCATTGATTTTTATTATAATACTGTCACTACAGTACTTTCATTACATAAAAGAAAATTACTCACCTGCTGGTCGAGGCCCTGAAAGATCGGGACATAACCCCCACCTTTGGAGTTTTTGGTGTCTTAGGGGTTGCCATTCTTTCATCCGTGCAATCATAAACGAGCATGTAACCATTCCAATACCTTAGTCGATCTTCTGGAAGTGGATTTGCTAAAAAAGGATAAAAATTATTTGAAACACAACAGTACATTACAATGTATGTATTACTACTCTATTTGTAAAATTTTGAGGGCTACATGTTCAAGTTCTGAGAAGGAAACACAACATTTAGTCAATAAACATTAATAAACATTCTAACTCCATCCCAGGCTTTCTCTTGGTCTGTAGCAGTATGGGAGTTTTGTATGAAAGATGTGTTTAATAGATATATATACAGTACTGTATGAGCTCACTTAACCAAATTCCATTAAACCGGATATTTGGGTTATCCAGCCAAAATTGTATCCAGATATTTTTATTGCAAAACTTTGCCATGTTCCAACAGTAATCTAGATAACCGGATGTATGGCCGAATAGTGCAGACTGGCATAGATTCTGGATAATTTTCTGCCAAACTTCACCAAATCAGGACAGAAATCCAGAAAACCAGAGATTTTGCTGGATACCACAGACAGGCATCAGGCCATACCATATTAATCCAGTACAGCAGTGGCTTGAGGCACAGGGTTTGGGAGATGGGAGGTGCAGGGGTTGGTCGTTTCGGGGTAGGGGGAGTCGGGAGATATGGTAAGAGTCGGAAGGGATTCCCGACACATGTGGCTCTCCTTACTCACCCTCGTCCTGAATTTCATATCAGATAGTGACCACTTTGCATTCGCGTTTCTATGTTGCAGCGGTCTAGGTTGTGCCCAACTGGAGGCCCTGGATTTGCCGTGCTTGGTGTTTAGAGACTTGGATTTAGAGGTGCTGGCTAATTTAACTGTGGTTGTCCTCACATTCTGTTCCTCCCTCTGCAGGCATGGTTCGTCCCCCCCCCCCTCCCCTGCTTCCGGCTCCGAAACGTCTGAGGGTTTTAGAGTCGGGACGGTGTGGTGGGTAGGGCTGATCCAGGGTTTGCCCCTTCCAACTCAAGCTTGGAGGCAGTCAAGCCTCTTGCTCCTGTCTGCTGAAGCTGCTTGGGTTTTCCTATCCCCCCTTCCTGTATAATTTCAATTTGAGTGTAGCTTCCCCTAGGGTTTGTTTCTGAGTGACTTTGGGTTCTTTGGTTTCATCCTTCCAGAGGTTTCCATCCTCTCGAGTTCTCTTGGCGGCAGCTCAGGAGACCATTTATGCGTACCTCCTGCACAACCCAGTTTACGTCTCGGTGATGGACCTGGTTTCTTTTCAGTTTGGCTTTTCATTCCCTTATTGCATGTGTTATGAGGCTCCAGAGTCATTTTGGCTGGCACTACCTTTTGTTTACCCTTGGGGCTTGGCACAATTTCTGTCATTTATGTACGCTTGAGGGGGTGGGAGGTGTCTCCTGTGTTTCAAGTGTTTCTTGTGGGGAAGGGGGGGGGGGGTTCTTTTGAATCCCCTCCAGGCATGCCTCTTTGCTCCTGCCCTCAGGACCCATGATGTGGGTCTCATGCAGCTACATGCTCAGGTCCCACAGTTGTTGGCTGCATTAGTTGCAGATGACCTTCATGCCCACTCACACTTGAGTTCCATCATGAGTTTCTTGGGCCTGGAGCTTCATCCTGATTGGCACTCGGAGGACGTTGGGATGCTCGGTGAGGCTTCTCTTGCAGGGGTTTTGGTCTTTACTGCTTCTGCTTCGACCGCCCCTCCTTAAAATCCACCTGCACGGTGTGGGGGTGGGCCACAAATAGATTTCATACAGTCTGCTAAATCCAAATAAGAATTATATCAACTACATTCTCCACACCAGGAAGACCAAACACAAAATGAAGGCAAGAACTACAACAAGCAAGGAAGCCCTCTAAGGCAGCAAACCCCAAACAATCAAGGGAAGAGAACCCTCACAAAGCAAGGGCATGTGAACAGGGAAGTGGCTTTGTGTCCTGTGCACATGCAGCTCCAAGCGGCTCACTTCCCTACTTCTGGCTCCTGCAGCACAAACATACTCTTGGCTCACACAGCACAAATGTGCATTGGAGCAGCCACAAAGGCAAAAAGCCAATACTTAGCTGAAGCTGGAAATAAGAGCCAGAGCAACAAAGACAGCCAGGCACTAGCTACCATCAACAAGAACTGAGAGGTCTGACTCCCTCCTCCCACTAAACGAGGGGATGCAAGTGGGGCAAACGTGCTTACGCTAGTTTCATGACTTTTCAATCATCTGTTTACATTGTTGGGGGGAGCTCTTTTGGCCATTTTGTGGTATCAATATTTCTTATTACCAGCAGTGGTTTGTTTTGTTTCGCTAACTTTGTTGGTGCCGGATACGATTAAAATTCACTGACAATTATATCAGTGTCACTGCCCTCTGTGCCTCATTAGAGGGAGCCAGGTTCTGGCTCATGGTCCCCGATAGATCTAAAAGAACTCCACAAGTAATGGTACCTAGTAGTATGGCACTATATCAGCATTGTAGCCACAAGGGGCTCCCTCCAGAAACTTTGTTATTACACTGTATATTGTCATGGTAATCTCTCGGGAAGAGACTAGGCCTGCTCCATCATCACCTATTCTACAACATCACATCTGCATATTGAAGAGTTTACAGCAAGATCAACAACAACTTCTCAGACGTCTTGACAGTACCACCAATCTACCTCCCCCCAGGACCCGTCAGCCCATCACACCTGGCGACGGCCCCAGGATCACGCCACTGCCTGAAACAAGTGCGATGGTAGTTTGAGTGAGCCAGCTCCCAGTTATCGATGACACCAACGCCACCTGGACGGTCGTTTCTCCTATGTATAGAAGCTAGCCAGCTCCACCAAGTCAGAATACACCAAAGTGCTCAACTGCCTCGATCTGTTAACATACGTCTCTGTGTTGTAGCAGATTTATGCAGCCTGGCTCACAGTATTCACGCACCATTTTATTGTTTGCACTTTAACGTAACGTAACTTTGTCTGTTTGTTTGTCATTTGTATTTGCACACTTTGAGTAAACCCAAGTTTTGATACTATTTTTGTTCTGTAAATTGATTAAGGTAATTGTCATAGTAAAGTATTTAAAAAAAAATTCTCTGTTTTATCCTACATAAACTAGTCTTATCCTACACAGACTGCCTCAGTGTGAAGATAAACAGCAGTCTAAATAATTTTTTTTTTTTTATGTGACCAGCATTCCATCTGCCCTATAGAGATTGTGCTACCATCCATTTTCACATCACAATTTATACACATAATATATAACATTCAATATTTTTATGTACCATTATGAACCACTAAGCAGTTCTGGTGGGTGTAATAATTTCGTAACCAGTGATCATTCCGTTCTAGCCTAACATTTTTTGCATGAGGCTGTAACTGCACACATTATTATATTATATTTCCATTGCATTTTTAATGTTTTTACCATGGTTTTTGAAGTGCAATGATGCATTGGGCAGTCAATAATATTATTTGAATCACAAAATGTGAAGAATATAGGTATGAACATTATTTATGTCACAATTAAGAGCTCAATGTTATATTCCTTGAACAATAAAACATACTGTTTTTGCTGTTGTTACACTGTATACACACACATTATATAACTATCTACAGTTTATATGCACCTTAACGAGCCACCAAGCAGTTCTGGTGGGTGTGGTAATCTCGTAATCCAAGCAGTTACCAATGCCAACTGAAACAGCACAATGCCTTCCAGTGTACTGCACACATTGGCAATTCTAGCCTCAACACTACTCTTATTGTCAAAATCCTGGTCACCAAATCCTGAGGATGAATAATTTTCCTCAAGTTTATGTTCAAAAGGAACATGACGTTCCATTTCATGATGTGTAGCTGCATCAGACCGCGGCTGTGTGCTGTGCATGTCTGCCTCCGGCTGTGGATATCGTAGGCAGCATTGGGCTCACTGATATCTGAACCTTGTACAGTGTCTTTATCACAGTCAGAAGCTTCCATGGCATCATCATTAGATAATCAGTTATTTATTTCATTATTATTAAATGATCTTGTGGGCAGGAGCTGCATGGCGGTGCTGGAAGCTGTTGCTACATGTGGTACTGATGCTCACCCACTCAGTACTGTGGCCCTCACACCCACGAGAGCAACCCCACAATTTTTTTTTCCAAGATGGCCTCCATGTACTAGAGGCCCGAGGAAGCATACAATATATACATTTAGTAATACCATATATACATTTAAAAAAAATTGACAAGTAATTCTATTTACTGTATATCCATGCCTTACATTGTTGTACCACCATAAGCTGTCCATAAATAATTTATCTGGATTTAATAGTCTGTGCTGCTTGAATTCCTTTGTAATGTTTGCCAACCCTCTCAATACATTTCTCAAGCCACCAAGAACTCTAAAGTATTTATGTCTATTATGTAACATGGCCCTAAACTGAAATGCCTAACCAAAATTGGAGTCTAACAAGGCCATGAAAACCTGAAGAATACCACTGGATGGTATTACCAACAGTACTAGTTATCAATCCTAGTACTGCATCACATACACAGCTTGCCTGGCTTAACATTTGTAATAATAATGACACCTAAATAAGCATGCCAACTAACCAGGTTAAAAAACCCACAAAACAACTCACAAGAATCATAAGAGACTTTTGCTTTGTATGTACCACCGAAGCATTCTTGTTCCAGGAGTGTATCATTCATTTCAACTTGCTCAACACTGGTGTCGTTAAACTTGAACCATCGACCTTTGTTGGGATTTGTCAATGGGTCTCCTCTGAAAATCAGGGTCACAACTGAAATCTTCAGAGGGTCATATATAGATATGAAAATGTACTTACAAAAAATATTTTAGGCTTTTTAGGTCAAGCAACAAGGGTTAAAAATGATTAGCTCAGTCTGAAACCACATTGCCTTAATTTTAAGTTAAAACTCGAAATTAAATTCACAGAAAAAGATGACAGTTGTATGGCACAGTTGCTGGGAATACTTTGGAATGAGCCTAGTGCAGATATACAGAAAAACAGATAAATATACAATGTCTATATTTTCTTAATCTGAAAAACTAAAGATTTAGTAGAATGTAATAATTGCATAAGTTAAGAAATATGAAGTTTTGAGCCACATTGAACTTTTAAATTTAAAATTGTTTCTTTCAAAAGTGAGCCCCAAAAGCCCCAAATGGAGTGAATCAAATGACAGAAGTACTTAGGAAAATCACAAAATGTGGAGGATGGGAAACCATAGCCACCGAGACAAGAGCTTTCAAAGAAAGACAGAGAAACTGAAATTAAACCTGGATGAAAAAAAATATCTAAAAATAACAGTGTTGAATGTAATGAAATGCCATTTTCTGGGTGAGCCACAGAGGCTCCCTGGAGCTTATCGGGCTAATGTATGTTATATTAGACTGGGACATTAGCTAAGGAGTTCAGACCTACCAGGGACCAGCGCCAGAACCTGGCCCCTTCAGAAAAGTTTCAGGGAGCAATGGCCCTGGAAAACCCCCCTTGCAGTTGAGGTTTTCCTTACCTGCCATCAACCGGGGTTAGGCACCCAGAAAGGTAGGCAGAACAAAACAAACCCCACATGGTAAAAAACTAAAACAAAAAAACAAACAGAGGTAGAAACTCCCTATAATCCCAAGGAAACAAGCAAACATTACACTTTACTGCTGCGCCGATCGTCCGTGCAGCCCTCCCACCTCGAGAGGGGGAGGGGGGAGCCTCGGACCTCACCGCGCCAGCTGCCTAGCATCAGTTCGGAAGCTAAGCTTCAACCAACGCGAAAAAAACGCCGACCAGTGGGAGTGAGGGTTGCCAGGGAGCCTCCAGGGCTCACCCAGAAAATGGCGTAGGTCATCTTCTCTTTCGCATCGGGTTGTCTTGTCCTTTTCAGAGTTTTTTGTTTTTTTTTGGACTACAGGTTTTCTTGGGTTTTCAGCACTACAGTTATTTGATGTTTCTTACTGTTGCCTCATTTTGTGCGGCACTGGCGGAGCCACTCCGGCTTACGTTCGGGGTGGACATCACATCTGCCCTGTTCCGTACGCTTTCTTGTGTTCTGTTTCACCTCCGGCCTGCTCATGCGTTGCCTGAGCCGTCCTGGTCCTTGATCAGGGTGCCTTCTTATCTTCTCCTCAGTTTGTGGTAGCCCCTTCAGTTCAGGTTTCTGCTCTTTGGTAGGGGGGGGGGGGGTGCGTGCTTGATTGGTTTGGCCGGGGGTGCATCTTGTGTTGTCTAGTTGCGTTTTTTTTTTTTTCTGTTACCTGCGTACCGTGTCTGGGGATGCGCTTTGGGTTGATCCGGTTCCCCTTGTTCCCGGTTTCAGAGCTCGGGTCTCCCAAGTCGTCCGCAGAGTTTTTAGGTCTTCCAGCCTGCGATCTATCCTTGCACCCGTGCTGTTCGGACGTTTGCAGCTTTCGCTGCTGTGTTGGTGACGTCTAGGGCTCATTTTGGGTGCGAGGATTTGAGGGTTGCACAGGTTCCTGGCCGCCCGTTCTTTATGCACGTGTCTGCTCCTGTGTGTTCTTGCTGCCTTGGGTCGCAGGTTGCAGCTTGTTGTCTTGGCTTCGCGTTGCAGAGTTTGTGGCGGCCACCTCCCGGGTCAGTCCTTTCTTTTCCTTCTCTTTGGGTATGAAGCTCCAGGGAGCCGTAGGGGCTCCCCACAGAAAACCAGCGTTGAATGTAATGAAACACCATTTTCTGGGTGAGCCCCGGAGGGTCCCTGGCAACCCTCCTTCCCACCGGTTTTTTCACGTTGGTTGAAGCTTAGCTTCCGAACTGATGCTAGGCAGCCGGCGTGGTGAGGTCCGGGGCACCCCTCTCCCCCTCTCGGGGAGGGGAGGGCTGTGCGGACGATCGTCGCGGCAGTAAAGTGTGATGTTTGCTTGTTTACTTGTTTCCTTGTGATTGTAGGGAGTTTCTACCTCTGTTCGGTTTTGTGTTTTAGTTTTTACCATGTGGGGTTTGTTTTGTTATGCCTACCTTTCTGGGTGCATAACCCCAGTTGATGGCAGATAAGGAAAACCCCAACCACAAAGGGGTTTTCCAGGGCCATTGCTCCCTGAAACCTCTCTGAAGGGGCCAGGTTCTGGCAGTGGTCCCTGGTAGGTCTGAGCTCCTTAGCTAATGTCCCGGTCTAATATAACATACATTAGCCTGGTAAGCTCCAGGGAGCCTCTGGGGCTCACCCAGAAAATGGTGTTTCATTACATTCAACAATGGCTTTTTTTCTACAAGGTGATAGGGAATGGGAGGCTTGTAAAATATACACATGTTCTAGGAGTTTAATAATATAATACAGCATAAGATGCCAGATATTGTCAAACTGATAATCATCACTGCCTACAGTCCACCAGCAAGCCACACATGGATTAAAGGAAAAGCTAGATGACAAAAGAGAGCACCTTATTATGATAATAAGAGGTCTTATTGTAAAAGCTTAAAGATAAATAATGATTGCTGATTTACAACTTACACATTGTGAAAAAGTTTTAAAGAATTCTGATAAAGAAAGAGATCTAGGGGTGATCCTGGATTTCACCCTCAGGTGAAAACTATCACCTGAGGACCACACATATACCACTGTGGGAAGCCAATGCTTTCCAACTTCAGAATTGCTCTTAAATACATGGATTGTGAAATACTAAAGAAATTGTTCATGACCTTTGTGAGCCCAAAATTGGAATATGCAACAGTTGTGCCCATTTTACAAGTTGCACATCAATAAACTGGAAAAGGTGCAAAAACATGTAACTAAATGACTTCTGGAAATGAAAAACAATAGCTATGTTGAGAGGTTAAATGTTTTAAATATACCAAGCTGGATAATAATTTTCCTACAAGAAGGAAAAGAGGAGATATTATCACTGCATACAAAAGAATATCAGGAATCAACAAAATTTATAAAACAATTCTTGAAACCTACATTATCAAGAACAAGAGGTCACAGACTCAATCTAAGGACACAAACCTGCCAAAAGAATATTAGAAAGTTGTGTTTTGCAAACAGTGTTGGAACAAGTTAAGTGAGGTGGTGGATGCCTAAACCATCAGTACTTTCAAAATATCTTGTGACAAACTACTGGAAAATGGGACTGGGACACTACAAGTATAGCTCTCATCCTGTAACTGTATTTAGGTAATTACACACATTCACACAACAGACAGAAATATCAGTACCTGCAGTCTTTAATATATGAGTAGTAGTGTCCTGCACTGGCCTGTCCACTATGTACAATTACACCTACAAGTTCATAGACTCCTCCTTTGTGATGCACTCTTGTATTTATCCTGCATGAAAGAGTACACAAACTGTTAAGAAATATGGTAAATACAGTATACTGAAAATGGGACATAATAATAATTAAGAGCATACATTTCAATCTTGATTAAAAATAATGGATATTAAAGTATAATCAAACATTTAAACAGTCGGCTCTCGGTATCCGCAAATTCTCACCAGTATTTGTGAAACTCTCTGTACACAAGAAAGATACTAAACACAAAAATTCATTGTGTGAGTGCTGGGCTCACTCCAATAACTTGGAAAAGATGTTTGCTAATGTGCATTATGGTGCTGTGAGGGAATGGTGTTCTCTCAGCTTGTCTTGTACCCTATAGCTGTTGTGGAGCTCTCCACATGCTGTGCACTGAGCATTTGTATTCACCTATCTAAGGATACAAGTACATTGTGTTGGGTGTCTATAGATTGAGAATTGCATAAGCAGTTCAGAAATCGTGTGTGGTGACATATAACACCTGGTTATAGTGGAACAGGGGAGCTCATTCAACTAGCCTGTATAATTACGGGGGGTTAGTTCTAACCACAAGTTGGCTGTTGAATGTAGCAGGTACCAGCCTGGGTTTTTTGGCTGATTTGACCCAACAACCAACGATTGTTGATAAATCTGTTCCTCCCTCTCCCCACAACACTAGTAAAGCCTAGAGTTCAGCCAATCAGATGAATGTGTATGGCATCATAAACGTATATCATAAATGGCAAACTTTTTGAGTTATAAATTTGTCTGTCTAAATTTGGTGCATATTTAATATGCCACATAACATATTTTTTTACAGTAAACTATACTGCCAAACTATATTCTACAATGACACACATGAATATCACATGCCATTCTGGGACCATAATAGCACTAAATAAACAATTGGTGATATTTTATATTTTTATAGTTGATTTGAAAATCTAAAATTTTACATTTTTTAATTTTATATAATTTTGTTTGTTTCTCATGGTACATTGGTGATCATTTAGTAAAAGTTGAAGCATTTCCCATGTAGATTATGCCACAAAAAATTGAAGGCATTTCAGGAAGTTTGAGAAACACGTTACTCATTTCCTTAAACACTAACTCAGTACTCACCGAGGTGTATGTGAAGATGCCTTTAATGTTCTAGACTTTCCTGGTGTGTGTGTAGATGTATTAACTTTTGAAGATAGCAGAGAATCCGTAAGATCTGGAGATGGAACAGTTCTACTCTCACCACCACCTGGATCTTCCTCTTGTTCAGCTAAGCCTTCTGCAGTGTACGGACTCATATCCAAAATCCAAGGAAACTGAATGGACAAGGAAAGAATTTTAATGAAAATATGTTAAGCGCAGTTGTTGAGGTGAAACAAATATTTTTAAATGACTTTTGAAGAAATATCATAGAAATAAAATATAGAACAAATATGAAAAATTATGAATTCCATTATTACACTAGACATTAAAGGATGAGGTTGTTAAAGCCATTTCCATTAACAAGTTTAAATAAATTTGAAGAAAATATTAATATTGATAGGAGTAATTACCATGCCAGGTATAAACCTGGTTAGGAGGCAAGCATAAAGAGTTAGATCTCACTACCCCATAGTCACTGATAGGTAAGCACCTTTTAGGATTTTAGCTTTTCCCATACTGAGGTACAGTACAGGGCAATCTCGTTTCAACGAACTATATGGGACCCATCCCAATTCGTTGCAACCAGAGATGGCTCCAGGAGGCCCATATTTGTGAATGAAAACCGTGGAATCTCAAAATGAAAACGAACTATAGAATTTTGTTTAAAATGTGCTCAATGGTTTTCCCAAGACCCCAACTCTTTCTTCTAATGTTGCGCCCATCTAGCACAACCATTAAAAACATAATTGGAGCCATATTAACATTGCTACCATTCATACCCTAATGTTTAACACAGTTTACGGCTGATTTCAGTAAGCAAAATTTTAATTTCAACATATCACATATGAAGGACAGCTACCAAGAGCAACCAATATATTTAAAGAAAAAATTTACCCACATCTAGCATATTTCCCATGCCCTTGCCTCAAAGCCTCATTTTCAGAGGGAAATGGGCTCATATTTTTCAACGAAAACCAGGAAATATCAAAATGAAAATGAACCAAAGAATTTGGTTTTAAATGTTCTCAGTGCTTTTCTAGGGCACCAACTTTTTCTTCTAATGTTGAATCCATCTACAAAAATCATTAAAAACTTGACTGAAATTACCATTCATACCCATATATTTCCCATGTTCTATGGGCTGATTTCAATAAGAAAATCTTTAATATTTAACCTATGAATTGATGGGCAAATTTTCCACCAGTTTGTGAACTCTGTCCAATATCCTAAGCAAATCCATACATCCCCCAAGTCAGCAAACAAGAGTTCATGGAATCGGACAAGTAAATCCGGCCAGGAAAATGTGCGTTCCAACCAGAGATTTGTTAAATGGAGGCTCCACTGTAATTGAAATGTGTCACCAGTAATCATCATTATAGCATACAAAGAAATCATATTAACATGATGCATAATGAGAAAATTAGTAGGAGTCATGAAGAGGATTTGAACCTATGCTCTGGGTACTCCTAAACACATGCCTTAGACCACAACACCATGAAATGGTCAAAAGCAATGCAACCTGGGATTCAACATAATCCAACATTCAACCTGGGATTCAACATAATCCAACATTCAACCTGGGATTCAACATAATCCAACATTCAACCTGGGATTCAACATAATCCAACATTCAACCTGGGATTCAACAACATAAGATGTTGTGGTCTAAGGCTTATGCTTGGAAGTACTCAGAGCATATGTTCGAATCCTCCTCACAGTCCCACTAATTTTCTCATTATTATAGCCTCAAGTAAAATTTTCAGTCCTTTGATTAGTGTAGCTTATGTTGTCCGTAATTATGTGGGTGGAGTGGGGGGGGGTTGGACCTGCACTGTTTCTAACCCTTTTGTTTTTCATTTGAGGTCTGGTTCTGTGTACAATTATTACACTTGTTCCAGTGTGAATTCTTTCTCTATGAACTTTATGAGTTGAGTGATGGTGAATCTCCCTTTTGTTCAGAGCAGGCCTGTGTGCTGTTTGGCTCAATAATGTGCCTGGTTGCTGACACTTAATTTTTAGCCATTGATTATTCTCTCAAGATTAGGCTAATGGCAAGATTTCTAGTTTACTACTTTGCAGAATTTTTATGTCAGATCTTTCTGAGTGGTGAAGTGTTTGACTTACAATAAGTTCAGTGTTAGCCTGTGGTCAGTATGACTCGGAAGGGTTATTGGTTGCTGTTATGACTACAGGCTGTATGTCTAAACCCCTGGGTTTTATCCTGTAAAGCAATTTGGGAGATATGTAGGTGCTTCTCCTCTGTTTTAAGCCTTTGTAGGCTCCATTTGGCATTACTGTACAAGGTTTTGTTTGTCCCCAACATTTTGCCTTCTTGCTTATTTCTATTCCGTAGTTGTACAGAAGTAGATTACTATTCTTGTCCTGTTTTATTTTCTTTGTCTAGGTGACTGTTTTCTTCTATCATTGGTGCTACTTTATATAGTGAAGCATCAATGATAAACAAGCACCACTACAGTCCAGCACTTTAAAGACATTTCTATTGCATTAAAAATAACTAGATTACATTGCATCATTGAAGTGAGTTTAGTCAATTACTAAATATATTCATATTCCTTGAATTTTGAAACTGAACACCTTCAATTTCAACAATACTTACCTTAAAATAATCATCAAACTTCAGAGCTCGGGAAGCTTCCCAGTCATAACCAAATCTCTTCAACTGAATAACCAAGACAGGTGGTAGAGACTTCACACATGTTCGAATAATGGCAGTTCTCTGAAAATAATTAATTCAAAGCATGGAATCTATGTTCAAAGTATGCAACAAATATTTTGAAGATACTGCAATTTGCTACATAAAATAAATATTCAGTGATGAATGTAAGAAAATGCCTATTTGTTAGGAAAAAGGAGAGGGGAACCTAACAAGCTCCCTGGTGCTACAACCTGAAACCATCCAGGCTTAAGAGAGAGAGACAGCAGGCCTCTAATGATTCCCGAGTACTTACCGGGGTTCAGGACTGAATCTCTCCCTCCTCACTGAGGCTAAGAGGAGTCTGGAGATCAGAGATCACCAGAACACCAAGAGAAAAAACAGAAAGGTGCAGGGTTCCAAAACAAGCAAATTGCTTGAACAATTTTGTAACCCTGAATGGAACAATATGAACACTTGTTACAGTAGGAAAACGACTGCTTATTTAACCCTTAAACTGCACAAAACGTCATATGATGTGTGACACTGAGGGGGGGTATAACCTCGAAAAATATTCATATTATGTAAAAACCAGTGTTGAATGTAATAAAATACCATTTTCTGGGCGAGACCCGGAGGCTACCCGGAGCTATCCAGGCTGATATGCTAATGTCTGACTTTGGCATCAGTCATGTGGATGGAGTTCTTTGGGCCTACTGGGGACCACAGCCAGAACCTGGCCCCCACAAGAGAGGCAAGGGGAGCAATGGCCCCCATGTGGTTGGAAGCATTCTATGTCTGCCATCGACCGGGTCAGGCACCCATAAAGGTAAACATCCCAAAACAAACCCCAATTCTGGTGAAAATATTGCTACCACAAGCCGAACGAGTGGATAGAACTCCTCAAACAAAAACGAGCAAGCTAGTGTGACGTCACCCCGTTGCCGCGCCGGCGTCTGTGCAGCTCCCCCCTCCCCGGGAGGGGAAAGGGAAGCCCCAGACCTACCGCTCCGGCAATCCACACCCCAGTTCTGAGGTTGGATGTCAAAACACGCGAAAAACCGCTGACCGGAGGGAGGGATGGATGTTGGGGAGCCTCCGGGTCTCACCCAGAAAATGGCCGTTTCATTACATTCAACGCTGATTTTCTGGGGGGAACCCCTACGGCTCCCCGGACCTAACTACCCACAGAGGAAAAAAAAGAGGGACTTACCCGGTAGGCCGTTGCTGCTCACTTCTCAACCTGAAGTCGAGACAACTGGCTGTATCCGCCGACCCAAAGCGACACAGGCCTGACCGCTCAGGGACATTAACAAGGTAATGAGCAACCAGGACCCTGTTCGACCGCCAAAATCCCCGAGCCTGAATGTCAGCCCAAGACATATTGCCAAAGACCTTGGCAAGAGCCGCGAACTTGCAAACGTCATGGGCACGGGGATAGACCACAGGCTGGCTAGCCTTATTAATAACCCCGCAGACGACCTGAGAGACCAGCACCCACAAACAAAGAAGAAGGGAAACCGGATCAACCCAAAGCGCGTCCACGGACACAGAAGCCGTGGTGAGCCAATAACGATGGAGAGCCGCAACCGGACACAAAACATGATGCACCCCCTGCCTTAACCAACCAAGCATCAACAACCCAGGGAACCCTCCGGAAAGCAGCAGTCTCATTCTTTGCCAGAAAAGAAGGAGAAGGCTGCAGACGAACAAACTGATCACCCTGACTGAAAGAGCAGAAACATCTGCACCAGAGGAGAGCATGAAGCTCACCAACCCCCAGAGGCCAACACCAACAGAAAAAAGTCTTGGAGAAACAATCCTGAACCGAAGGGGCCACAACAAACCGAGGAGAAGAAAGATAAGAGAGCCCTCTGTCCAATGACCAGGAGGCTCAGGCGGCGCATGAGCACGCCGGAGGTGAAACGGCGCAGATGTAACATCATTACTGAAAGCAAGCTAAAGCAGCACCGCCAGCGCCGCATGATACGAGGCGACAGTTTTAGGCATAAGAAGACAGTCCTGGAACAACGAAGAGAGAAAGGACAACACCACCCTAACCGAAAGCGAAGTACAACGATGAAGACATAAGAAGAACTGGAAGGACCGCCAGGAAACTTCATACTGCCCCCGAGACGAAGCCCGCAGGTGGGACACTAACAAGGAAGCCACCTACCTGATCACCATAGAGATGATGATAAACTCGAGTCAAAAATACCATACGCGAAGACTCGAGGAGAAGATCAAACCAGCCACATGACGTGAAGAGGAGGAGCCGCGGAAAACCTCCGGTTTCAGACACCGAGCAAGCAGCGCCTGAAACCATGGTTGGGCTGGCCACCATGGGGCCAAGAGGACATCTCTCCCCTAGTAAGTCTCCAAGCGAGTCAGGACGCGGAGCAACAGCGGAACCGGGGGAAAGAGGTAAAGGAACCCCTACCTCAACCACTCCTGCCGGAATGCATCGACCCCGACGGCCAAGGCGCCAGAACCAGGAACCCCCAAGCGTCTCCACATCCTCCGTGAGCCAGTCCGAAGACAGCTCAAGAAGGGAAAAGAAACGCAAGGTCAAAGCCAAAAGGCCCCGGGCGTGCAAGTCCTCAGCCACCAGCACCGCCGAAAGGAAGGGGAACCTTCACATGGAGCTGAACGACACCATCATCCCAGGGAAGGGCAGGAGCAAACAAGCATTCAATGAGGTGCTCTAGGTCGCCCCCCGAGGAAAACCATGCAGCACCGTCGAAGCCTCCCGCCACTCAAGCGTGCGAGAGAGGCAGGAGTGCCAGACTTCCATGGTAAAGACAGGACTGTCCGCCAGCCAGGATGACTCCAGAACCTCGTAATGGAGCCAGATAGGGAACGAAGTCCCAAACCTGAAAGCCAAGGGACCCATTGCCGAGGCATAATCCGGATCACGCAGGAGGTTTGCAGCAAGGGTCGCCCGCACTGCAGCAGGTTGGATGCGATAAGCCGAAAACCTCTGGAAAGACAGAACCGGAGCACCAAGAGGAACACGGAACCAAACCAGGGAAGGGGCAGACACCAAGTCCAACTCGTACACAGAGGGGGAAAAGAAAACCCCACTCCTTGTAACAGTAAGCCCCGCTCAGAGGGAAGAAAAACCCAGGCGGGGTCCAGCGGGGCCCAAGGCCCCCAAATCAGCCCCTCCCCAGCCCCAAGGTCCTCCTCCGCAGGACCTGGGGCCGAGTCCTCCCCCAAGCACCGACCCCACCAGACAAGGCCAGCGCAGCCGTAGAAGCTGGACAGAAGGGGGCCCACTGGTCAGACCCAGAGGCTTCTGTGGGAAAAACCTGCTGGGATTGATATGAGAGGAGACTACCAGGGACTTGTACTGAACTAAATTAAAAAATTACTGTCAGCAAATTAATTCAACTAAAACCTCTAGATAGGGTTGTAAATCCTAGCTCCTCTTTTCCTAATGACAGATTGTGGGCTGTAAGGGGCAGGTGGGGTGAATGAATTAGTTGATAGGTTGATTGAAGATCCACAGTCCGCCTGCGAACAGGTATCTCACATCAGCTTGTATTTTATACAAGGATAAGATTTAATAAATTCAGTTATATGACTGAACACTGGCTCTGTTTAAATCAGAGATTTAAACATGTACATAGTCTAGCCTAGCACCATAACTATTAACAGCCAATATATTCTTATACTATAAACAACAATTTAAATTGTAAAAGTATAATAAATGACTTTAAATGTAGTCTAAGTACTGTTACGAAGTACTAGAAATTATATTCAATTAAATGAACTTATATGATAACTTAAAAAATAACTAAGCAAGCAATTGTTAACTTAATTTATATATTCAAGTATATATGCAATGTATTTATATTCAATTTATATGATGATGTACAGTCAGCCTGACTGAATCTCTTCCAACACCATGGACACTTATGAGGTCTTGTTTATTTATTGCGACTGAATCTTTTCTGACACAATGGACACTCATGAGGTCTAGTGCTTGGATAAGACTCTACTGCTGCACTACTATATTAATAAACTTACTGAGATATGAGGCGTTGCCTCGCTTTATAACCGACAGACAAACTTATAGAATATTAAAGTCACACAAGCATACAATTGACCAATTATATACCGAAATAACCTCAATATACTACTCTGCTTGCCGGGTGCCTGTCTGACAGTGTGCCAGACTTGATAACTCTCTTGTAGCGAGTTTAGGCACGATATTTTATATCGCAGAGTTGCTGTATGATGTACTAGTAGCGTTGCTACGTGATTTTTCTTTAACTGCGTTGCAGAAAGATGAGGGTTGATGGTGAAGGTGGAGATAAGTCACTGTGTGCTCCACTCTACACTTATAGATATAAATGTTCTAGGGATTTTCCTTGTAGATATATTGTCCAGGTACTCCCCCAGTTCTAGAGTGTTCACTGGTGATAAAGATAACTAGATAAGGTGTCCTAAGCCAAATAATGTTCGCTAAGGATCCGTCACTGTTCACTCAGTTGTAAACAAACGCGAAGTGCCCCGGGGTGTCGTAGGCGCTTCTTGTTCCCGAGATGCCCCTCCCTTTCCCTTGAGAAGGGGTAGCTTTTCAATGAATATTGATTGATTATTTTCACTGTCTAGACTTATGATAGAGATAAGATGTGATTATAATATAATTAGATATAGGATTTAAAGATTATAAGTAGTACTTGATAGTACCACTGATTCTTATTTAGGATTCGATTTATAATCCCTACCGGAAGCGATTAATGTTCCAATAGTTTTTTAATTAACAAATCCTTCTAGAAGCTTCTAGATCCTTGAGAGATCATGCACAAAGTCACGTAGGCACCTATAGGGCCCTATGTCGTACGTGATCCAAGTGGCATTGTCATCTAGGATCAAGATGCATAATGAATCTATAATGATTCAGATTTGATTTGATATGATTTTGATATGATATAGATATGATTTAGAAATAATACATTTCTTGGATGATAATATAGGTAGGTGGGTAAAATTTCCCACATCTTCGGCCAGGGAAGTAGACTCGAATGCCTCCATCGCCACACCGAATGGGGCATCCCTCGAGGCTGCCCGAGTCTCAAGACCAACTAACCCCAGGCCCGACTCCGAAACCCTCAGACGTTTCGGGGCCGGAAGCAGGGCAGGGGGACCAGAACGAACAACAGGAGGGGAAGAACGAGGAGGTACGGACTGAACCATGGTCGGTGCGACCCCCACCTTCAAGTCCGGGGTCCCTATAAGCAAAACGGGGCAGCCGCGGGGCATCCGGGTGAGTAACCAACCGAGTGCGTTGCAACAAACGAAACCTAGAATGCAACACCTGCGCAGCCTGTACTCGAAGATCATCCGCAGATTGGGTAAATTGAGTCATCAGCAAGCGGCAAAACTCACAGGACTCAGGGTCGAAAGTGTCATCGAATCAACAGGCAGCGTGATGGAGGCAAAAATAGTGAGGGTCGCCCTGAGACCAGGGGACCGAACAACCCTCAAACTCGTATGAAGCGAGGAGGAGGACGCCAGGGTCGCATCCATCGGACCCACGCGTCCCCTAGGGGATTCCCAGGGTCCAGCTCCCCCCTCCCTGGAAAGGGGGAGCAGCGCAGACAGCGGCTCGGCAACGGGTGACGTCACACTAGTTTGCTTGTTTTTGTTTGGGGAGTTCTATCCACTCGTTCGGCTTTTGGTAGCAACATTTTCACCAGATTAAGGGTTTGTTTTGGGATGCTTACTTTTCTGGATGCCTGACGCAGTCGATGGCAGACATAGAATGCTTCCAACCACATGGGGGCTTCTATAGGCCATTGCTCCCCTTGCCTCTTTGAGGGGGCCAGGTTCTGGCCATGGTCCCTGGTAGGCCCAAAGAACTCCATTACACACGACTGATGTCAAAGTCTGTCATTAGCATATCAGCCTGGATAGCTCCAGGGAGCCGTAGGGGTGCTCCCCCAGAAAATATATATATTTTTTTTTGGGTGGGTGGGGGGGGGGGAGGGGGGTTTAGGTTTTTAGTTTTTCCTCCTTTGTTTATTATTTGAATTTGTTTTAACATTTATATCCTAGAGAATGCATACACATCCCTATGTGAAGCCAGAGTTAAATTGGTCAACAAATAAATCAGTTACAACTCTCAGAACTTTGGACTTCAAATTTTTTTTTTTTTGCTGATTTTTTTTCACAGATTTCAAACTCTATTTTCCTTGTTTCTTTAGGTTGTTTTGGTGATTAGGGACCAGAATAGTTTTTTTTTACCTATATAAAGTATAACCTAAATATATTCCCTAATTCATTATAATTATAATAATATAATTATCCCTATATTTTGTTTTTTGGGGGGAGTATTTTTTCTTGACTTCATTTCTACACACAGTGACCTACAACTTTCACATACTGTACTTGAGTACGTATGACAAACAACGTTTATAACAACATACAAGTCAATTCATGAATTAGAACTGCCTTATTCATTGTCGATAACTTCAACTTCAATTATATCTACAGCTAGAATTTCAACTTACTTCAGTATCCAAAAATCTAGTTTCTGACCGATTCTCACACTTTTTACATATAGTGTGCACAGCTGTCTGTGCTACAATCCCCTATAGAATGGATTTTTCATAAACTCTAAACATTTGGAGTTATAAATTTTTGGTTGTTTAAATTTGCGCAGATTTCAAATGCCATATTGACAAACTTTTTAACAGTAAACTACACTGAAACCTATATTCTAAATATATGAAAATGAAGATCATATGCTATTCTGAGAACATAATAACACCAAATGAACAGTTGGTGATATTTTTATATTTTGGCAGCTAATTTCAAAATCAGAAGTTTTCAATATTCAATTTTATAATTATTTTTTATTTTCTTGTTTTTCAAGTTACACTGGTATAATTTAGACAAAGTTGGAGCATTTGCCTAGTAGATTATTCACAAAACATTTGAGTTTCAAAAATTTAAAAAAAAGCTGAGCTCAATGTCACACATCATATGAGGTTTTGTGCAGTTTAAGGGTTAAAGTTGCTCACCTTTAAATGGCAACCCAGGTGACCCAAACCCCAGCCAGCTAATTCACAATCTTTATAGAGAGAGACAGAGACAGACACCCCAAAACTGGGAATTGGGAATCTCAGTTTGACGGGTGTTCCTATAGTGGGAGTTCGTATAATGGGTACTCCCTGTATTACAAAAAAAGAATTAAATTCCCTATTCTATTTCTGCTGACAAATACTGTTTATCTCCTTTCTTCAGATGCATCCAAGTAATTATAAATTCATTTACCTTTTGATTGCATTTCTCACAGTAATAAGCATTGTCACCTTCAAGGAGTTCTCCCTTAACAAACTGGTCCAAAGAGTCCTGAAGATCATGGCACTTTGTGACAGTAAGGTTCAGGGCTAAAAACGGTTCTTCTCTTTCATATCTGAAATAAAAGATATCAGAATTACAATATAGAAAATCTTCTTTCCTCACATTTTAGTTGAGTAAAATTGACTGAATTGGAACTAGCTATGAATAAAACATATACAAGAAAAATAAGTTCCAAATATATCCAAGAACATTTTGCAGGCAAATACAAAGTGTGTGTTAGAATTTACATGTAATTACCAAAGTGCAGTTACAAGATGAAGCTACGGTCATCTCTTGTCCTCTCTGTAATCTTCATTTGAAGCTTACTCTGGTATTAACATACACTACCTGCTCATTTAATTTATTCCATCCTTTTCCCACTTAATTTGCAAAAGAGTATTTAAACATATATGCTAAATAGTAATGGAGATTGATAGAATTGATGAAGAATAATTTAAAAAAAAATCCAGAACGAGGACAGTTTCAAAGTAAGGAAACAAAGCAGTCGAAAAAAATTAGAAAGTTCACTTCTGTGAACAATGGTAGACTGTTGGAACAAGTTAAATGAGAAGGTAGTGGAGGCCAAAACTGTCAGTAGTTTCAAAGTGTCATATGACAAAGAGTACTATGAAGACAGGACACCAAGAGACATACCATCTGTGAGAACACTGGAACCCCCCCCCCCACATGGACCACCCAGAGAGTTAAACCCCCAAGAACCCCAGGAGACGAACCACCCATGGTGTCCTGGGTGGTTTCACCATGGATGCTTTCCTGGTGAAATAGTAGAATGTCATTTGCTCTTTGCACCTCTGTGAGGAGAAAGCCAGGTTCTGGCTCTGGTCTTGGCAGGACAAACAAAACTCCCACAGTTGATGTGACTTGAAGTATGGAGACATGTGGCTCCACAGAAAACTGAGAAAAAGAAAGCGAGTGTGAGCAAGAGAGAGAAAATAGCTGGAGAAATTCACAGCACAGCATAATTTGATGTATACCAACAAACCTGTGAGGACAGTTCTGACATAATCTCTGAATGGAGTAGACTCCTTCGAATCGCTGAGCAAACACGCTTTCTCTTTGCTGACTCTTCAAATAATCATCTATCTGCTCTGTCAATCTTGTATAAAATTCAAATGCATCTAGGAGGAAAGATATCATTGTTACACTACAGTTTATATTTAAGGGATATTAGATGAGCAAATCTCTGTTAATGTACTTTATATAAGCCAGTGAATTTAAACATGATATAACTCAAAAGAAAAGTGCACTTCCTACATGTAGTTGCCTCTGTACAAACATATTACCCCATTACTTTAACTGGGTAACTGGCAATTACCATTAAATTAAAATGTGCGTTACATTTATTGGCAAGAATATATTAAAACAATATTTTGTTTTTAAAGCATTAACAAAGCACATAGTAGCTGGATATTTAAATTTACAATAATAGGGCTGCACATGATGTTTATGACCAATGGTGATGTGACTATGGCTAGTGATTTCCATATAATGAAAAACAAATTAGCTCAAGTTAACATGAGTATATACTATTGGTTGCTATTAACCACTTAACTGTACCAGCCGAGTATTCTCGGTCGGCGGGAAACTACGCCAACCGAGAAAACTCTCTTTGATTTTTCGGTACCCATTCTAAATGCGTACGAGGTTGGTTGTGTATGAAATGGACTCTTAGGACCTCCAGTGAGAGGCAGCCATCTTGGAAAAAATTCCCAGAATGCCCTAGGGCTGCTGGCTGGGTTAGTTCTGAGTGAGCAACCATAGGTGGCGCACGCGCCTCTGGCTCCCAAACACCTGTCCGACGCGGTATTGAAAGATAATGCTGTCAGAGAAATTCAAACCTTATTGTTTGAAGAACATACGGGTCATAATATTGGTGAAGCTAGGCGCAATAAGGACCTAACACAAAGGTCGGATGCAAGTGATATAGCACCTATGAGGGTGATACAGTGAGCGTATCCAGTTGTAGCTCTGAGTGTCACCCTTGCAATCCTATGCTATCTCCAATTTATTTAGATGATACTGTACATAGATGAATCATTTTCTGTGTTCAGTGATGATGCACCATGGACTACTTCGTTGATTATCACTCACTTCCGCAGTACTGAGTGTGTAATACAGTGTGTTACTGTGTAGTGTGTGAAACTGTACATATTGTAATTTTAGTGAATTTTTAACAAGTAATATTGCAACAATAAACATTTATTGTGGACACATTACTGACATATGTATCACAGTTCCATAGAACATTATGAAGATTCTACTGTATACATAATCTAAAGGACACAAATATGCATCATATACGATAAAAAAAAAAAAAAAAAAAGCATTAGAAATACATAAAACAAATAATTGAAAATATATTTGTGGCAACTCCCGGTGCTTGAATGGCCCGCACGACCGTGTCTGGGCGATTCATGCACGGGCGACCAGGCCCTGATGATGTCACAGCACACCTTGTCCATGTCCACACAGCCAAAGTAAGTGGAATTTGATATTTATTTTTACATAGACATGTTCAGGGATGGGAATTTATCATTTTACGAAGAAAAAAGAATTTTTGGGGAACACTATTTCATGCGCACAGGGGAAATTTCACAATAAACTCGGGGCAGCACTTTGGTTAACCAAATTGTTTATGATCACGAAATGTCAAAATATCAATGAGAATGCATTACAAAAATCCTGCTAGCAGAGCAATAAAATTCAAAAGGTGGGAAAAGGTAAAGGAATAAAATACAAACCTTGCTGTTCCCTGACGTTGACTGGTTGTCCATCCATCCTAAAGCATTTCCAAAATTTATCTGGCACATAATACTGTAGCTGAGACTCCATGAGGTGGCCAAACACCATCTGCAGCTGATAGAACAAACTGAAAATATTTAAAACAAGAGAAGCTAAATTCAGGATGAATCTTTACAAATAAATGTATCAATATTAATTTAAGAGTACATGAACATTATTATTATTACCCCATTTCTAACTCAACAGAAGAGCATTACCGTATAGGTAAAGATTAGTGATACTGTACTCAAAACCCAGCACCAAAGATAATGAAATGTTACTTTCTGGTAGAGTCCCAGTGACTCCCTGAAGCTATCTTGCTGAGAAGGCACCACACTAAAACGGTAACATCAGTTGCAGGAGTTGTGTTGAACTACAAGGTACCCGAGCCAGAACCAGGCCGCCCTCACAGGGGCACTGGGAGTGAGTGACAATTTGCCATCCCACAGGGAAAAGCATCCACAACATCAGGAAAGCTTTGCACACAACTGCAGGGTTCACAGAACACAAAACTTTCAAACTACCAAACAACCCCACAAACTATTAACACTGAACTAAAAATTCACACAAACTAACTTGAAATTTGTTAGTACCCCAGAAAGCAGTTTAACCCTTAACATGCTCAGGGTCTAATATCCTGCTATCCACACAGGCGCATGTCATTTTGAAAAAAAAAAAAATTTTTTTTTTTTGCTAATCTGTTAAGTTCTGTTCACTGATCACGGGAAAAATAAAAAAAAAATTATATTGTACTTACTTTTGTTGCAATAGAGCCGAGAAGCTCTGCGATGACGTCACAATCTGCATGGTCGCTCATGCAGTACACGCCCGGGAGATGTTGCGCGCGGTCCTCAAACAGCCAGAGTTGCCACAAATATATTTTCGCGCTATTTATTTACAATGTCTAAGCGCATTTTATCTAATTTTTTTTCACTAATTGTGTTTCAAATACTGTTTGAACATATTTTGTATCAATAATTGTTGCATATTTGAGTATACACAGGCGCACACAAATGTTTTCAATTACGGCAATATAATATGTCATTACAGTCTATTATATTATATGTTCTGCTTATATGTTTACATATTTACACACTCGCACACGCTATACACACTTTGAAGCACACTTAGAAGGTTTCTAGACTGTGGTAGTCATTGAAGCAGTCGACAGCACATAATGGGATACCACACGTTTCACACCATGTTTGCACAAGCTTCCGTTTCTTGTCTCTACGTGTCGTTGTTTTACACACCAAGCAATCACGTTGGGCTATTGCACGCTTCACACCAGGTGGCAAATACTTAAGTTTGTGTGCTAGGAAGCCTTCAGTGTGAGCGAGGCGTGGAGTACCAGCATGCTGCAACAGTGGGTTTATGATGGGCCGCTGAATACCTGGGACATCTTTTGCAAACTTTCCTAATAACTGTATTGCAGCATCAAATACAAAGTCACGGAAAGTGGGCTTACGTCCAGTTCTCACAAGGTACATGTTGAAACAGTTCAGCATGCTCATGTCCACACTTCCAAAATGTAGACACCTGAGGAGTATCTGAAACCTGTCTCGTGACATATATTTCCCGAATAAAGGTGTTGGTATTGTCTTGTCCTTGCTCCAATAGTCATTTATTGCATGTTTGTGACAGTGCTTCATCAACAAACAGAGTGCCAAAAACACATACATTTCCGCCACTGTGGTATTTTTCCAACGCTGCAGTCGTGAAAATTCTGTGATTTCCCTCTCAATCAGGTAAGCAGCATGCAGGTTCGTTTGGTGTACAATGTATTCCATGAGTGGTTCATCATAGAATGCTGTAAAATATTCCATCTCAGCCATGTCCTCACCTTGATTAGGGAAAAGGTTTGTAATCCCTACATCTTTATCGTCAAAGTGAGGAATATTAGGAATAAAGTCGTCACCATCACTCCACTCAAGTACACCAGGCGTCCTGCGAGATGCAGAGGAAAGACGGCGAGGAAGCGATGCATACCGGCGACCAGGAGCTGAATACCGTCTGCGAGAAGCACGGCGGCTACGTGCACGTGAGGTGGGTGCACGTGAACACGAGGGTCTTGGTCCCTCATGTGGTGCCATGCGGTGGCACTTGGCTGGGCGAGATGCTGCTGACGCGACAATTTCTCGCCCAGTTACACCACTGGTACCAGCCACAGGCTCAATAAAACTTTGATCTGAGTCACTAAACCCAGAAAAGGAGTCACCTCCCTCTGACTCGTCACCCTCAAACAGAAAATATCCACAGGAACTGTGAGGTCGTGGTAGAATTGGGGTAGAAAATGGGCGAGGAGGCATGGGAGAGCGTATAGGCCTCGCCATGGCATGGCGGTCATTCTCACTTTCACTGCTGCTGCTACTATCTCCCGACAACTGTGTATAATCCTCATCGTTGTCTGAATCGTCAAACACACTTTCTTCACCTTCAGAGAATAATTCGTGGGCTATTTGGTCTGGGGTGAGGGACTGAGTGATGCGTGCTCGTGAGGCGTTTGACCGTGCGCTCGCCATGGTGACTCTCGCTAAACTGAGGCCTCCCATGCCATCGGAGCGTGAGCTGGATTTTTTTTCAAAATGGCCGCTGTTTACTAGAGCCCCTGGGCAGCGTATGGGACCCCCAGCTACACCGCGGGCCATTCAAATCGTGCGCGGTACCCATACACTTCATATGAAGTGAAGCGCAGTTGACTGGTAAAACGATTTACACTTCATATGAAGTGATGCGCACTTTAAGGGTTAAGTGAGCAGACATGCACAGATGACCTCTTGCAAATGTGTGAAAGATTTGCCATAAACCACCAAATGGTAAATCCAACAAGGAAAGAAAATAACTTTGATCATATTTTTACAATGATGAACTGATTTGAGACATGATGATTACAAATACATGTTACCAAGATCACAACCAAATTGAAGTTCAGATATGTATGGGTAATAGATCTATGCAGCCAGACTCAGATCCAAGGGAAGAATTCAGGAAATTGAATTTCAATAACAGATTAACCAGAAAAAAATAAACCACGTCCTCAAAGAAATATGCTGGGAAAGATGGGTAGATAATGCAAACTTAAACAAGTACCTTGAGAAAATAGGCACAGTAGCACTAGAAATATATGCAAGTCACAAACCACTAACGAGAATGAGAAAAAAATGTAAACTGGAATGAGAACGGTATTCCCTCTATAGGCGATGAAAATAAATTGCAGAAAATCTTAAACACTCAGCTCTATCCCAAGTATGACAAAGAAGGATATGTAGAGAAATAGAAACAATGGAGCTAAGATTGCACGAATCATATAAAATTCAGGAGTCAGCAAGAGCAAAAGGCCATAAACAATATAGAGAGGAATCCAAAATACTTTTTCTATGTAAAATTTAGAACAAACACCACATTATGCATTGGACATTTCCACAAGAGAGTGAAGGAACCTTCACAGATTACAGCAAAGAAATGAGTGAAATACTGAGGTTACAGTATGATCCTGTTTTCAGTAAATCCCTGAACATATTGCAGACCAATAATCCAAAAGAATTCTTAATGAATGTGACAACACCACAAAGTCATATATCAGATATTAAATAACCCCTCTTGATTTTGAAATAGCCATAGACATCATAACTTTATACTGGGATATATACTTTAGACAGGGATACCTAATAATTAAAATACTTGAGATGAGTCAGATGACCTGTGTTTGTAAACAAGAAAATTAGAATAGAGATAAATCATACACGTTACACATTGAGAACTTTACCTTTCTTCATTTTCATCATCACTACAGACAGCAAGAATGTCCTCAGGTACTCCTGGAACCAAGAAGAGATGCTGAAGGACTGAGTTCATATAGCATGTTGCACCTCCATTCTTTAGACCTACATAGCCACTAGCACATCTGCCATCTACAGCTGGTGCATACTGGGGAGTAAAAATGACAATTATACACCATTTATGGACAAATAGCAATGTGTGTTATATTTTGAATCATCATCTAACCTTTATGTATAATGTGAGTGTGTGATGAGAATGATGTTTGCAGATATTTTTTTCTGGAGGGGCCAAACAATGGCTCACTGAAGTGGTGCCACACCCATGCATCTCATTAGCCCTAAGAGATCAAATGGCCTACCAGAGACCAGAGCTAGAATCCTACCCCTGCACAGAGGTACATGGAACAGGAGGTTGTTACTATCACACTCACCAAGGAAATATCTAGAGAGTAAGCAAAACAAAATAGACAACTGCAGGGTTCATAGAGAAAAGAAATGTAGAAACAAATGACACCACAAACTAACCACAGAGCAGTTAGGTTGAAACCACTAATTAGAGCCAGGGAACTGGCCAACATGATGCGAGTCAGATGCATCCTACCAAACCCACCAGGTAGGGAAGAGGAAGTGAGGATGGGACCAAGGTCGAGTTGACCAATAACTCCAATTCCAAGTCCCTGCCTGGTTGGGCAGCCAACCGGGCACATAACCTAGAGTATTGCAGGACCGAAAACCGGTGATGCTAAACACGCGCAGCTTGAAACTTCTGGGCTACGACTGAAGAATGGTAAGAATGGGACTTGTTCACCCCAAGAGCACATGGGGGGGGAACAAGTCTCACATAACTGGGTCATAGGTGTCACAGACCAAACAAGCAGCATGGCAGAGGCAGAAAGAATGAACGTCCCCAAGTGGCATCAGTGAAAAACAAGTCAATTCGCACAAAGCAAAAGTGAGCACAGAAGAGGTATCCAGGGTACCCACAAGACTGCAGAGGCTTTCTGGGGCCTGCAGGGTGAATGAGTCCTGCAGGAATTCCAGGCAAAAAAAAAAATAAAAAATAAAGACTCGACTAGACTAGACTCTGAGGAACAAATAGCCTTGGAGAAACCTCGGTGTGCCTTTCAACACCTGTGGAAAGTGCACAGAAGGCCAAAAACCCAAGCAGGGTCTAAAGGGCCCCAAGGCCCCCAAAGTCAACCCCTCCCCCACCCCAAGAACCTCCCCATGAACCTGGGGCTGAGCCGTCCTCCAAACCCCCAGTCTCTAAAGAAAAGGCAGGAGAAGCCGAGAAAGCAGGAACGAAGGCGGCCCACTGGTCAGACCCATAAGCTCTGGCTGGAAGAACATGCTCGAATGCCTCCGTCACCACACTGTAAGGGGCATCCCCGAAACCACCCGAGTCTCAACACCAACTAAACTCTTGTCCCAACTCCGAAACACTTAGACACAACGGAGCTGGAAGCAGGTGAGGAAAGGGAGGACCAGAACGAACAACAGAAGGGAAAATACAAGGGGGGTGCGGAGCGAACCAAAGTCGGAGCAACTAACACCCCCAAGGCCTGGTCCCTATTACCAAAACGGGACAGTCTCGGGGCATCCGGGGTAGCAACCAACCTAGCACGCTGCTGCAACCTAAGATGCGCATGCAATGCTGAAGCTGCCTGCACCCGAATATCAAGCTCAGTAGCCTGGGTGAATTGGAGAACATGCAAACAACACCACTCGCAAGACTCCGGCTTGGAAGTGTCACCAACCCAACAGGCAGCACGATGGAGGCACAACCGGTGATTGTCACCCTGAGACAATGGGACAGAGCAACATTAAAACTCACACAAAGCAAGAGGAATCCCAGGGGTCGCATCCATCGGACCAAAGAGCCCCGGTGGAGTTTCCCAGGGCCCTTAGTCACGTATCTCGCTAAGGAAAGCCCAGGCGGGGTACTGGCTTCCCTTAGCGCCCAAGAAAACCGAGCAAACTGCTAAAGCTGAACCCCCAGGACGTGATCACAGAGGCCTAGTGGAGGACCACTGAGATATAATGGTGTGTGACCAAAACCATGGGGCAGACCCCCCACCAGGCATGGAAAACAAAAACAAAAGAAAAACCCCGCAATAGGACACTATGCCCAGGCAGAACAGAGCCGGCCGCTATGAGAGGTGACAACTAGCTGCACAGTACCCTGCACCCCAACCAGTGACGAAACTATCCCTACCCAGAGGCAAACAACGGTGCATGCAACACCACAGCTGACTCTAAGGGCGGCCAATCTCCGAGCAGCAAAAGACCTTGCTGAGGTAGACCCCAAGGTGACTTGTGGAAGTTGACCCCAAGCCCCAAGGGCAGTAATTCAAGGGCACCTAGGGAAAAGAACCCTAGGCGCATGCAGCCCGAGTACTGTACGTACTTGTGAAATTACTCATGGCACACACACTATCACAGGACAGAACCACACCACAAGGCACAGAACTGGAAAACACAGAAGCCAGAGGAACATGACCTTGCCAGTTCACATCAGCCACAGAACTAGAGGTGTGGATAGCCAGCACGGGGGTCTAGGGCTCTGCCTTCCCCCTCTCAGGGAGGATGAGGGGGGGGGGTGCGTAGATGTCGACACGATGACGTGGTGACATCATGCTCGTTTGCTCGTTTTCCTTTAGGAAGTTCTGTCCACTAGTTAGGCTTTCAGTAGCAATATTTTAACCAGAATAGGGGTTTGTTTTGGGGCACTTACCTTTCTGGGTGCCTGACCCAGTCAATGGTAGACATAGAATGTTTCCAACCAGACGGGGGTTTCTATAGGCCATTGCTCCTCGAACCTCTCTGAGGGAGGCCAGGTTCTGGCTCGTGGTCCCTGGTAGGCCTAGAACTCCATGTACATTGACTGATGCCAGGGTCTAATACACTCTTATCAGCCTGGTTAGCTCTGGGGAGCAGAAGGGGCTCCCCTCAGAAAATAAAAGAGATAAGACCTGCATTGAAAAATTCACTTAAACTTTTATTATAAATGATTTAACTACTGTATATTACAAATAAATTTCTCACCTCAAACTCCTTTAGTGAGTCTGGATTGAGTGTATGGTGCAAGGACACAAGATGTCCAGTAAGTGTTCTCATGTTCAGTTCAGAATGAATCACTAAATGAACAAGGAGTTGATGAGCTGCTAGTCGGGACTCCTTGCCAGTGCACTTGGCCCAATAATTTCTACTGGCACTTAGTGAGTCCTGCTCTGATCCTCCCTCCATAACCAGCTTGGATGCGGGGAACAGATACTCAAAAACAAGGATAGGAATGAGGGTAGCACCTGCAATAAACAAAAATTGACCCATTTAAATGTCTGCAGCACAATTTGCTATATTTCTGATAATAAACATCAAGAGTAATTTAAAAGAAAAAGCTTTCTTCCTAAGCACACAGATCACAACAGCAAGATATATCTATCAGAGACTCTTTGGAGCGGTCTGATGGAACTGAACTATCATCCTCGCTCACTCCAGATGCAAACATTACCCACTAAACCACAATAGGCTTATGAGCAATACAAATCCAACCGAATTTACACACAGTTTGGATGTACCAAGTTGTATACAAACTAAATATTTACATGATACTCACCCACAGTCAGGTATAGGTAATGAGGTTCTCCACCAAATGTTCCTGTCAATACACAGTTCTTACCCTTATCTATAGAATTACATTAATAACCCAGTATCAAGCTTTATGTAATTCGTAGACATAAAATGTTTCATTAAAACTACAGTATCCACTCAATTTAACGGCCTCTTTTATACCGATCTGCCGGTATTAACGACCGGTTTGGGAGCCCAGTATCTAGAGCCTGCTATACCGGTCTGCGGTCGATATTACCGACAGTCGGTATTGGGTTTGTTGTGGCATCAGCGTCTCCTCACATGGCGACCAGGCCGCCACCGACCTGGATCGTCCAGAGTCATATATTACATCTTAATTTTCTTTTAAAATGATTCACTTTAATGAAGAAAATTGTAAATTATTATTAATAAAATATTTTGAAACAGTTTTTATTAAGCAAAAGTCTTTGTTTTCTTATTAAATACCTTTTATAGTATGTATAGGCACTAGGTATTTTTTTTCCCACGGACCTAGTATGTACTCCGCCGGGCCATGTGTTCCCATTGTTTACCGTGAACTCGCGCGGCTAGCTTCAATTGTGAAGGATATTACTGTACTGTAATTGTGATCTTTTTAATTTACAAAATGCCAAAAGTTACCCAAAGGAAGCGCCTGACGGTTGCACAGAAGCTGGAGTTAATTAAGAAACTTGATAAAGGATATTCTCATGCACGAGCAGCAGCAGAGTTTAACATCGGGAAAAGTACAGTAAGTGACATCAAGAAACAGAAGGATACTCTATTAAAATATGTGAGCACAACAGAGTGTGCTACTTCTGGTGCTGCATGTTCGAGAAAAACAGTAAAGTCTGGTCAGTATCCACAATTGGATGCTGCAGTGTATAAGTGGTTTATTCAGCACCGCACAATTGGCATGGCAATAAGATTTGAAGAGCTTAAAGTTGCAGCAAGTAAACTTGCAATTCAATTAGGTATAAAAGATTTCAGTGCAAGTGATGGGTGGGTTGGAAGATTTAAGGCTCGGCATAACATTTCAAACACCAAAAAAATTTCTGGTGAGGCGTCAAGTGCTGATCCCACTAATGTTGATTCATTCAAGGCTAAATTAAACGAGTACATTGTCAGTAATAATTTAAGCAAATATCAAGTATATAATGCTGACGAGACTGGGTTTATGTGGCGAGCTGTACCAAGTACATCCTTAACCAGTAGGATGCAGGAAAATATTCCTGGACGAAAGATAAGCAAGGAACGGCTCTCAGTCTTGCTCTGTGCTAATGCTGATGCCTCTCACAGGACAAAATGTGCCGTGGTAGGCAAGTCTAAAAATCCTCGAGCCTTAAAAAATATAATGCAGGCATTACCTGTAATATATTACAATTCTAAGAAATCATGGTTTAATCAAATAATATTTACGGACTGGTTTGAAAACCACTTTTGCAAAGAAGTCAGAGAATTCCAGATCAACAAATGTGGAATAAAGGCCAGTGAGGTTAAGGCATTGTTGCTGCTAGATAATGCCCCTGCTCATCCCATTAGCAAGTTAATTTCAAGGGATGGCAGAATAAAATGCATGGCACTTCCACCAAACACAACATCCTTGATCCAGCCCATGGACCAAGGTGTTATCCTTGCTGCTAAACGTATGTACCAAACAGCAATGCTTGAAGATGTTTTAGTTGTTTTACCTAGCGAGGAAGATGAATTGACAGGAAAGGATACAAGGGCTCAAAGAACACTAGAAAATCTAAAAAAGTACACAATCAGGGAAGCAATATTCCACTGGGCTAGGCTTTGGAATAAAGTGAAAGAAACCACACTAACAAATTCATGGAAGAAACTGTTAACAGAGAGGCCTAGATGTGAAGCAGCAGTATCTGATAGTGAATTCGAAGGTTTTGAAAATGAAGCCAATGATTTTGAAGGGTTTGAAGAAACGATCCGAACAATGTTGCTCCAAGCTGGTCAGGGTGTACAAGTGAATGATATCAATGAATGGTTAGAAAATGATTACGATCCTGGTTATGAATTGTTAACTGAAGAACAGATTGCGCAAAGTGTTCTCGGAAATGACTCTGATGACTCTGATGATGACTCGGACGATGTTGGTGAGGCTCTGCCTAGAGGTGTCGGATATCGGAAAAGATTGGAACAAGTTGAGGAACTCATTGAATATTCAATAAAAAGTAAACATGAGGTTATTGGAAATTTTTATGTACACCTTACAGCCTTAAAGCAATGTCTCAGAACGTTAGCCAGAGAAAATCAGATTCAGACAAAAATAGATAAATTCATGATTTCAACGGTTTGTGAAAAATCTTCGTCGACAAGCGATGCTGCACCCGTCGATGCTGAATTACCATCGACAAGTCGTGTAGCATCCGCCAGCAATGAATGCTCTACAAGCCATGCTGCACCCGCCGATGCTGAATTCCCATCGACAAGTCGTGGAACATCCGCCAGCAACGAATGCTCTACAAGCCATGTTGCACCCGCCGATGCTGAATTCCCACCAAGTCGTGACAAGTCATCCACTAACGATATAAAATATGATTGAAAGGCATATAAATTAGTGTAAAAAGTGTTGATAGAGTACAGTATTGTAAGTGTTAATGATTAATTAAGCCTAGACAAAAAGATACTGTACAGTGTAAATATACAGTAGAAATAATTGTCAATAGTGAAGTAGAATTAGAACTCATGTGAATTAGTAGTAAGGCTAGCTGTTGTGTGAAGTGAGTGCCTGAAAATAATTGTACATATAAAACAAGCGCTGCAGAGGATGACGTAATCATCACAGCTTCGTAATCTTCAGCTTCATTAAAAGTAAGTCAATTTACCAATTTTATTATAGTATTACAAGATATTAATTGTTTTTTTTCAACAAAAGCTACATATTAGTCTCTGCAAATGTATATTCTATCGTCAGCAGAGAAAAGGTGAGCTCAAAATATTTCGTCTTGGCTAGCTCTCAGTGACAAGGCTCGATCGCCATTGTTATGGCATGGCCGCCACAGCCTGTGTTGTAACATTAAAAGTAAGTCAATTTACCAATTTTATTATAGTATTACAAGATATTAGTTGTTTTTTTTCAACAAAAGCTACATATTAGTCTCTGCAAATGTATATTCTATCGTCAGCAGAGAAAAGGCGAGCTCAAAATATTTCGTCTTGGCTAGCTCTCAGTGACAAGGCTCGATCGCCATTGTTATGGCATGGCCGCCACAGCCTGTGTCGTAACATTAAAAATACATTACCTGCACTGTTCAGGGTAAATCAAAACACATCTCTAAAATTTTATTAAGACAATATTAACTCACTGATTGATACATGAAATATTTTTCAATACAAAGGAATGAATCAATTTTTTCCCACCCATCTGGACTTGATCAGAGCGTGTTCACACATCATCCATGCAGCAGCCAGCAACTGGCTTAATCGTCGGCCGTGCACTAAATTGGAATGCAATTACACAATGAACTTTATTTAATTTTAGTTATACAGTATCAAATATATCCTACCTGAATGTTACTTGAAAAATTACCCGACCCGACTTAACGTCGGAAATAACGGAGCTCCGTAAATAACGACTTGGGCTCAGCCCCATATAGGCTGTTAAATTGAGTGGATACTGTACAACTCTAGGCATTCTACACATATATATTCTATAGGAAGTTAAATAATTACAGACTCACCGGTTTCTTCCTTGTTAATTCCTTCACATGACAACAAAGCAGTAATAAGAGTCAGATGGCCTGCCAGCAAAACATTATCAGCACTGCGCAAAGTCGGTATGCCAGACTCCGGTCTTTCCCGAGCAGCTTCTCTAGTGGCGTTAAAATTTGTGAGCCACCCTATTTCATCTTCTAGCATCTGATGAACATTGATTCCAAGCACTTCTTGATCATGAGCACTGAGCCCAGATAATAGCTTAGACCTGACAGAAAACAAAAAAATTATTTATGTAAAATAAATTATTGTACATTCCTTTATTAAAAAACCAGCGTTAAATGTAATGAAACGCCATTTTCTGGGCGAGACCCAGAGGCTCCCAAGAACTATGCCGGGATGATGTGTATATATTAGACTATGGCAACAGTCAATCAATGGAGTTCTAGGCCTACTGGTGACCAGTGCCAGAACCTGGCCCCCCTCAGAGAGGCACGAGAAGGCCTATAGACACCCCCGTGTAATTGGAAGCAGCCTATGTCTGCCATCTACCAGGACAGGCACCCAGAAAGTTAAGAATTCCAATACAAGTTACAGCTGGTTAAAAATTGCAAACTGAAAACTGAATTAGCAAGCAGAACTCCCCAATTGAAAACAAACAAACAAGCATGACATCGCCACAGCCACCGCTATCTGTGCAACTCCCCCCTCCCCAGGAGGGGGAAGGGGAAGGGGTCCCAGACCTCCTGTGCTGACTAGCCAACCCCAGTTTAGAGGCTGATTACCACAAACGTGAAAAAAACGCCGACCGGAGGGAGGGAGGAATGCCGGGGAGCCTCCAGGTCTCACCAAGAAAATGACGTTTCATTACAATCAACGCGGGTTTTCTGTGGAGAGCCTCCTTTGGCTCCCTGGAACTAACTAACCAAAGGTAAAGGAAAAAGAGGGACTTTCCCGGGAGGCGACTGCCACCCGCTCCTCAACTCGAAGTCTAGACAACCGACTGCACTCTACACCCCAAGGCTACACATGCCCGAGAAGGGCCAGGAACACGAACGAGGTACCAAGCGGCCAGCTGACTCCAAGGGCAGGCAATCACCGAGCAGTAAAAGACCACGGTGGAGGTCTTCCTCCCAACTTGGGGAAGATAAATTTTAGCCACAAGGGCAGTACTTACAGGGCCCCTAGGTAAGATAACCCTAGGCGCATGCAGCCCAAGTAATGTACGTACCTGTGAAATTACTCATGGCACACACACTATCACAGGACAGGACCACACCACAAGGCACAGCACTGGACAATGTCTGGAGCCAGAGTCATACGACTGCTAGGTCTCACATCAGCTTCAAAACTGGGGGTGGATAACCGGCGGCAGGTGTAGTTAAGCAGAAAGCAGCGTGGTGATGGTTGGGGCATCATGCCCGTTTGCTCGTTTTTAATTTGGGGATTTCTGTCACACAGTTCGGCTTTCAGTAGCAATATTTTAACCAGAATAGGGGGTTTGTTTTGGGGCACTTACCTTTCTGGGTGCCTGACCCGATCGATGGCAGACATAGAATGCTTCCAACCACACACAGGTTTCTGTAGGCCATTGCTCCTCATGCCTCTATGAGGGGGCTAGGTTTTGGCTCGTGGTTTCCGGTAGGCCTAAGTAAGTAATTATCAAAAGAAGGCACCAAACCAGGAAGGCTAAGTAGCACCATCAAATGCGCGGAATAATCAGAGGGCGCTAAATATCACCAAGGATGCCAATATGAGAACAGAAATGCATAAGGCAAACGATATCAAAAGTATCCAATTCACCAAGAATTCCATCGAGGGACAAGTGACTGCGAGGGACGGTCGGAAAGCATGACACACGCTCGTCCTGGAAGTCAGGACTTTCAACAAGGATATGCACGACAGTAAGAGGGACAATGCAATTTGGACAATAAGGAGCTGGGTGGCGCTCCAGTAAGTGTCCGTGAGCTAAGCAAGTATGGCTAAGACGCAACCGCGCTAGAGCCATTTCCCACTGCCGGTTACAGTGGCAGGAGGAAGGCCACGGGGACACTCAACGCTTAAGAGTACGCAGTTTGTTACCAACAATAGAAGACCAACAACCCTACCAACGGGCAAGGATGGAGGAATGAATAACTGGCTAAAAGTCGGAAAAAGGAATACCTTTACGGGAAACAGGACAGGAAACTGCCTCTCTAGCGGCAGCATCCGCACGTACATTTAAAGAAACACCAATGTGGCTGGGAACCCAGCAAAACTTTACGGATTGAAATTTACTTGAGATAAGAAACAGCCAATATTGAATCTCGATGACTACCAGATGGACAGGACTAAAGGGACCCCGAGAGCCACAAGGGCACTACCAGAGTCGAATACAATCACAAAGGAGAATTGACAACGAGAAAGCAGGAGACGGAGAGCATAGAGAATAGCATAAAGTTCCGCTGTGAAGATGTCCGGTAAGCCTAAGAACTCCATTCGCTTTGATTGATGCTACAGTCTAATACATTCATATCAGTCCGGATAGGGATAGCTTCGAGGAGCTGAAGGGGCTCTCCCCAGAAAAGGATTTCGACAGAGTTCCCCATAAGAGGTTGTTCTGGAAACTGGAACATATTGAAGGGGTGACAGGTAAGCTTCGAACATGGATGAAAAGTTTTCTAACATAGAAAAATGAGGGCAGTAATCATAGGCATTGTATCGGACTGGAGAAATGTCACAAGTGGAGTACCACAGAGTTCAATTCTAGTACTGGTAATGTTCATTTTCTACATAAATGATCTACCAGATGGAATACAGAAATATATGAATATGTTTGCTGATGATGCTAAGAAAATAGGGAAGATAAGAAACGTAGATCACTGTCATGCCCTTCAAGAAGACCTGAACAAAATAAGTATATGGAGCACCACTTGGCAAATGGAATTTAATGTGAATAAATGCCATGTTATGGAATGTGGAATAGGAGAACATAAGACCCCACACAACCTATAAATTATGTGGGGAAATCTTTAAAGAATTCTGATAAAGAGATCTAGGGGGTGGTTCTAGACAGAAAAATATCACCTGAGGACCATATTAATAAGAACATTGTGCGAGGAGCCTATGCTACACATTCTAACTTCAGAATTGCTTTTAAATACATGGATGGCAAAATACTAAAGAAACTGTTCATGACTTTTGTTAGACCAAAGCTGGAATATGCAGCAGTTGTGTGGTTTCCATATCTTAACAGTATCAATGGCCGTGGACAACGCTCACGTCCACTTTTTTTCTCGAGTCCTGGCCGTGGACAGCGCTCGTGCCCAATACAAAAATATATGTATAAAATTCATTTTTTATCCGATCGACTTCGGGATAGTTTCAAAATAAGCGCCCTTAGAGTACGCACAATTTGATACCAAAATGAAAGATGTAACACAAAACTTGATGTCAGAACATTTGAAAGATTATAAATACTGTACGTTTTTGGTCAAAATATTTAAATATTTGCTAAAAATTCTATTTATTGTGCTATTATCTTAAGACTAGTTTTAAAATGCACGCTTTTACATTGCGAACAATTTGATACCAAAATGAAAGATGTAACGCAAAAATTTATGTCAGAACACTGGAAAGATATAAATAATTTTGTGATGATGAGCATACAAAATTAAAATATTTGTTAAAATTCCAGTTATTGCTCTATAATTATGGGAACAGTTTTAAAATACGTGCCTATATATTGCGAACAATTTAATACCAAAATAAAAGACGTAACACGAAAATTGATGTTATCAAAATGAACGAGCATACACATTAGGTTGCGGTGTGCCAATTGCTCGTTTACGGGTAACTTTAGGCTTTCCTGCGGGGAATCCCGCCCGGGCTTTTGTACATTATATGCATACACACCTGCAGGTTATTTAATTGTGAACACAATGATACCAAAACGAACGATGTAGCATGAGAATTAAGGTGAGAAAACTGAAACGAGTAAACACATTTTACTGATTCTGCGCGCTCACAGGTAACTTTTGCTGAATTTAGGCTTTGCTATTGGAAGCCACGCCAGGCTTTTGGACATTATATGCATCTACACCTGAAGGGAATTCTATTACGAACACAATGATACCAAAACGAACGACGTAGCACGAGAATTAAGGTGAGAAAACTGAAACGAGTATACACATTTCAGTGGCGCCGCACGCTCGCCCGGGGCGTGACCTCTAAGTTGGTGGTGTGCATACCCGGCACGCAATAGTGTTAAGAAGCACATCAACAAACTGGAAAAGGTGCAAAGACATGCCACTAAGTGGCTCCCAGAATTGAAGGGCAAGAGCTACAAGGAGAGGTTAGAGGCATTAAATATGCCAAAATTAGATGATAGAAGAAAAAAGAGGCGATATGATCAGTATGTACAAAAAATACATAAATCGATAAAATTGATAGGGAAGAATTTCTGAGACCTGGAACTTTAAGAACAAGAGGTCATAGACTTTAACTAAACAAAGATGCTGAAGATATATAAGAAAATTCCCTTTCGCACACAGAGTGGTAGACCGTTGGAACAAGTTAGGTGAGAAGGTGGTGGCGGCCAAGACCGTCAGTAATTTCAAAGCGTTATATGACAAAGAGTGCTGGGAAGACGGGACACCACGAGCGTAGCTCTCATCCTGTAACTACACTTAGGTAATTACCAGTGTATCTTTATACTTTGTATTCATTGCTTACAGTTTATTTTTGTATTAATGTCATATTATCTAGTTCACCTTTGCATTACATAATAGCCAAGTATTTTCAAGTGCCAATTTTGTTCATTAATATTTCAGTAAATTGTTTAAATTATTTATTTTTTGATTTTCATTTGTTTCCACCTGTGACTTACACACACTGCAAGGCCAATAGCAGCATTTTTTTTTTATTTGTGTGTGGGAGAATCATACCATCTTGGTTCAGTATAGCTGCGACACCACAACCCATCACATAAATTTGGGGGCCTGTCCTAGGAGCTGTTCCTAGTACCCTTGCTTAATGTTGTGTATAGTTGTTTTACTTAGCTTTTATACTTTGCATTTTTTTCAGATTCATTTTGAGATTCACATACTGGTTACTGAACACATCTACTTTACAGGTGTACCAATTTGTGATCGACTTTGATCATGTGATGTTTTATGCACAAATTCATGCTCGTAATGGTTAGTCTTCTAAGCTATTGCTATATCTTTTTGTCCACATTAATTTTGTCCCAACAGAGAGGACTAACTCAGGCATATCACCCCCACTCGG